GCACCGTACATTCTGCAGCCTGGCTGGTGCAGGTGGGTTGGGAGAGACACGCAGTCTCACCTCAGCTTGGTTGGCAAGGTTTGGGCATAAGGCTGGGGAACAAAATTAATTCAAGTCGTCTTTAATGATTCCATTGCCTCTGCCCTCCTCAAAGCAAGCTCTGGCTGCCAGTAGGACATGCACAGAAGCAGCAGCTGTATCCTGACTTACAGTGACAGAACTGAAATACAGAATAATAACTGCAGATCAGTGCTACATCTATCATGTAGGAAAGGACTTTAACTCAAAAAGAACAATTACAGGAAACAGCGGGTGCCTACTTGAGATTATTTATATTTTAATCCACCTCTTGTTTAATTTCAGTTTTCTCCTGCACTAGGGATTTTATAGGGAGAAAGGACCTGATGGTGGCTGTGGGTTCTTCGTGGAAAACCCCAAAACTCACTTAGGGAAGCAGAAATGGGATGGAAGAAACCAATAATCTGAACATTCATTGAAAGAAAAAAAAGGCAAAAAAAAAGCCAAAAACCCCAACCACACAAACCCCACACTATTAGAAACATTTTATGCAGGTTCTATTTAATCCTGTTATGGTGCAGATCAGGTGCTTATTCTTGACTTTCTGACACATAACTCTTCAAAATTTCTGAAGGGCAGAGTACATGAACCCAGAAGGATGCTGTGGGTGAAAGCAGATGCTTTATTTGGTCTCAGTCTGATTTTGTGTCATGCCACTTCACTCTTTTGCCTTGCTGAATGAAGGGGAGCTCTGCAGCTAAACATTCATCCTAATTCCTGTGGGCTTGCTGCTGCAGTGCAAAGCTTCTGTGGATAGGGTTTCCTTGGGTCAGAATTCATAGGGAAACAATTTAACTTAAAATACATTCACATCCATGCAAAGCCCTTCCATTTTATTGGGTCATGCAAAGCCCTTTCGTTTTATCAGGTGTCTGGAATGGAGCAGACTGTTCTGTTTCAAGCCTGACAAAAATGACAGCTGAGCTACTCTTACCTCCCCTCCTTCCTTCAATTAGCAGCCATCAGAAACAAACTAGAGGGCAGCCAGACACGCACAAATACCTGTAAGGAAACAGCTAAAACAGCCCAGTGAGTTTGAGGTTTTTTCTTTATTTATGCAGCAAAACCTACTGCATAACCCTGCCAGACTGATAGCTCCATGGCTTGCTCTTTTCTAGAGGTGTGAATAAAACTACTGCTCGCCTCTTTGCTGATGAGCTCAGCTGCCAGTCTGGGGTGGGGGAAGTGAAATAACTCGTTACAACTCTTTATTTTATTGCAAGGTTGACTGTGTCTGCTTGTTGCAGAGCCTGTCACATGAGCCCACAGTCACAGGGAGACCATGGATGGGTTCATTCTGCAGTTATTGGCCCTGAGTTGCTTAACAGGAAGACTGGTTGTTATTACTCCCAACCTGTTGGAATACTTGGTTCATAGACTATCATCTTTGTAGTTCAGTAGGAAGGAGCCGCCTTGTTGATCAAGCCCATCTGGAGAGGTTTTCCACGTGGTGTTTGACAGGGTGCAAACTCCAATTTTATAACTTAATTTGGGGGGAAAATGTTTCATCTCTGTTTTTAATGTTTATGTTCAACACAGGTATCAGCACATTGGTGCTTACCAGTAGCATAACACCCCATGCAGTGTAGCATTATGAAGGCAAAGGCTTTGAGGAGCGTGATTTTGAGGCATGTATTAAATGGGGACGAAGCTTATTTCAAGCCTCTTTGAACACGACACGCTTTTGTAAAGGCAGTTTTCTGTGGAGGAAAAAGAGTCTTCTGCTCCTCTGCCTGTGTTTGCTGCAGTTGGCAGATCACATCTCACTAACCTTGTGCCCTCCCTCCGTTGCAGTGACAATGCAGCAAGTGGCCAAGACAGTAGCCAAGGTGGAGCTCTCTGACCATGTGTGCGACGTGGTGTTTGCACTCTTTGACTGCGACGGTGAGTGACCTCAACCTTGCCCCATTCTCCTGCCCTTCTGGGATGATACCCAGCTTCCAAGATGTTGCTCTTAAAGCACTGGATGCGCAGGTTCCACCCCCACTCCCAAACTCTATTTTGTTTAACAAAATGAGCTATTGTGCTCCAGTGTTGGAAATGAGCCTGTCTGGTGTTTTGTTATCTCCAAAGTCCTGGACAAATATCAGCTTAATTAATGGCAGCTCTGTGCTTTGCTGGGAAGCTTGTTGCCTTGCTGGCCCACAGAGGATGTGAGCACTTTGGGGTAGCTTTGTTGCCACACTGAAGCAGTCTTGGGTTGAGAATTCATGAGAATTGTACTTCATAAGCATTAGTGAAGTCTTTGCCACCAGGGGATGGTGGCAGCGATTCAGACTTGGAAAGTACCAAAATTCTGCATTTGCCCAGAATTGTCAAGCCAAAACCAGAGACCTTGCTGGCATCCTGATTCTTCAGCAAGGTCATAGGGATCTGACAGCTCTGAGTGGCAGCAGTGATACATAAATAGACAGGTTTTTTGCATTCTGATATATAAATATTAGCATTTTAAAAGAATTTTTATTTTATTCTTTATTGTCCCTCTGGGTTTCAGCACCACCTGCTTCTTTGCACCTTTCTAAGGTTGCATCTCTTGTTTTATGCTCTCTGCTTCAGTGCTGAAGAAGTGAACCAAGGATTCTCATCTCATAAGAGAATCTGCTAAATATTCTGATAGCAAACCTTTGGGGGAAAAGACTGTGGTTGCCAAAGGAGTCCCTGAAAGGAAGGAATCAAGTGGAAAAGCAGGCACAAACCTCCTTTGTGTGTTTTCACTCTCTCAATGTTTAGAGACGTTACCATGCATGCATCAAAAACCTGCAGCACTGGAGGGAATTTTACTCACCTCTTGATATTTTGCTAGAATTCTGCTGCCCAGATTTGCATTCAGATGTAAGGCAGGAAAAAAGCTTTCAAATGAAGCAACTTGTTCATGAAACAAAATGATGTGATTCCCCGTATCAGCCAGAGAGGTTCTTTCTCTTTTGATCCGGGGAACTGATGACACTGGTGAGTTTGTTTCTGGAGGGCTGATGTCCCTTCTATCTCTTCTGTGCCCAAAGGTGGGTTGTTTTCCTTTGCTGCTCCCCAGAAGCTAAAATCAGTGCTGTCAGCTGTGCGCCATAGGCAGGGGAGCAGAACAGGCAACAGAATACATGTGGCATAGTGGCAGGAGCCATTGGCCCCTCAGCAGAGAGGCGTCAGGCTGTTGTTTGCACTGTGGTGCTGCTGTCCCCTCTGATCAGCCAGTGCCCTAAATAAAAATCCCAGAGGTTTTAATTTATTTGTGGTTAAGCAGCTACGGAATAAAAATTGCCCCAATTTACTATAATCTTATTTTTAGTATAAATTTAGTTGACATAGTTCTCAGTATCCTCAGTAAACTACTTCAATGAACCTCTCCTTCTACTCCGTTAAGAAAAATCTGCTGTTACCCTGTGCTCCTGTAATTTCCTAAACCACTTAAAGCAGAATGTTCCCTGTGGGTGCATGGGCATTTGCTTTTGCATCTTCAAGCCCCAGAACTCTGGGCCCTGCAAGACATTGCTGACCTGATGTGGGTCAGCAACCTGTGCTCAGCAGGGTATTTTGGGAGGTTGAAGCCAAACATGATTTCAGTTTCTGCAAGAAATGACACTTGTGGCTGCTGCCCTTTAAAGTTAGTGCATGCAGGGAGGAGGTTGGTGGTGGGGTTTAGTGTTTCTAATTTTTTTGTCTTCTTGCAGGGAATGGTGAGCTGAGCAACAAGGAATTTGTTGCCATAATGAAGCAGCGCCTTATGAGAGGCTTGGAGAAGCCCAAGGACATGGGCTTCACACGACTCATGCGGGCAATGTGGAAATGTGCCCAGGAGACAGCGTGGGACTTTGCTATGCCCAAGCACTAGTGGGGTCAGGCAGGAGTGTCCAGGTTCCCTGTCACAGCCCTGCCACCACTGCCTGCAGACACCTGTTGGATGGCACCAGGCTCTGGCAAGCCCAGACTGTTCCTAACAGGAGATTTTTATAAATCAAAGTTAGAAATGAAAGCCTGTTATATTTGCAGCTTCTGCTTGCCGCTGATGTGCCTCTCAGGAAAAAGAAAAGGACTTTTCTTTAGAGTCACCACCCCTGCTTTGTGATGAGCCTTGCCTGCACACCTGGGCATGGAGCAGTCTTGTGGGGCTACACCCAAATCACTTATTTAATGTTATTACAAAACGGCATGGGGTTTATTTTAATTTCTTAGGTCGCTCGTTAGTGGTGGGACCTAGGAGCAGAGGCTGGAGCAGCCAGCTGGTGCAGCCAGCTGGTGGAAGCCACCACAGGGTTTTGGTTGGCTGAGTGCTCTATGCTCTCCCAGGCTTTTGAGGAAGGGTGGACAGGACAGATGCATCCACAAGAGGGCTGCCTGAGCCAAGGTGCTGCCTCTGGTGGAAGAACAGTTAAAGACAGTGGACCAACTGGCTCGCCCACCCATCCTGCCTTGCATAACCAACCTGCTGCCAGCGAGATACCTTCTCCGAGGGGAATTGTTCTCTAACAGGAGTAGCCTGAAAGACGTTATTTGCCAAGTGTTGTCCTCTCTGTATCATGTAAAGATGTTGCTCATAACATGGCCTGTGGCTTGTCTCTTTTGACTGATTCATGTCTTCACTTCAGGATGCTGGCAAGTCACCAGAGATGGGGTGTTTGGAAGGAGGATTAAAAAACCATGACTTTCCAGCACTAGAAAGCCCAGAGCTGCTGTGTTCCATCTACTCTCGGGTAGCACGCTCTGTTCAGGTGCTGTCCTCTGGACTGTCACGTTACCCGGGCGGGTGCTTGGTGGCAGGCTTTGCTCATCCTGCCTGCAGTGATGGTTATTCTGCCCGTCCCGCCTGCTCCCCACAGCCCTCCGCGGAGCCGTCACCGTCTTGACACCATTCGGTACTCTTCCGGGAGCGGGAGCAGGCGCCGGCGCCGCCGTTCCCCCCGCCGTACCCAAGGGCTGGTGGTGCCCGGGCACCGATGGCGGGGCCATGGAGTCGAACAGGGACGAGGCGGAGCGGTGCATCGGTATTGCGCTGGCTGCCGCCAAGGCCAACCAGCCCGACAAGGCGGTGTGTGCGCGGCTGCTCCCAGAGGGCTTAGCGGTGGCCGGGGTGCGCCGCCGTGAGGGGCTGAAGTTGGGTGTGCGGGTCCGTAGTGTGTGTGTGTGTATGTGTATGTGTGTGTGTGCCCCAGCCCGGGGGGACGGGAGGGTCACGGAGCCCTCGGCGCTGCTGCCTACCGGAGACAGCCTGTTACCGGCTGCGTGCCATTCCCCTCGGTCGCCCCTCGGCCCTTGTAGCTCACTAGGGCGGGCGTGAGTGTGCGAGGGAGGTGTCCGTCCAGAGGGGAAGGCGGGAAGAGGCACGGTTCGAGCGTAGCTCGGTGGCTTCATTTCCTCCATAAGAGCTCGCTGGTTTTGTGCCCCACACCCGCCGTTATGGCCACGCGTGGGAGCGTCGCTGCGAGGATGTCGTTGGCAGGGGCCGAAGGGGCTTGGTGAGGGGGCAGGAAGTTCTCGGTCGGGCTGCAGAAAGCCCGTCTCCTTCCTGCTCTTCATCCTCTCACATTTGGTTTGCCTTCACCTCCATCCTTCCCTCAGGGTGCAGCCGTGCTGGCCCTGCTGGAGGATCCCCGCCTTGTGCATCAGCCCCAGGAGCAGTGGGCATCGGTCTCACACAGACTGACATTTGAGCATTACTTGGCGTCCCAGCTCTCCTGCTCAGCAAGTGTGGCTCCTCATTTCGAATGCCGCCATTGATTACCACAGACCAGCTACTGCATTTCATTACAGCGCACATAAAAAAAACCATCTTCCTCCTTGAAGACCTTATGCTAGTTCTGTAGGTTTTGAGGAACAATCTCATTTCCTGGAAGCTTTAGGGCCTACGTAACTAATATGTCACAAAAGCAACTGGGAAGTGGTTTGCAGAAGCAGCCAGGCAGTTCTTTCTCCATGTGTTCTTATGTTGCAGAAATTTATGCAAAGGGTTGTGGATTTTTTATTACTATTATTTTCTTTTTTTACTTTGACACACCTTACCTGAGTTTTCATTCTTCAGCTGTGTTTTGCAGCTTCTCTGCCCTATAAAGAGCCCAAGGCTTTCCCTGTTGCACAAGGTCTTTTCCCATTCCCTCAAACATAGCGCGTTAGGTTGTCGCGTGTGTGGCGTGGTTTTCTTTTGCATTCAGAGTTCATACTTTTGCAAAATTGCTGGGTAGGAAAAGTGACTTCTGGAGCCAAAAGCATGGCATAGTACACAGAAAAGCCCACCCTGACCAGCATTATTCTTCCTGAGGAGCTCTGCTAGGGCATGAGCCAGAAAAGCAGATCTGGATGACAGCAAGCACCAGTTTGCAGTACAAAGCCATCAGGGTTTGCCCTACTCCTGTGGCCTAGGACAGCTGGAATGAAAGGTGGAATATGTACTGTTGGAGAAGAGCATAAGGAAAGAAAGCAGAGAAAAGGGAAACAGCAGGGCAGGTTAATGTTAAATACACTGTGCTAATTTGTGGCCAGACCCAACCGTGCTGCTAGTGCAGCTGTGTGAGCTGCTGTCCGAGGACCTTTCGCTTGATGTCTTGCCGGTTGCTTGCCTGTGCACTTTGGGTGTATAGTTGGGAAATGTTGCCAAAGATCTCACAGTTACACTGTGGTCATTGAGTCTTTACATAGTTTTTGCACCCTTGGGAAATTTCTTCTCTTTCTCAGGAGTTACACTGGGTTTGGCAATGATCTGCCATGTGGACCTTGCTCAGGCGGCACTTCAGACTCTGACCCTGGCTGGGTCCTACAGGTGTCATCACAGGATCAGAAAAGGGTTTTGCAGGGGAATGTCAGCAAAAACCTTCTACACTGCCACAACGTGGGACGCAAAGTCACACTGGTCACCTGGAAGCAGGAATTTTGGAAAAATTAGCAGAAGTTGGACAAATGCTGCCTAACAAGTGAGGAAGAGTGACCCACAGCACATATGTGGTTGGGAGCTGAGGTAGCAGAACTGAAAACTCATTCAGAGTAGTCTCTGCTTTAGTAGTTCATGAATTTCTGCTGTGCTGTCATTCCACAGGGGGCCAGTGTGGCTTTGGGATGTAGATGCAATAGGATTGGGGCTGTAGAGCAAAACAGGACTGAAATGAGGCCATATGTGGACTTCTGTGGTTGTTTTGGGGAACTACATTACCAAAAATGTCTTGGCAAGCTGTAGGGAACTGATGCCAGAACATCAAGAGTGGGGTGGATGGTGAGACAGCCTCGCAAGGCAAGGTTTAAAAGTAAATGGGAGTTTGTTCCAAGTTTGGAAGGATCAAAAGCAAAGACTGGTTTTGCGAGCACTGTAGTCATGTAAATATGAGCAAAGGAAGGATTTAGTTTTCTGAAAGCTGAAATCCATGAAGTTCCTAAGCTCAAAAGCTCGTTCCATGAGTTACTGCTTGTTACCTGCTGTCATTTTTATCCTTCAGCCTGTATCAATTACCTGTATTGGCTGTTGGATTACTGAGTGTTTTTTTCTTGCCCCTACAAGCTGTGTGGGGCAGGTAGGATATCTGGGCTCATCTCTTGGCCTGCAATTGTTGTTTGCACTTACATAAAGAGCATAATACCCCCATAGTGCAAGGTCTGTAACATGCAATCTGCTGGAGGAGATGAAACATCCTTCTCAGCTCTAGGCTCCTGGATAAGGGACTGCAAGCTTGTCAAGTTACTCATGCCTTTGCAAATAATATCTGGTTCTAATCATATTATTAAACATGTGCCTATTCTTTTTGGTGGGATGCAGTATATAAACTTAAGAAACTACTGTCATGAAGAGGTCATTCTGACGTATGGTAAAAAAAAAAATGCAGAAAGAGTTTAAACAGATGGTGCCATCCAGGTGCCAGGGAAATGCATAATGGTGAGACATTTCTGTGCTTGGAGGAGTCTCACTTGGTTTCACAGTGTTGTCACCTGTGCGGTTAGGCCAGGCCTGAAAGTTTGTCCCCTATTGGCTAAAAAGGATGGAGGGCAGTGTCCAAGCCTTGCAAGGAAGCCACAATCCGCAGCAGTTTACCCAATACACATGGGCACCCCACTTAAGAAAAGGGAAACTGAATTTCTACAATTGGTATTCAGTAGTTGAGAGTGAAGATGGTTTTCATAGCTTGTACACCCACTGGATATGGAGGTAAGACAGTGCAAGAGAACAGAGTACCCTTCTGACTCGTGTATTATGGGTCTACTCTATAGGTACATTGCAAATAAAAGACAGACTAGGGACAATGTGGACCCTCTCCTGTAAGCTATCAGAACTGGCTACCCTGGATTTGGAGGACGCTGAGGTTCTTAATGACTTCTTTGCCTCAGTCTTTACTGGCAAAGGCTCTGACCACACCACCCAAGTCTTGGAAGGCAGCTGCAGAGACTGCACGAATGAAGACCTTAAGACCACTATGGGAGAGGATCTGGTTCGAGACCATCTTAAGAACCTGAGCATGCACAAGTCGATGGGACCTGATGAAATCCATCCGTGGGTCCTGAAGGAGGTGGCAAATGAAGTTGCGAAGCCACTGGCCATCATATTTGAGAAATCATGGCAGGCAGGTGAAGTTCCCAACGATTGGAAAAAGGGAAATATAACCCCCATTTTCAAGAAGGGGAAAATGGATGAGCCAGGGAATTACAGAGCAGTCAGTCTCACCTCTGTGCCTGGCAAAATCTTGGAGCAGATTCTCCTGGAAGGCATGCTAAGGCACATGAAAATCAACAAGGTGCTTGGTGACAGCCAGCATGGCTTCACTAAGGGGAAATCCTGCCTGACCAATTTGGTGGCCTTCTATGATGGGGCTACAGAACTGATGGACAGGGGCAGAGCAGCTGACGTCATCTACTTGGACTTGTGCAAAGTGTTCGACACTGTCCCACACGACATCCTTGTCTCTGAATTGGAGCGACATCAATTTGACGGATGGACCACTCGGTGGATAAAGAACTGGCTGGATGGCCGCACGCAAAGAGTTGTGGTCAATGGCTCAATGTCCAGCTGGAGACCAGTAACGAGTGGTGTCCCTCAGGGATCGGTGTTGGGACCGGTCTTGCTTAACATCTTTGTTGCTGACATGGACAGTGGGATTGAGTGCGCCCTCAGCAAGTTTGCCGATGACACCAAGCTGTGTGGTTCAGGTTGATACACTGGAGGGAAGGAATGCCATCCAGAGGGACCTTGACACACTTGTGAGGTGGGCTGATGCCAACCTCATGAGGTTTAACCATGCTACGTGCAAGGTCCTACACCTGGGTCGGAGCAATCCCAGGCACAGCTACAGGCTGGGCAGAGAAGAGATTCAGAGCAGCCCTGCGGAGAAGGACTTGGGGCTGTTGGTCGATGAGAACCTGAACATGAGCCAGCTTCAGTGTGCCCTCACAGCCCAGAAAGCCAACTGTATCCTGGGCTGCATCAAAAGGAGTGTGACCAGCAGGTCAAAGGAGGTGATCCTGCCCCTCTACTCTGCTCTTGTGAGACCTCACCTGGAGTATTGTGTGCAGTTCTGGTGTCCTCAACATAAAAAGGACATGGAACTGTTGGAACAAGTCCAGAGAAGGGCCACGATGATGATCAGGGGACTGGAGCACCTCCCATATGAAGACAGGCTGAGGAAGTTGGGGCTGTTCAGCCTGGAGAAGAGAAGGCTGCGTGGAGACAAGTATCTGAAGGCGGTCTATAGGGATGCTGGAGAGGGACTCTTCATTAGGGACTGTAGTGATAGGACAAGGGGTAACAGGTTAAAACTTAAACAGGGGAAGTTTAGATTGGATATAAGGAAGACGTTCTTTCCTGTAAGGGTGGTGAGGCACTGGAATAGGTTGCCCAAGGAAGTTGTGAATGCTCCATCCCTGGCAGTGTTCAAGGCCAGCTTGGACAGAGCCTTGAGTGGCGTGGTTTAGTGGAAGGTATCCCTGCCCATGGCAGCGGTTTGGAACTAGATGATCTTAAGGTCCTTTCCAACCCTAACTATTCTATGAGTCTGTGGTGCTGCCAGCAGTCAGTGCTGCAGTTCTGTCTCGGAAAGAGTGTCCCATGTGTTTGGCATCCCACAGTATTATTTTCTAAGCTCTCTAAAGATACGGCATTGTCACATAATTTACCTGTAGATTCCAAAAGGCAGGAGATAAAGAAGTATAACATGCTCTAAAGGTACGTAGCAAATAATAAACAGACTAGGGAGAATGTAGGCCCCTTCAGGAAGCTCTCAGGAGAACTGGCTACACGGGATTTGGGGAAGGCTGAGGTTCTTAATGACTTCTTTGCCTCGGTCTTCACTGGCAAAGGCTCTGACAAAACCACCCAAGTCTTGGAAGGCAGATGCAGGGACTGTGAGATTGAAGACCTTGGGCCCACTGTGGGAGAGGAACTGGTTCGAGACCATCTTCAAAATCTGAACGTGCACAAGTCAATGGGTCCTGATGAAATCCATCCGTGGGTCCTGAAGGAGGTGGCAAATGAAGTTGCGAAGCCACTGGCCATCGTATTTGGGAAATCATGGCAGTCAGGTGAAGTTCCCGATGACTGGAAAAAGGGAAATATAACCCCCATTTTCAAGAAGGGGAAAATGGATGAGCCAGGGAATTACAGACCAGTCAGTCTCACCTCTGTGCCTGGCAAAATCTTGGAGCAGATTCTCCTGGAAGGCATGCTAAGGCACATGAAAATCAACAAGGTGCTTGGTGACAGCCAGCATGGCTTCACTAAGGGGAAATCCTGCCTGATCAATTTGGTGGCCTTCTATGATGGGGCTACAGAACTGATGGACGGGGTAGAGCAGTTGATGTCACCTACCTGGACTTGTGCAAAGCGTTTGGCACTGTCCCACATGACATCCTTGTCTCTAAATTGGAGAGACATCAATTTGATGGACGGACCACTCGGTGGATAAAGAACTGGCTGGATGGCCACACACAGAGTTGTGGTTAATGGCTCAATGTCCAGCTGGAGACCAGTAACGAGTGGTGTCCCTCAGGGATCGGTGTTGGGACCGGTCTTGTTCAATATCTTGGTCGCTGACATGGACAGTGGGATTGAGTGTGCCCTCAGCAAGTTTGCCGATGACACCGAGCTGTGTGGTTCAGGTTGATACCCTGGAGGGAAGGAATGCCATCCAGAGGGACCTTGACACGCTTGTGAGGTGGGCTGATGCCAACCTCATGAAGTTTAACCATGCCAAGTGCAAGGTCCTACACCTGGTTTGGAGCAATCCCAGGCACAGCTACAGGTTGGGCAGAGAAGAGATTCAGAGCAGCCCTGTAGAGAAGGACTTGGGGCTGTTGGTCGATGAGAAAATAAACATGAGCCACCAGTGTGTGCTTGCAGCCCAGAAAGCCAACTGTATCCTGGGCTGCATCAAAAGGAGCGTGACCAGCAGGTCGAAGGAGGTGATCCTGCCCCTCTACTCTGCTCTTGTGAGACCTCACCTGGAGTATTGTGTGCAGTTCTGGTGTCCTCAACATAAAAAGGACATGGAACTGTTGGAACAAGTCCAGAGAAGGGCCACGAGGATGATCAGGGGACTGGAGCACCTCCCATATGAAGACAGGCTGAGGAAGTTGGGGCTGTTCAGCCTGGAGAAGAGAAGGCTGTGTGGAGACCTCATAGCAGCCTTCCAGTATCTGAAGGGGGCCTATAGGGATGCTGGAGAGGGACTCTTCATTAGGGACTGTAGTGATAGGACAAGGGGTAATGGGTTAAAACTTACAGAGGGGAATTTTAGATTGGATATAAGAAGGAAATTCTTTCCTGTTAGGGTGGTGAGGCACTGGAATGGGTTGCCCATGGAAGTTGTGAATGCTCCATCCCTGGCAGTGTTCAAGACGAGGTTGGACGAGGCCTTGGGTGATATGATTTAGCGTAAGGTGTCCCTGCCCACAGCAGGGGGGTTGGAACTAGATGATCTTAAGGTCCTTTCCAACCCTAACGATTCTATGATTCTATGCTTTATAATATGCTGGAGAACAAATGTGGAAATGCTTCACTGTTAAGGAGATACGTAAGGAAAAAAGAGGACAAGGATGTACCACTTTGGTGATCCATTGTGGCTCCCGGATTGTTCAGCTCGGTAGGCCTGGGGTTTTGGTGAAGGTTATGTGCGGTGGGAGGAGGCAATATCTTCAGCAGTAGCTCTCACATCTGGGCAAAAAGCAACAGGAGCTCAAGGGCTCCTGGGTGAATAGGTGAGAGACTTTCTGATGAAGGATGGGGCATGTTAGAGTGGTGGCAGTGATGAAAAGGGTACTCTCTATGGGAGAGTTGAGAAGGCAGATTAAACTTAGTGGTCTCTTTTCATCTTTTTGTCATTTCAGTTCTGCTTGAATCACTCAACAAGAACGAGCAATCAGCCAATGGCCAGTCCCAGTCCAAGGAGTCCACAAACCCTCAGTTCAAGAAAATGGGCGGGAACTTCCCATCAGCCAACGGGGAGGTTGGTGGGGAGGCCCCCAAGGGCTACACTCAGGACCAGGTGGATGCAGTGAAGAGGTGTGTGCATGGCTCTCCATGGCTTCAACCTGCAGTTTGTTGAGTTGGTTGTATGATACCATTCTGTTTTTCACAGGGATTTAAGAGTTTCAGCTTAGAACCATATTGGGTGGGTTTTAGCTGGCTTGGTGTTAAAAGCGTACTAGGAGGATTTATAGCTACACCAGCTCTGGGAATCAGCTGGGTTGGGTCTATGAGGGATGAGATTTCCCCCCAAAGGCCTGCACGAGGGCTTGAGCTGTAAGCATGTAGGCTTCTTCCTGGCTGAGGTCCGAAGAGGCATTTTGGATGCATTCATCTCATGGACTTCACATTAATGTTTGCTTTAGTGTTATTCAGTAATGCTGTGAAAATCCCATGTGCTCCCATGAGATCCTGTTGGTGGATGTCAAGGCTCACAGTTTGCGGAAGGTAGCCCTCTTGCTCTAAGCTTTGGTCTAGTAGCAAGTGACAGGACATATTCCTCTTCCTCTCTCCTGATGATAGTCTGTTTCTAGAGCCCAGTAAACTAGAAGTCTGCTGTTGGATGCTTCACTCTATTAGCATGATACACTTCTAAAGCTCCTGCTGGAAGATCCCAGGGCATGTTTATCCAGTCATCTGTTTTCCATCTGTTTTCTTTCTGTTTCAAGCCATTCTTTATTCCTTTCTACCATTTGAAAATACTGGAAGTTGAAGGATGAACTGCAGGCACAGTCACTGGGTAAACTTTGTTTAAGGTTGTGGACACGGTGTGAATTGCACAAGAGCAGCTGTGGCTAATGGGCTTATGGGGATGTTTGTTACATCATCCATTTCTCCAAAACCCCAGCAAGCTGTGTTCTATCTCATCAAAGTCATGTGAGAAGGAGAAACCATCACTAGGCTGTGAGTGTACCCAGAACAAACTGGCTGCACACATAGGCATTGGCAGCTTCCTCTTTCTTCATCTAGTACTCAGCTGATGTTATTTTTAGGTCACTGTGAATTAACTGAGTATGAAGAGACTGGGGGGGGGGGGGGGGGGGGGGACACGACGACGACACACAACACCCATAGCCCAGCTACCCTGGGCTGCCCTGCCAATCCCAAATAGCTTCTAAAACGTGACTATGATGAATCTGAAGCTTATTTGCCAATGACATTCCTCTGTGAGTGATATCATTGCTTGAGGAGAAGCCCTTCTACTTCTACTGGCTTGACTTGTTCTGTGAGAATGTTTGTATGCTAGTAATGCAGGCACAGGGGGAGTGAGTCGGTGAAAAAAATTGGCTCATCCTGTGAGGAATTAGAGCTGAGTAAACCAGAGTTCACTGAACAACATCAATTGAAACTGTGATGTGTGAGATGTTGCAGAGTTGATGTACTTAATGCAATGTGCTTTTCAGAGCTGAAACTAACTGTCCATGTTTTTTCCCTTCTCTGCTGTCAGGGTAAAGCAATGCAAAGATTACTATGAAATTCTGGGAGTAAACAGAGAAGCTTCTGATGAGGACCTCAAAAAGGCTTACCGGAAACTTGCACTGAAGTTTCACCCGGATAAGAACCATGCACCAGGGGCTACAGAGGCATTTAAAGGTAAAAAGCATTGCCAACTCTTTGATTTGCCCTCACCTATCAGGCAATGGTGCTAAGCTGGGGTAGCAAGGACTCTTAAGAGCAACCTCATGAGCCAGGTAAAGTGAAATAAAGTTCTTTGTAAAGTTGTCTCTCTTCTGATCTGGTTGTATTACAAATAAAGTGCAAGCTTAAAATAATAAACAGGTGGACACAGGTAGGATTCACCTCTGCTAGTTGGACAAGGAGAAGCCTTCCTTCCTTTTCTCCTAGCAACCCTTCCTGTGTGTTGCTTCATCCTCCTTCCACACTGCTCATAAGGAAAGTCCCTCGGGATGTTACCAGTGTCTTTTCTGGAATGATGCAGGATCATTCACCCATCAGGGAGAAGCAGCACGGAGAAGCTCAAAGTCCTGCAGCCATCCAGCACAGCACAGGTGCTGGGATGCACCCCTCTCAACTGACAAATCCAGCAGAGACCCACTGAACCCAACAGCAGAGACCCAGTGGCAGCTGTTGGGTTCATGAGTCCCTTGAGAGAAACACTGTTGGGGAGGCCCAATGGCAGGATACTCAGAACTTGTGTTTAGACTCTTCCACTCATTGAGAATTTCAGGCAGCCAGTAAGCCTTCAGGTTTCTAAGCAAGCACTCAGAAGCTGACCATTGTGAAAGGCTACAGATGGAACTGGTGGATAGAAAACCCAGGTGAAAAATTTTAGGGTGAAATCATCAGCCATACAACTGAACCCAGTCAGAACTCAAAAAGGGTCATTAGGAGGTTCAGTTCTGCTGCAAAGAGCCCAGTTCTCAGGGCCTCTCTACAAATGCAGCAGGGATGTTTCTGGGTAATAAGATACCTTAAAAGTGGCATAATTTTCCAAGAGAATTGCTATTGCTTGGAGCATATAACCATATTTTTCTTTGCAAACTGCAGAAGTTTGATTATTACAGTTTTGCTAAATGCAGAACTTCTTGATGCCAGTTGTACAGCACAGTTTTTGCAGTGTTAAGGCATTTAAATAGTAACATCTGATTCTGGCCATCTTGGGAATGAAATACATGAGGTGTCTGCTGGAGCAGGGAGCAAGGCTAGCCTGCTGTGAGTGTATTGATACAGTATTCGGGTAGGCTTCTAGCAGACGAATTCAGCAGTAAAAGTCTTATGTAAGGTTTGTTCAAGACTTTTAAGACTTAAATCCCTAACTGATAAAGTGTGTTGCCATTAGCAAATAAGGAGCTGACCCCCAGCTACTTGGGAGAACCTGTTTAACTATGGGGGACAGATTAAAGAGGGAGCATCTGCAGACATCTGTCTACGCCACATGTGCAGTAAGCCGCTGTTGGATAGTTTATCCTTCAATCCTTGCTCAGTGGCGAAAGGCAGGTTTCTTCACCTGTAATCTTAAATAATGATGTTTGCTGAACGCTGTGACAAGAGTTACGTGCCAGAAGTCGCGCGTTAAGCAAGGTGCCCTTTATCCTCCAGTGCAGAGCTATCTGCTATCTCTCCTCCAAGCCTTGCCTCATTCGTTCCCCTGTCCTTCAGCCCCTGAGCTGAGCTCCTACTTTGCAGGGCTCACTGAAGTCCAACTGTTTGGTTCCAGAGGGTGAAGGGGAAAATGTGCACTGCTATGAGGATTTTAGTTAATCTTTCCTTACGTTGATGTATTAAGTAAAGTCTTGGTATTCGTCTTCCCAGTGACAGCTGATAAAGTATTACAGCTTGTCTCGAGACCTTGTCTCAGTCTGTTGTTGCAGTTAGCTGCAGTTTGTTTCCTGGCAGATCTGCATCACTACCTTTGGCTGATACTGGAGAAAGAGTTGAAACTGGCTACTTTGAGCTAAAATCCTGATCTGGAATGAGGTGTTTCTTGGGCTTTGTCAGCAGAAAGAAACAAACAAGACCCTGAACCGCTACATTTTCATTGCTTAATCGTACAGTTTAAAAGATCAAGCTAATATGCTGAGAGACAGTCCTTGTTGTCCAGCTTCACTGCCTGTTTGTAGAAGTGTTTGCTCTGTGTGAACTAATTATAACCAAGAAGGAGAACAAGTGTACTGACATTACATCCTCCACACTCCAAATCTCTGGTCTAAGAAGAAACTGTACACCTCAATCTACCAGCAAAATGTTGGATCTTAGACTTAATCTCCTCCAAAGGGCATGTATCTCCCTTTTCTATCATTTCTGCCCCTGCCTTTCATACACACAGCAACTACTGTCATGAACATTTTTGCCTTCTTGCAACACAAGGAGGAGAGAGGATAGGCTCTGAAGTCACGTAGGGAGGCTGTTGGGTAGGCTTGTGCAGAGGTGAAGTGGTAAGCTGGAACATGTCAACAGAGAAGTACAGAAATAGAAGGGATAGGCAGATATTCTGGTAGAGAGGCTCAAAAATGCTGAGGTTGGAAGTAGAGTGAGCTGGGGATCTGGAGGGGCTTTAGTTCCACGACATTTCTACCATCACAGGCACTAACAGTCCTTGTAATTAATGCACCTTATTTTTGGCATCTAGAAATCCTGAAATTCATAGTTGATGAACACAACTTCTAGACAGTGTTTTCTTACAAGCTCTTACGGTTGGTTTTAAAAGTCTCTTTCAGTGACCTAGCCCTTATATAAATTCTTTGCAGTTCTGGTTTTAGGCTACGACATTAAATTCCCTTAGTGCCACTTCTGAATAAAATTTGTCAGCTGAACTTGTATTTTCCTATACAGTTGCTTACAGCTGAAGGACTCAGGCATTAGTTGTTCAAAAGAAGTAAGTTCGAGTCAAATATGTAGCTGCTCTGCTACCAGCATTCCCTTTGCAGTTCATAGTTTCATTCATCTGAGAAGGTTTCTCTAGGGACATATACCAAATTTATACCAGTCATATCATAACTTCTTCATTTGAATTAATTAAGGCCTTTTTAATTGAGTCTCTTCTTGTGGTTTCTTTCTGTCTGTGTTTGCCAGAGAAGCATGCCAGGTGCTAGCACTCTTCCACTGAAGTAGCCTGTTGAAAAGATGTGGGTAGTTGAGAATCTCATTTGTGTAATAAGAAAGGCAAGCCCTGGCAGTTTGCAGGACTAAATGTATTATCTGTAAAAGAAAGAAGCTAATTGCTTCCTTACTGTCAATATTTCAGCCATTGGTAATGCATACGCAGTATTGAGCAACCCAGAGAAGAGGAAGCAATATGACCAGTTTGGAGACGAGAAGCTCAACCCAGCTCGACACGGACACAGTCACTCAGACTTCCACCGTGGGTTTGAGGCAGACATCTCCCCCGAGGACCTCTTCAACATGTTTTTTGGCGGTGGTTTTCCTTCTAGTAAGCACATTAACCCTTAATCTCTTGACTGGGACCCAATCCTTTTGACAGAGCAACAGTGCAGTAGTGATCTGTATGGCTGTGCAAGGATTGCTGAGTTTGATGAAAGTTCTTCACACATGACCTAAACACCCAGATTTTTCTAAGTAGTTCATAGGAATCCTTGGAGAACTCAGCAGCCAGCAGGTAATACTATCAGAGCTGGACTTCTTTGCAACTTGAGGTGTTTGTTTGCATGTTGGCTGCATTAGCTGTTATTAGGTTGGGTTGAATGTTAGAATAAAAAATGTCTTGTTTTAAGGCTAGTTGTAAAAATAATCCTATTTTGAAGAAAGTTTTCTTTCTGGTGGTTTTAGAAGTTAAATCTTCTTATCAGAACAAACTATGGTTATACCTGGGCCTTGTTCTTGATCTGTATCTGCTCTGCCATGCAGCTGAAGCAGTTTCTCAGAGATCAGTGTCCGCTTCCTTCTTTCCACTTTGTCCCATAAAAAAGAGGAAAGTGTTATTCCTAGAGTTTAATTTAAACCTCTTGAATTGAAAATTAAATTTGTATCCTGTCTATCCACAGCGCTGATCCTGGTTTGGGGAGCAAGAAAGAACCGATTCACTGTTCCTTCACTTGATCGGTTCCAAGCAAAAAGACAGGTTTAATATAAGGATAAGGGTATTTTATAAGACTCCCTTGTATTTACTCTAGTCATCTTTGACTGGCAGTGGAGGCAGTGGTTATTTGACCTCTGTGGACCAACTTGGAAACATAAATATTTTTGTTCAGTTGAGAAGATTTACTCTGGTAGCTCTTTCCTATCTGGTATGTAAGAATTAACACACTAATGTCTAATACTTGCAAAGGCATCTTGAAGCCTTTTGCAGCATGTTCTGCCTGTCCGAGAGGCACAGCTACTCCAGTTTGAAAACAGGAGGTTGCTATTTTAGCTCAGTCTTTTATTTCGTTTCCTCACTGCCCCAAGAGAATTCAGGACTGCTTTCTCAGCTGGTCTCCCTTTTCAGCTGTAGTCTTGACATTTAAAACTAGACATGGAAGAGCTCCGGTTTTTGGATGGAAGAACTACCAAAATTATTTCTTTTTGTAATTGGTTTTAATCTAAAGTAAATTCAATTCGAAGTGAGGAGGCTTATACAAGATATTATGTCTACAGAGCTGACCCTGCTTTAAGCAGGAGGCTGGACCTTCTGAGATCGCTTCCAAGCTGAAATTTTTATATGATGCTACGAAGTCCTATAGATGGATCTCTGTGCCCACCACCAGTTCCTTTGCAGATATATCTGCTTAGTACCCCTTAGGAATACTTCTTCTTCAGCAGTGGCTTATATAGCTCATTTTTTTAATGTTGGCTACAGGTGATGAATAGAATTTTTTTTGTATGCATTCAGTCTCCTGTGCATCTCAGTCTCCTGTGGGGTCCTGTATTTGCTTCACCCTAAAGCTCCTGCCATCTTTGTCAGGGCAGCATGATGGAGTGGCTTGAGTCAGGGGCTTTGGCAATGTGGCTTCGTGAGCAAAACCATGGATATGTACCTTGGGCGCTGGCACATATGCAGGGATCTCTGGAATAGCCCAAGTCTGTCAAATCACCACTTCACTGAGACATCCCAGTTCCAGCCTTGAAGCAGCCCATCCAAGGCAGATAAGGGTCTTCTGGCTCTGAACTGGCTGGCATGCTGCTGGCTATGAGACAGCAGCATGCCAGCTGACGAGCTGACAGTCAGTCTAGACGAGCTGAAATAAGAGTCGTGGTACTGTCAGACCAATCTGAGCACAGCATGGATTCCTTTACAATCTCTGTGTCGTTATATCTTTGCTGAGTGTGGCCTGAACCAAACAAACAGATCAAGCCTATTCAACAATGTTCAAAGTTAAAATTCCTGAATTTGCTGTTGCCAGCACCCTAATTTTTCCTGCTGTGTTTTCACTGGTGAGGCTGACATAGAACATAGACACCCTTTGTGGTTCCTTCCTGCCCAGCCAGCACCATCGCTGACTTTTGTGTAACACTTCTTTTTTGTCTGTAGGTAACGCTCATGTGTACAGCAACGGCAGGATGCGATATACCTACCATCAGAGGCAGGACAGACGAGAACATCAGGGTGACGTAAGTGGAGAGCAGACGGGGGGTTGGGAGTCTAAAGGTTTTTCTGACACATGAGGTGTGAGCTAGTCGGTGCGGCCGTCTTGTGAAACAGTCCTACTTGTTTCCACCCTCCTGAACAGAAACCTAGAGTCATGGGAAGTGAGCTGCCTTCAGAATTTACACCAAGTTGCAGTTTTTAATTTCCTGCTGGTGGTTCTACCAGACTCTTATAGCTGTCATCCAGTGGGGAAAACGCTGGTGTCTCTTTAAACAGCGCTGCCTTGAAATAAGATGGTACCAGTAAAGTGTTCCTGTCTTTATCACAGAAGAAGCATTTCCTTTCTGTTTTAATTCTGTAATTTCAAAGGGTAAAATGCACTTTTCAGATAATATGGATGCTCATGGCTCCTTCTCCCTTTTATTCCAGTATTGAAGATGGGGTGTTTCTAATCTGTGATGCTTAATTAACCAAGAAAGGCACTTTATAGCATGAACTATTTTTATGTTTTCCCATCACAGAATATCTTAAGTATATCCTCCAGCACTCCAAGCCCTCTGGTTTAGAGCAGTGGGAATGAGGGACTTACTGTTCAAGAAACCAGGGTTATATAGTGAAGATTACTGTTTTCTGGGCATAACCAATTATATTTAGAAGCAAGCAAACAACTAAAACTCCCTGAATGTATTTTCTCAAGCTTAAAGGGGAAAGCGTACTCTGCTGAAACTGGAGGGAGCTCAGGAGGTGAGGTAGAGAGGGAATTACTTTCATCTGACACTGAAGAGGGGAGAAGGTTCTGCTCACTAGCACAAGCAGGACAGAAAACACATGTGCTCTAGAAAAACAAAATATGGGCATGAGACTTGAAATTCACTCAGTATCTCTGCCAGTCCCCTCTGCCATTTGTCACATCCAGAGAAGGGGCAGTGGGTTTGGACCTTCAGTCACGCTTCCTTTCCTGGGTGGGAACTCTAGGCTGATGAGTTCCCCTGAGTTATTTTGGAGTGCCTCCTAAGCCGAATGCCTGTGAAAAGCAGGAGAATCAAGGTTGTCTTAGGGCTGGGAGGGTGTGAGGGTGATGCTATGGGAACCTTGTGTACACGTGTATGGGTGGCATTCCACTCTGTGTTTCTGTTCCTTCAGGGTGGCCTTGGGTTGTTTGTCCAGCTGATGCCTATCCTCATCCTGATCATTGTGTCTGCTCTCAGCCAGATGATGGTCGCCAGCCCACCTTACAGTTTGAGCCATAGGCCGTTAGTACCCGTTACTCTAAAACTTACCTAGCTGGGGAGGGGGTTGGGCTCTGGAGGGCAGGGTGGTGTGGTGGGGTAGGGATCGAGGCTGTCTGTTTTTTCTGTCTTTTGGGGGGTTGGGTTGCTTTTCTTGCTTTATCTCATCACAACATTGCTTTTGTTGGCAGATGTCTTACACATCAGTGAAGGCCTCCTGGTTCTCAAACAGGTCTTGAAATGGAAAGTGTACAGAAGGTTGTAGAGTGCTCACTTGCCTAAGGGAGGATGTTCTTTGACAGAGACCTTCTGCAGCTGGGTGTTTCTGTCCTAGAAAGGGGCAAATGAAATGACTTTGAGAGACACTAGCTGAGCACCAAGATCCCATATGCAGAACGAATTGAGATGCAGAGTTAAATTGGACTGTGAAAAACAAAAGCTAGATCTGTTCTTCATGAAAGCCTCAGTTTATGCCTAATACAAAGCAGTAGGGGAAGAAGGAATAAAAGACACTCGCATAGAGTAAAAGGCAGTCCTAGATAAATTCCCTATTTTTTTAAGCTGTTTTATTCTAGATCCTGTGGAAATGCCCTGATATGCTTACTTGGCTGACAAATGAAGTGAGTCTATTCTTACCCACTTTGAAATGCCAACAAAGAATGGGAAAACAGGCTTGATTTCTGGCTGCTTGCATCATTCTTGACAAAAGCTTAATGTATTTTCTCTGAAAGTTCCTTATATGTATTTAAAGAGGGTAGACTGGTTACAGCCAGTGGTCCCTGTTTAGTTTCATAGTTGATAAAGTTTGCCATTGATGATGTTTAATACTGTAAATCGCAGCTTAGCTTTCGGGTCCAAGGTGAAGACTATGACATTAGTGCTCAGAGCCAAAAGGTGGAGTGTTTTTTAAGAGGGCACAGTTAAGGGTTATTCTGAGAAGCTAAAGAATATTTGTAAGCGACGAGGAGAAGCAGACAGGCCAACCCAATATGGATGATAAGCAAACTTCTACTTTATTTGTGACGCAGTTCACATATATATAGGAGTGGTATTCAGCCACTCCTCCTAGGCACTACAGTCTTGGTTAGACCCACACAGCTTCCTCCACATTCTCCTCCCATGTCCGGTTTCTGGTTACCTGTGGGGGCCACCCCCTGCCTTGCTCGCACAGGCCTCCAGGGCTCTATGGTCCTGCTCTTAGAGTCATTCTGCAACAATTCCCCCCTTTTTCTTCGTGCGAGCAAGGCATTGTGGGTTATTCTGTTCACCTGTTTTATGACACAACTATAAGCAAGTCTAATAGCTACGATTAACCTAACAATGATACGTAAGTGCAGTACTTCAAACAGCAGTGTTTAACTCAACCTGTAATGCCCCGTGAAGACAACCATCTAGTTATTCCTAGGATATTGCTCATTTACTATTGCTGGGTAAGCTGAGCCAGGGTTCTCAGCTGTGCGTGCATCGAATTAGCATAATCAGAGAGACTCATACAACACATTCCATCAAACTCTTCACATCCATGTCCCTGTTCCAACAACAAAAGGTTCTGCAGTGTTGCATGTCTTACAGAGTCAACATCAAAACAAATCAGGAATTGCCTTCGATGTAGAATTGTCTGCTTAGCAACTCAGCAACCCAGTCTGCTTAGTTGAGCCAAGGCCGCGGCTGAAGCACTTACAGTGATTTGGCATATTATGATTGGATACATGTTTTGAAGACCCTCAGTGACTAACATATAATTGGTTAAACACAGGTGTGAGAACTCAACCTTGAAAGCTTGCCAACAGTCCACAGTTCTCATTAACTTGGTGAATTCCAGCCTCTTATCTTGCTTGCTTAAGCTTCTTCGGGCCTCTCATGGCCTTGCTGTATCTTTCAGGACTATTCAAAGTTTGTGTACCAATTATGCATTCTCCCGTGAGAACACTGTCTCCACATCTTCCCCCTTTATGTTTTATATATGGTTTGGGTGACCCTACTTGAGCAGGGGATCTGGGCTAGATTATATCTCCAACATATGCCAACTAGAGGCTGCCTGGGCCTGCCCCTTTTTGCTGCTGTATAGCTCTCTGATCCTTCACATCAAGGTCTGGCATGGCATGTGTCCCCACCACTCCACGTCTGCTGCGTTGCAGCCAACAGCGGAGCTGAAGGTTCTTCTTGGTGGCAAACACAGAAGCCAACCCAGTCTTGCCCTTGATTGTGGTAGCAGGCATTTGGTCAGCCTCAGTCCTTGCACCTTGTTGTCAATACACAGTTTCACCTGCTTCATCCAGTAACAAGTCGCTACTACAGCAAGGCACACACAAATTTACGTTAGCAGAGTAACTATTACAGGGTGCAGCAGTATGTTGAAGATGCTGATGGCAGTGAGGGACTAGCCAAAGAAATTTCTTACCAGTGGAATTCTCCCACCCTCTTAATTTGTTCCATCACCTGCTTTATAACACTACCATTGTATTAAAATCTTTCTAGCTTTTGCCTTAGCATTTTCCAGCAGCTACTGCAAATTTCCATACTCTAACATCTCTTTTACAAGTGACAAATCTATACAATACAAGGTGCAGTTTCTTATTAGCAACTAGCTAGTAAATACAGGTGGTTTTATACACAAAACCACAACCTCTAATAATAGCTACTTTACAAGCACACATATTCAGGATGTTACTTTTCAGTTGTCCCCAAGTGATGTTTTGCAGTTAATCGTTCTTTCTCTTCCTCTATCTCATTCTGCTTGGGGTATTCACGGTCAGCTCCTGTAGCTGAGGCATCAGGTTTTTCCATTCGTCTGTCCAGCTCATGGCAAGGCTTCACAAACTTTGCAGGCAGTCGCCATGGACCTGTAGGCAGGAGGACACAAATATACCCCCTCCCCCAGGTTATCAGTTCTTCAGTTCTTGAGAAGTAGACAGGTTAGACAGGTTAAATGCAGCATCATTACTCTCTCTCCTTGTTTTTTTTTTTTTTCATTACTCCCACTACAGTCCCACGTACAGAACGTGGCACAAGGACCCTGTGGAGACTAACAGCAAACCAGCTCCGAGAAGCATCATTGCAGTGCGAGGTGGCAGGCTCAACCTTAGCGGGCGTCCCCGCAGAGGCTCTGCCTCCCTCACATCGTATGAGGCTCGGGCTTTTATACTGACCAAAATGCACACTCATTCCGACACAGGTGGCCAGCCTGTGCTGGAAGAAGTGCCCAGCAGTATCTACAAAGGTCTCCAAGGGTTGATAGAAACCTGGACATACCTATATTTACCAACTTCTAGTACATGAGTATCACAGAGAAACTTTATGGGCTCCCCCTGTCAATTGCAAGAAAAAATCATAACATATACAGCTTTAGTATAAGAGGATTTTAACGCCTATGTGGTCACTGTTTGGTGGTCACTGTTTGTCAGGCCTCCTTAACTATTTTGAGATCAATAGCTTCCCACTCTTTAGCCCCCTACTGTGTAGTAAACACAGGATATGCAAAGATGCCCATTGCAGAAAATTCCCCAGTAATGATCGCATCCTTGGTTACCCATTGTTACAACTGAGCATCTCCAGGGCCAGTAAGTCTGAGCAGACCCACCCGGGAGACAAAGAGTCAGAGTCCAGAAACAGAGGATATAAATCTGGTTCGGATTCAGAGGATTCGGGGGCTGATCCTGGGCCGAACTCAGGGTCTCCGTTGCTCGCAGCTGTGTCTTTCTGATCAGATGTCTCTCGTTTCCGTATGTAGCCATCTGCAGACCTGGCTCCTCCATAACCGAGTTAAAAATTTCCACTCTAGAGCATAGTGGGTTGGAGAGGCTCGCGGTTCCTTTAAATCTCCCGCTAGCGCATGATCTCTATTTTCTACTGCGTGCTTCACAGTGGCACCGCAATCGATCTGGCGCCGAGGCACCGCCCTCTTTCTTTCGGATTCCTCGACATTTATCATGCGTATCCCTTCTAATATACTTTCTCTGTCCTTTTCAAAGTCCCTACTTTCGGAACTGGGGTGGTGGGGGAGCAGGGGGTTACACCTCCTCTGCGGCACCTTCTGATGGAGGGGGAGAAAAGGAAGGGGGGGGGGGAACCCTGTGCTCCCGCGAGCTGGGGGAAACGAGTTGTAATCTTCCCCCGGTTTCAACCGACCGGGGACGTCTGTTCCTAGTTTCTCCGTTGCTACCGCGGCAGTTTTCTTTTCTGCCTTGTATCTTTTTATACAGTTTATTACTTCTGTCCGTGGTTTACCGAGTTTCTTTGCCGTTTTATCATCATTTAGCATTGAGTCAAATAGTTCTTCACCGAACTTTCGCCACTCACTCTCCTCAAAAACTGTATTAGGATCTACAAAAAGTCCCTTAGCCTTCGCTATAGCCACTAGACCTGCTAGCTGCTTTAGAGTCTCAGGCTCAATTCCCCGCTTTTATAAAAAGCACTGTAATAAATCTAGGGCTACCTCTCGGTCCATTCTCATGGCCGGCCTTTTCCGGATCGTCTTCTTCTGGATCATCCTGTAACCTCGGTCTCCGGATCGGCCTCCCAACGCAGCAGTGTCTGGTTCGCCCCAGCGGTGGACTCCTTTCGGTTAGTCCAAGCACCCGGGTCCGTCACGCCACCGCAGCAGTATTGCCCGCGCTCCCCGGCCGCTGCCGCCAGCACCGCTCACTCGCCATTCCGGGTCCCCGTTAACCGGGGCCCTGTAACCGGGGCCCTGTAATCCAGGTCCCCGTTAACCGGGGCCCTGTAATTCGGGTCCCCGCTAGTCGGGGCCCTGTATCTGGGTCCCCGTTAAACCGGGGCCCTGTAACCGGGGCCCTGTAATCCGGGTCCCCGTTAACCGGGGCCCTGTAATCCGGGTCCCTGTAATCCGGGTCCCCGCTGGTCGGGGCCCTGTATCCGGGTCCCCAGTGACCAGGGCCCTGTAGTCTACGTCCCTGTTCGGGCGCCATTTGTAAACGGCGAGGAGAAGCAGACAGGCCAACCCAATATGGGTGATAAGCAAACTTCTACTTTATTTGTGACGCAGTTCACATATATATAGGAGTGGTTTTCAGCCACTCCTCCTAGGCACAACAGTCTTGGTTAGACCCACACAGCTTCCTCCACATTCTCCTCCCATGTCCGATTTCCGGTTACCTGTGGGGGCTACCCCCTGCCTTGCTCGCACAGGCCTCCAGGGCTCTATGGCCCTGCTCTTGGAGTCATTCTGCAACAAATATTGAGGTGTGATTTCTGCAGTTGATATTAGTTGATATTAGGACTGCAAATTAAGCATATACCGGTTTGGTTTATACTGGTGAAGAGGTGGTTTGCGGAAGACGTTCAGTGGAGGACAGCTTCTAAGTGGGCAGAGATTTGTTTCCAGCCTTGTCAGCTGTCAGAGAAAAGCCATCCCTGAGTCTCAGCTGTTTCTCTGCTGCTTGGTTCCCTGTTCCCTCTGCTGTCCCTGTCTCTGCATGCTCAGGTAGCAGCAATCAAACCAATTCCCAAGTTTGGATTTGGACAAGAGCAGCAAATGAGCTGATCCAGACCTCCACAATCCTTCCTGAGTGACCAGGGTTCTGCAAATGGAGCAAAAGGCGCACTGTGCCGGCAGGCGGTGCTGCTTGCTCACTCACCCCCACAGGCAGCCCTCCTGCCTCTTGGAAATGCTGTGCTTGGCTGTCGTTCAGCAGAAAGCTGGAGCTTGCTGCACTGAACTCAGTGACCAGGAGGCAAGAAGCTTTTAAACCGGGTTAGGTTTCAACGGCACACAGAGATTTTAATGCCACTTCTTGACAGTGAAGCTGTCACTGAAAGAGGTAGAGTCCTAAAGAACCATTTGTTACTTGATTACCTTTTTCAGTCTCTTCCAAAACCTAGCTTTCTGCGAAAGGGCCTCTCTGGCTGTGGGCCTGACTCTGACACCCTGCTCTTCAGTAACACCTCATCGAATTTGCATGACTTAATTGCATGTCTGACTTGAGGTGGCAGGTTTCTTGAACCAGGTCCTGCCCTTGTTTTGATGCTTCAAGCATGCTGCTAAAGCTCTGCAATCTTAAGTACTCCTCCTGTGAGGGTACACTTTGTAGCCTCCATAGTTCATCATTATACAGAAGCAGCATATGAACTTAAGGAGAACTTATGGCCCTGTCTGGACAGGTGAAATGGTGAGCCGAGCTTCTTCCAGAGCTGAGTCTCTGCCAGCAGGCACTGCTGGAATTGCATTAGCCTTTCTCTCTAAGAATGCCAGCAGAGCCTTTTGGTCACGTTCAGTCTATCCGGTTACCCACCACTCGTCTATGAGTGCTGGACCTTGATGAAACTTGCAGCAGTCTTTGAATCACTCCTGTAAACCCTGATAACAGACCCAAGGACTAGCCGGATGAGTGAATGTTTATACCTGCCTTAAGAATCAGGCTCACTTTTAATGCAGCAGCCAGCTGGTATTTATTATGGGAAACTTTGGGCATGTTTCCAGATGGAGCTGTTCCTTATGAATCCAGCATTTGGGCACAGGTCCTGTGTTACAGCTTGCAAACACACCCTAGTGAGTATCTCTAGGTTTGCTGAAGTGTCAGGGAAAATATGTACAGGGCTTTGTCTGAAATGCAAATCCATGGGGGTAGGGTAAGAAGAGATTTCCTTCTAGAAAGTGCTTTCTGTGCTAGTTGGTGCAGGTTGAGTGCAGAGCGGGTCTAATTTTGTTCCTGCAGCCACAGTGTTCGTTGCAGCATGTGATGTGGTAAAGGAAGCTGACGCTCCTGGGGTTAGCAAATGTCTTAGCAGAGGGGACTGGGTTTGCCTTTGCAGAGGGGAGGCTGTGGGGAGCTGTGACAGTAGCCCCTGCTCTGTCCTCACCTTGGCACTCCCCTGCTCTGCACAGGCACCATTCTGCCTTGCTGGCTGCTCTCACCCTGCACTGCACAAGCATCAGCCTCCAAGCTTTGTAACCACCCTTGGGGCTCACTGCCAAAAACATGATGGTGTCGTCAGCAAGGAAATTGCTGAGAGATTTAATTAGTGCTGAAAATTCTAGTGAACACTTTATTTTACGTGGGGTTAGGCCTTGGGCAATCTGCCTCAGAGTTATGTCTGTATTCAGAGCTCTGCCCACCTAGCTAGAGGCCTGGCAAGTTTTCTCTCCCTGCGTTAGCATTTTATTTCCAGCAGAAATAAACCTTTCCAAACCTTCAAGCCCATGGATGCTTAGGAGCAATGTATGTTTTCACTGTTCTGTTATCGTGGCACGTTGTGCATTATAAATTGCTGGGACCTTTTGCTATTCCCTTGAAGCATGTCCGACACTGTTCTGCCTCTTCTCCCTGAACTAGGTCTGTGGGTCACACACACAGGAGAGTGACAGAACACTTGAAGGTCATCTACTACGTATCTGAGAACTTTGCAGATGAATACACAGGCACGAACCTGAAAAATGTTGAAAAGAGCGTGGAGGAGGACTACATTGCAAACCTTCGAAATAACTGCTGGAAAGAGAAGCAGCAGAGTGAGTAGTGTGGGGTCAGGAGTGGAGGGTCTTGGCTGCTGCATGAGGTCAGCTTTGGAAGGGTCATCAACTGGGGACTGAGTTAAGCTAAGGTTATACTTTAACACGGTGCGAGCACATTTCCTGTGTCATTGGCTATTTGTTTCACTCTGTGACTTCGTGACAAACGCAGTATGTGGGGGGTTTGTTTTTTAATGCTGCTGTAGAACTGGTCAGACAAGAGTTGTGCCCCAGAGATTCCGGAGGGGGAAGGTAGCAGATGTCTGATTTTCAGGAGGGCTCTCATAGCTCTGTGTAATATTGTAGTTGTTTGAGGACCACATCTAAAAGTCTGTTGCCCATGCAGTCCTCCATCCCACATCCTACCCCTGTTCAGAAGGGTGTGGTGGCAGCCCTGACATTGCCTTGCGTGCTGTTGAAGGCGTGCAGGGTCCAGAGAGACAGCTACCCAGACAGACAGATGAGAGATGCTGGCCAGGCAGCACAGTATGGTGAGGGCAGAAAACCTTTTGCTGAGTCCCAGGGGTGACCTGACTTCTCTGCCTGCCCGTTCCCACCAGGTGATGATCACAGCTCTTGGAGCAGTGGTAAGGGTAGGATTTGAGTGCCTGGGACACAGGAGGGGCTGTTAGAGCCCCAGGTAGTGCCAGGTGAGGCCAGTGCACGAAGTTTTGACCCTCTAAGTTTCTTCTGCTGGGGTAACCATTGTGTAGGCTCATGAGCCTCCTGGGACTAGAGGCATGTTCTGTTAGGTTCCTAAGGTTTTTTTTCCCAGGATGGATGAGCTGTCAGCATATGTTAGCTTACGCCCATCCTGTCCTAAAGTGCACAGGGCATTTCCTCAGCCTCATCCTGTGCTTCGTCTTGCCTTGAAAACCATGAGCTGCCTCCTGTTCCCAGCAGAGCCCATGGTGGGGTGTGGCCTGGCAGGTGGTTCTCCTTCCACACTGGGTTCATAACGCTGGGCTTTTCCCTTTGCAGAGGAAGGCTTGTTGTACCGGGCACGCTACTTCGGAGACTCGGATCTGTACCGACGAGCACAGAGCATGAGCACCCCCAGCTGTAGCAGACTGTCAGACGTTCAAGCCCTGCATGGATAGTCACCGCCTGCCTGCTCAGCAGAGGTCTAAGTATGAGCTGGTGGTGCTTCTCCTGGCAGCAGAGCAGAGCACAATAGTGCTTTTAATACTTACTTACATCTCTGTTTGAGACACAGATCCTCATGAGTCTCCTCTGGATGCACATACGTCACAGGGGGAAGCACCCCCTGCTGTCAAGCATACACTTGTTAATCGGGAAATTGATTTTGTTTAGTTTGCATGTTGGCATCCTCAGCTCTCTCCAAGCTCCCTGTTTTATCTGGCACTGGTAGTGTTGGGTCTCTAGGAACAGAGCAAAAGGCCCAGGCTTGTTGGCGACACAGCTGAGGTCTTGTCAACTACACATTCGATAGAGCAGCCATGCATGCCTCGGCTAGTTGGGAGCTTTTTACCAGCCATGGCAGGCAGCTGCCATGTTTTAATGAACCCTTTTTTGGTTGCTTTATTGTCTGTTTTACTGAAAAAGCTGTTTTCCCCGGATACTTGAAGCAATATGATGACAGGGAATGCACTCCTACCAAACAGATGTTCTTGCCCCTGCTGTTGTCTTCCCATGACACTCAAGGAGAACAAAGCAAATGGCCAGAGTTCACGGCGGGTCGTAGAAGCAACTTACTGTGTTAAACTGGGAATCAAAGTAAAAACAGCTGAGGGGGTGCCTGGAAGACTCAGGGGTTAGAGAGCCTGGATTAAGGTGAGCCCAGGGGGCACATGTGAGACCGGGTGTGCTGGGTGACAGGAGGACTGCACAAAAATAAGGAAAAAAATTGGCATGCATTTTGGAGTCCTTTTTCTGCTTAATTATCTGAGCTGATCTCACCTACCAGATAGTGTTGGGATGGCTGTAGAACACCCAGGCCCCTCCTACCACAAAGTTATTGGAAAACAGGGTTTCTATAGAAAATTAATCAGAGATGAAGCTTGCCCAAATGTTAATTTTACAGACACCACTTAGGCTTGTGAAGACTACTTCAGGATGTCGGACACCTAGCTGCTTGATTTATAGATATAAGTAAGGAGGTTTAGCAGGGGAGGTTTTGTTCGGTTTTTATTTTCCATGGCAGAGGGAGTGCTCCTGAAAGTTTGGCCTTTCAAACAAATCCCCTGGGTTGCGTTCGGCCTTTTTTTGGGTGTATCCTGTTTATGGAGCCATTCTTATCTTGATATACCCGCTCTCCTGTTTTGATAACTGCGCCTCTTCTTTCATGACAGACCAGCATTAATTAGCTGCTTTTCTTCAATTGCCTCTCTGTACCTGTGGTCTGAAAAGAGAGCTGCTCTTAGGCAGAGGGCCCACTGCGGATCGAAACAGTGCGACTGACAAAGCTGCTGCCTGTATTGTGGGAGGGGCACGAAGGGGGAGGTACAGTGACGTGCGCTTGTCCAGAGACTGACACGGCTACCGCTTTTGTCCCCAGACTCTTGAAATGCCTGAAGACTTTTGGTGAAGTGCACTGAATCGAGGTGACAGACTTGCTATTTCAAAGAATCAAACCTTATCTTACAAATGGAATTGGAGAATTAGCAACGCACAACTGCCCTCTTTCTTCTCTCTGCCTGTCTCCACCATTCGACCTACATCTGAGGCAGCGATTAGGACAGGAAATCGAGCTGCCTGTGTTCCTCCTTCCCTTCTGACACCGCTAGCGTGCAACAGTCCCATTGCTCCTGGGATCCCACAAACCTGAGAACAGACACATAGAGTGTAAAAACACAAACTAAATGTAGAAGCCATGAAGCAGAAGGATGTCCTTTGTGACCATGCTGGTCACTGCTGACGGAGAGGGGAATTGGACGATTTGGTGATAAAACTCTAAAGAAAAGAAAACCAATATATAATCTATTTAGAATTAATTTATAGCTGTATATATGTTGTACTTTTAAACTATGCAGGGGTTGGATGATTAAATTATTTTGTTTTCTGCCCAGTTTGGTAAACAAGGAAGCGGGAAGTCTCTTCCCAGGGTGTCTCGTCCTGCAGCACTTTCCTGCCTGACACACTAACACAAGAATCACTTTGCAGTTACTGTAATTTGCTTTCTGGAGGACAGCAGCATTCTGCTCCTTGGGATGTCAATACCTGCCTTTCAGGTTTTACTAAAAGGAATTCCAGCTCTGTAGGGGGTAACAGAGAAAAGGGGGAAGCTCTCCAGATTTGTGGTGTGGTTCTGCCGCGTTGGCAGAAGCTGCAGCAGGTCAGCTGAGCCCCAGCGTCGTGCTTGGTGGTGGGAAGGATTGTCCTGGATGGGTTTTGCTCATCAGTCGTTGGGTTTATTTGTGCACGTAACTTCTTTTTTTGCAGAGTCTGCTTTAATTTTGCCTCGCAATCAGCGTGCAGCGTTCGCGCTGTAAAGAGGGCTTTCCACGAGCTGCCTCCCTTTGTTACAGTTGTTTCCGGTCTGTCCTACACTTGGGGTTCCTCACCCACCAGCATTCATGTTTGCAGTTTGGCTGTGGCCTTGACACCCTATCTGTCTCTGACGTTTCCTAGATGGGACCTGTAAAATACTGCTAATTCATAAGAAACAGAGCTTCCTATTGCTTCTGTTGAAAGAAGTGTTGCTGGGGGAGATTGGCGCGTGTGCCAGAGCTCTCCTTGCACCCCACCTGAGCTCTGCAGTGCATCTCTCACTCCATCACCACCGGGCAGGACTGGCATAAGGGCAGCGGGAGGGCACTCAAGGTTAGGAGCCATCTCTTCAAAGCAAAGCTGGCATGAGCTGAGCTACCTTCCATGGGATAAACTGGATTCTTTTCCTTGGCACTCTTCAGTTCATTTTTGTCTAAAGACATTTCCAGTGAGAACAGTCCCCCAACACACTTAGGGGAATGAATCAGAAGCATGGCAGCTCCTGGGTGGGATGGCAGGGGCTGGAAGCGGTGAGAGGTAAGGTGGTTTTGTTTCTTTGTCATTAAGAACCCACATGCTCTGTCTTCAGCCATTTATTTGTTCTGCAAAATACTGGCTCGCCTGTTAGCTGCAAGCCTTACTATCCCACAGGCACCGTTACTTGGGCCTGATTTTAAAGGGTTGGGGTTTCTTGCTTGTTTTGTTGGTTTCCTTAAATTATTCTTCTACCTTTGGATGGAAGTTGGATGGCATTTGGAAATAGCTTCTACTAGAGGCTCTGGCTAACGGGCACAAAGAGATCCTGGGGAGGGGGTTAAACAAGAAACATGTTCATGTAAGTTGCTGAATGTCTTGCACAACAGCATTCCTTGCCCAGAACCTGCCCACCAAACCTTTTGATTATATTTTTCCAAGTAGATACCCATGGATAATAATGAGCCAGAAGGCGTAGATCCTAACGGATGCTCAGAGCGGCTGTATCTCGATTTAGAATTAATTATACAATTGTACATCTATAAATAAATGTTTACAATCTGAAAGGCTCCTGCTGTGTTGGTGTCCTGCAGATCCTTGCCCCAGCCAGCTCTGGTTTTACAGCTCCTTCTTCACACCACCTTTGTTGCATCCACACAGGTGTTCAGTGAATGGGATTTGGTGTCTCTACTGTCCCAGCAAGCCCCAGTGGCTGAGAGCTCCAGCACTGCAGAGGCCTCCCCAGCGTGGGAGAGGGAAGGACAGGGAGAAGCTGGAGAGCAGGTAGTGCCCCCTGAATTAGCTGTGGGTCCTGGTAAGGGGATGGCAAAGGCTTAGAAAGACATCTTTGCTTCAAACTGGTTCCACAGGGATGCTCCCAGTAGGGTGCCTTGTGCCTCATCTTCTCTTGAATCAAAGCACCTTTGTTAGCCAGGTCCCCCACATCCTCTGGCCAAGCTGTTTTTGGGGATGCTTTATTCTCACTCCAGAATCCCACCATTCTGGCAGCATCATCCCAGTGTTCAAAGATGACCTTCAGACAGGTCTGGGGAGGGTGGTGGGCAGGAACGCGTGGGCTGCCTTTGTCCTGGATGGAAATGTGGCCTAGACGTGTTTCCCAAGAGGAGAAACTGCTGGCTCTTGGGGCAGGCCTGACCCCTCTCGTGCTCCCCCCTGCCTCCGTAGCCCCACACATCAAAGGACTGGAGGTTTTGGGGTGGTTTCTTTCCCACTTTCCCATTTTTTCCCTCCTCTCAGAGGCCAAGGGGTCACGTCGCTTCCATTTCCCCTTGGCACTGTTCTCAGCCGTGGCAGTGAGTCAGCCCTGCTGACCTCCCACAATGCCTGTGCTGGCTGGGAGTGTCTGGCATGAACCAACACAGCCCCCAGCAAAGCCCTGGTGCCACTGGCACAGACCCCGCCACTCCATTTACCTGCTTTAATTCTGTAATCAGCTGCATCCATGCAGAAGTTTTTTGGGTGCTTTTGCTGCATTTTGGGTCATTCCCAGCCCAGAGCAATGGGAGATGCTTTGCACTTTCAGTGTGCTGGTCCCTTCCCACTCACCAAAGGTGTGGGCAATTTTGGCTGCCTATTAGCTCCTTCCCTACTTGGTAGGTCATTAGCCCGTGCTTTTAATTGGAGTGGTGGCCAAAGGCAGGGAGGCAGCAGGGGAAGGGAGGTGCCCCATGATCATCCTCTTCCCACATGTAAGGAGTGAAGGGGACCCTGCATATGACCACCATCATTTTTGGCAGCAACACAAGAGGGTTTAGCATTATCCAAGGACTAAAATCCCCATTTGCCTTATTGCTGCTGATGTCCCAAAAATCTCACTTCTCCCAACACCATGATGGCACCTGGACTCCCGGGACTGAGGCCAGTGCCACAAATAACCCCATCACCACCTCCCAGGTCCCAAAATATCCCTCTGCCTGCCCCTGCACTGGGAGATGCTAAATACAGCCTCGCTGGAAGCTCCTGGCACTTTCCAGGCAGCTGCCAAACCCCAGGGACCTTGAGAGCCCCCCAGATTTGTCACAGAAAGGCCATTTTGCTATAAATAGAAGCAAAGCTTCACCTGCCATCACTCATGGCTGCAGCTGTGACCATGGGGCATTTCAGGGGCGTATGGACCCACATGGAGGGTTTTGCTGGGCACCCCCCCAACAAAGAGGCTGTCATTCTGCATTGTTTTTCATTCTCTTGGCATTATTCCTTGTAATAATGATTTAAATGAATGTGATGTGGAGGCCCTCACCCACCCCAGAAAGGCTGGCAGGGAACAGGCGAGACAGGGGGCCATCCCCTCTGCGTGCTTAGGGGCTCGATACATAAAACTGTGTATTTATAGATATATATATATATATATTCAAGACACAATGTGTCTCAGAGGTGATGACGGCACAGCCAGAGCCAGGCCACCGGTGTTGCTGCCGTCACCGTGCTGTAAATCTCTCACCACATGCTGCTTCCACCCTGTGCTGGTGGTGCCAAAATCTGCTTCTCTCCTGATTTCACAGCAAAACTTAGGGTTTGGAGCTTCCTTTGCAGCCCTCTCAGTGGCTCCAGGGCTGTTCTGGTGGGTGGTTTTGTGCTGGGCAGCCCCTCAGGGCACTGCACTGCCTGACCCTAGCATGGGGATGCCCCTCACGTGAGGGAGGGAATGCTCTGGCATGAGACCCTTTGGAAAACATCCCACCTCGCTTTGCACAATGTGGGTTTGTAAAGGCACGTTTCCAGCTGTATCCACCAGGCATTCCTTGTTGCCCTGACTGCTCCGAGGCAGTATTTACATAGGTGAGCAACCTCATCTCCCAGCACTCCGGCTGTGGGTTGTTCTTCTCGAAAGCAACTTTTTTTGGTGGAAATTTTCATCAAAAAGTTACTGTTTGTCCACAGGAGAGTGGAAAAAAAAAAAAAGATAATAAACCCAAACCAAACCAAACAAAAACCAACAGAAGCCTGAGCCAGAACAAGCTCACATTTGAATGGAAATGGTTTTTCAGGCTGGCTTTATCCCCCACACCTTCTGAGGCTCTTCATTTGCCAAGCAGCTTAATTGCCCTTTAGTGAAAGCCTTTTCTCCGAGTGACTCTAATTGCAGGCTTGAGTAATTGGTCTCATTTCTGCAGTGTGTTTGGAGCTGGGGAGCGCTCCCCCGGCAGGTGTGACCCTCCCACCTCCCTCCCTCCCTCGCAACTGCAGCCAATGCTCCTGGCTTTCTGCCCACCCCCCCACAGCTCCCATGGAGAGCAGCAGCCCCTCGCTGGGGAGCCCAGGCACCGGCATGCACCTGGCTGGCTCAGGGGTCTGACTCAGCACCCCTGAGTCACAGCCCCATGCCCTGCAATTAGGAGCTGTCACAGTGGGATTCCCCCCCTTCCCAAAGCCTTCAGCTCCCACCTGCCAGGAAAAAGCTTCCCAAGGATGCCAGAGGGGATTTCACACCACTAGACAGCGGTTGCATCATCCCAGAGTGACAACGGAGACAGCAGGTTATCAATTAAGACAAATTTTATTAGAAAAGTAAAAAACCACCGACACGATTGCATAGGAAGTCTTGCACTTGAACATCAAGTGTAGGAGTGTAAACTGTAACCAATGAAGCACCCACAGCGTGTCACGGTGAGGGGTCCTGCCCTCCGTCCCCTGTGTCACCTCTCCCACCATTCACTCTCCCCTCTGACGATCCAAGACCCAACGCGATTTCAGACCCCCCCTCCTGCATCACGGGGAGCCCGCACAGAGCTGCCCAGATGCCAGCAGTGGGGTTTCGCCTTTGATCCAAACTTACAGCTCAGCTGTCACTCACTCCCACACAGCCCCTCCCCCAGAAACCCCATTGATTACAATCCTTGTTACAAAAACCCCATGATTAATCAGCCAACGGGAGGAGGTTGCCTGCCCCCAGCAGCTCGGCTGCCACATCCGGGAGCGCAGTCACCGCAATCACCCCACAATCATCGACAGTGTGAAGCAACCTCCGCCCGTGTCCTGGCCGGCTCTGCTGCCAGGGATGCCCCGGCACAGGCAGGCACTCCGCGGGGACCTCCGCCTGCCCCAACTACTTCCACCTACAGCCCTACTCCAGCCTAACCTAAACTACAGCAGCTGCTAGGAGCTGCCACGCTCTAACCGGCTCTTCCAAAGCACTTGAGTAAGTCCCTTCTCTGGCACAGCCCATCAGCACTCCTCTATGAGCAGCTGCTCGGAGCTGTACAGCTTCTTCTTGATGACCCTGAAGCCCGTGCTCAGCTTCAGCGGCGTGAACGCCGGTCCCGAGGTGAAGAGTCCCTGGATCTTGGGCCACAGGCGGGAGTCCAGCCGGAGCACCAGGGTGAGCTGGAAGGTGGGCACCACGGCCGGGTCCACGGTGATGTGCCCCACGTCGTGGCAGGCCTTGCCGTGCTCCACACAGAGATCAAGGAGGGCCCCGCGCAGCCCACACGGTTCACTGCAGGCCAAGCGCAGCAGCTCCGTCCTCACCTGCGCCAGCAGCTGGGCCGGCATGAGGAGCCGGGAGCAGCGCTTGGCGCCCAGCGGGGCTCTGCCCAGCGTGGTCTGGACCAGGTCCATCAGGTTGGCACACAGCAGCTCGTCTTCAGGGTCATGCAGCAGGTCCAGGTCCGGCAGGGAGACACCATCAGCGTATTCAGCATCTGCAGAGAGAACGGGATGCAGATCAGCACCGGGACCACCGCCTGCGGACAGGCTAGGGTCTCACGGTTGTGGAGGCACGCTGAGCCGGGGGTTGGGGGTGTAACTGTGGCACAGCACCTTCAACTCAACCCCACCCCCCTCAGGACCCCAAGGGCGGCTCCCACCCCGCTCACCTCCCTCCGACCCGGAGGCGCTGCCTAGCGACTCGCAGTCCGAGGTCTCCAGGCGGCCGGGCTCGCCTCCCGCCAGCCGGTGCCACAGCCCCGGCATCGCGCCACCACCGCTCGCTCTGCCCTACACCCGCCGCGCCGCCGCCTCATATAGACCCGGCACGGAGGGGCCCGCCCCCCATCCGCGCCCGCCAATGGGAACGCGGGGCACGTCCGCGGCGTCTCCCCTGCCCGGTGACAGCGGGAGGCCCCGCCTCTCCCGCTGCAAACGGCGTCGGGGGTTGCGTCAGGAGCTCCGGGCAGCGCCGGTGCAGCCCGCCCCGCCCCGGCCCCGGCCCCGGCCCCGGCCTGCATGGCCTGGCTTTGCCTGGTCTTGGGCTTCACCACACGCAGCCCGGGGCCAGAGCCCTTCGCAGGCCTCGCTGCTTGGCCTCAGGCACGTTGTGGTGGGGACAGCAGCGGGAAGGGGGACACACGCCGTGGACACGGGTTCCCCGTGTTGTGACACACGCCCCGGCTCGCACGGAAGCAGGCAGCAGGTGACGAGCTGTGAGGGGTTTGTATGTGCTGTCTGGGACGTGCCCGCTGATCACCATTGTCTTCCAGGCGGTGTTAGCGTGACGGTGTTAGCCCTGGCAGGGCCTGGTCCTGCTGTGCACGGCAGAGGCAGCCCAGCCACGGGCCGTGGCAGGCTCAGTTCACTGCTGCCCTGTTTCTGGTTACAAACCAAACTGAGAGCCTGAGGCTCTGCAGGTGATCGGGGTGCCAGTGTCCCGTTTGTCAGTGTCGTCGTGGTTCCTGAGGAAAATAAAGCCTGCTGGAGTGAAACTGTTAAAAACTGGAAGGCCCAGCACAGTGATTTTGTTCAGTGCCAGCCTGGAGTAACCCCATCTGCCTTTCCCAATGGAGCCATAGAATGGGGGCAGGACACTGTCCTGTTCCGAGCCCTCTGCTCTGGAGGCGGAACCCCACAGGTCAGTGCGTGCTGGACCCTGCGTACGTGACCTTTCCAAAGCCAGAGCCTGCGGAGCGCAGGAGCCGAGGGCCCATTAATTGGTGATAAAGGGCTTGCTTTGTCCTCCTGCCGCCGCGCTGCCCTGGCTTTATCAGAGGAGCTGAGCACATTCTGAAGTCACTCCGGGTGCTATCTTGGGTACTGTCCTTCCTGAGCAGAGAGTGATAACAGCCCAGCAGTGACAATGGTGGAGAGCAAATGTGGGTCAGGAGGGAGGGGGACAGGCTCTCCATGCCAGCACCATGCTTGCTGCCTGTGACCTCTGTGCTGGCTGACAGGTGTGAGTGTCCGGACACCCCACCAGCAGCTGTAGTGGTGGGAGTCAAAGGAGAAGCAGGGCTTGGATCCGTCACCACTTTGGGAGCAGAGGCCCAAGCCGGGGGAGCAAGTAGCATCCCAGGGAGGTGTGGGCCAGAGGGGCTACGCAGGGAGCTGGGAACAAGCCCTGGCTTGCGCCCATGGCATGCAAGGCTACTGCTCTGCTTTTTGGGAGAAAGCATGAACCAACCCCAGCTGTTAAAAATACACACCAATACTTGTGCACTTGTGGTGCGGTGCAGTGCAGTGAAGTATGTACACACACACTCGGGAGCGGCTGGATGGTGCTTGGGATCCTGTTTTTAATGAAATCTAGCTCGTGGCTTTTTTCTCCCCACAGCCACCAAGTGATTGGTGCAAGTGTTCCCTGGGTGAGGCTGAAAATAGATGAGGAACTGCTGGCTTTGGGGTCAAACCAGGGGGAAAACGGCAAATAAATGAAAAGGAGGTACAGGACCACAGGGAAGGTGCCCTGCTATAAATAACCTTGAATTCTGAAGCCCAGCATAAATATTTTTCTTTCTTTGCCATAACACTGCCTGGCAGGCAGGGAAGCAGGCAGCCTCTGCTGTGATGGCAGGCTTTAAAGTGAAATGTAAGTTCTGATCTCTGAAATCAAATAATCCTAACACGATGTTGCATGCTCCTGCTTTTGCTGGGAGGGGAGGTGATGCAGGGCTTGCAGCTCCTCTTCCTTTGCGAAAGAAGCTGCAACCCAGGCTGAGGAGAGCCTCTAGAAAGTTTGGTGCTACAAAGCAAAGTTTTAACTACAGTGTTTGTAATCCCTGTGCTTCCCCTCCCCAGGAACAGCTGCTGGCATCAACCCAGCGTGATTTTTGTTAGCCAAGCAGCGTGTCCTTCCCCCTGACCTGCAGTCCTTTCTGCGGAGATCAGAGGGGGTTTGGGATGATGGGTGAAACTTTCCGGACAGCCTGTTCCTGGCCTGCTGTGCCTTGTGGGACACACACATACCACAGCCCCCAAATGAGATTTGCTCCATCACTCCCATTTCCTGCCTGGCCGGCTTTGCAAAGGGTTAAGCCGGAGCTGTCGGGGTGGCGGGCATTGGGGAGGGTCCTGGCTAGGCCCCTGCCCAGGATGTGCTGAGCTCAGCAGTTCTGCAGGGCTGCAGGGGGAGGGGCCGGAGGAGAAGGAGGAGGAGGAAGGGAGGGGATGTACCGGTTGGGGGGCCTCAGTGAGTGACTCTGTGCACGTTGGGTGCAAACCGTGTCCCACATATGCGGGGGGGCACATTCCTACCCCATGGGGTGGCTGCCACTGTCCATGGTGCGGTCCCTGTCTTCACATTGGGTTTCAGCAGCTCCATTGCCCCAAAAGCTGCTTTTAGGTAGATTTACACATTGTTTTGGCACACAGTTGCCAGTTGGGGTTGGCACAGAGGCTGGTGTGATCATCTGTGTCCAAGTGGGGAATGTAACAAAGGGTCTCGGCTGGAAGGAAGCCACAGTTTTTGGGCGGTCCCCTAAGTGCCTGCAGGGTGGGTGCCTTTTGAACCCTCTCTGACCCTGTCTGTAGTCACCAGGTCCCCAGTGGTGGCAGGGGGTGATGGGCACACAAGGGGTGACCCCATACATCCTTCACCACCGTGCTGAGCCTGGGGCCAGCTCTCAGGGGCGAGCTCTCAGAGGCGAGCTGAAGGCTGCAGCTGCGTGGGACGCTGCAGCAGGTCCCGGCGTGCTGCTGGCTGGGCAGGTCTCCACCACAGCCGAACCTTTCAGGCTTCTCTACCCCCAGGACAAGCAGCGGCAGGCAGGCTGCCTGCCCGCGAACTGGGGGAGTCGGGTGGAGAAACAAGGAACGTGCACACAAGCAGGACCATGGATGGGTTTTGGCGGCCAAGTGCTGGGTTGGCATCGTGCCATTTGTATGGTGGGGGCTGTGAAATTCATCTCCCGATGAAAATTCATTTGCCTGCCCCAGGTAAAAGCCATGAGCTGGTGCTTGGGGGCCTGCCCCCCAGTCCTGCATCCTGGGTGTGGGCAGAGGCCCTCCTGAGCCGGGTGCTTTGGCCGAGCCACAGGGCGAGCGTGTGCTTTGGTGCCACGGCCAGCACTGGGGTTGCGGCCAGCAGCGAGGAGCCGGGGGGGGGGGGGGGAGGCACGAGTGTGGCTTGCGCACAGTACATAACGTTCTGCTGCGAGCACCCACAGGAAAACCAACTAGCAGCCCTGAACGGGGCTCTTTGTTCAGTGTTTTTTACTTTCCCTCCCCTCCCCACATCAACTTTTGCTCACAGCTGATGGGCTCCCTGCCCCCTGCTGCTCCCCTCCCAGCTGCAGCCTCCAAATAGCCCCAGAGTGGCTCACCCAGCCTTTGATGATGCTGCAAAGACCCCTGAGGTGAGGGGCAACAGGGCTTCAAAACCCTGGGGAGGAATAGTTACCACAGGCTCTGCTCCACAGATCTGTAAAATAGAAATAGGGCAGCTGGGGAATTTCCAGCTGCCAGGGAAAACCTGTGTTTGGAGGAAGGGGAGCACAAAGCTTTTTTCATTTACTGTACAGCAATCCCTCCAGTTTTTGCTGCCTTACATAAAGTGTTTACTGAGCCGGAGGAGGGAACAGCCAACAACATGTTTTTGCATTTGTAGTACTGTACAGGCTGAACTTTTCACTTCCTCTCAATGGCTCTCACACATGTGTCTATTTTGGTGCTGGGCAAGCATACAAACAAGCCGTGTACTGCATGGAGCCGGGACGTTCCCTGCTCCTGCTCTGTTCAGCCATGAGCCCAGCACACCACTAAGAAACAGCTGGAAAACACGGAATGGGTGGAGGACAAGGGGGGGGACCTGCCTCAGGGAAATCTCAGCCCCCCCATTTTAGAACCTCTGGCATGCACTGGGCTTGCAGGGAGATGTGGGCAATGCTTGGGCAGTGCATCCTGCCAGCAGAGCCACAGGCACCAATCCCCCAGTCTCCCTGGAGGGCTGGCGAAGTGGAAAAGTTTCAGGTGGAGCAGTAAAAAGGAAAAGCTCTTTCTGTATCTGATTACGCCGGCTGCAGCACGTAGGGGCAGCGAGGTGGGGGGGGACTCAAGGCCAGTACGAGGGGCGAGGGGCGCTGCTGTGCCGGCAGACAGCAGAAGGCACACAACTCTGTTTCCAAGCCCCGCAGGGTTGTCTTGATACAGGGGGTATTTCTGATGAGTTTGGCCAACATACGTTTGGTGTTTGGAGTAAGGATTAAAACCAGATGATTTAAAACAAAACGGTTGATGACTGAAACACTCCCTTCTTTTCAAAATAGCTGCTTGGGGATGGAAGTTTAGTACCAAATGCCATCACGTTTAAAGCAGTACTGACCAAGGACCAGCTTACTTTGCAGGAGGCCCTGCAGAGCAGGGGCTGGCGGCCTGCCAGCACCAGGAAGAGGTTTTCCGGGCTGGGACTCGTCTCAGCTGAGCTGTAGCCATACATGAGAACGTCCAGACACCTTTTCAGAAACCGTATGGTCACTTCCCATGGGGTACAGGCCTGGAACTGGGGCTTTGTCTGCAGATCGGGCCTTGCTTTTGGGTGACATGTGGCTCTGGATCACAAAAAGCTGACTCTGATACCAGGGCTAATTTAGAGACAAATACAGAACATGCCTGCATGCTTCCCCCTTTTTAGCTAACAGAAATTGCTGGCCATATAACTATGATGGAGATGGATTCAGATTAATCTGTTTCAATCCAGATGTGGCTGGACTAAAATAGTGAGTAAAAATAAAATCCTCGTGTAAATAAGAAGTTGAAAATGGAAGAACTGGGCATCTGGAGCAGTAAGTGGTCTAATTGCTTAAGTAGAGTGCTAAGCCTGTCTCCTTGCTGGCTAGAAAAAACATGGTGTTGAGGCTGTAATCAGCGGAAAAATGAACACGTTTAAATGGTTCTGCCAGAGGATGGAAATCCAGTTCCCTTCAAGAACAGCAGTAAAGTACAAATGAAAACAAGATGATTAAAATGGATTTAAATAAGGGGTTTCTGCTGGCAGAGCTAAACAAGGATTAAAATCTGATTTAAATCAATCCACTTTTGAGCACAAAGCAAGCATGGTTTGGTTCCTCTCAGAGGGTTTCTTTTAATTTGAACTTAAGCTGACCATTGTAACAGCCAAGCTGCTTCTGACCTTCATTAAACCTCCCATTACCTATGGAACAGCTGACTGTTTCTTTCATCAGACCCCCCTGCACAAGCTTTGAAAAGATGAACCGTTTCAAAGACACAATTCTTTTATTATCACAGAGCAATCTAATATGTAACAAAGAGAAAAAACAGTTTCAGGGTATTAAAGATACAGCTTCTGCATTAGAGAGCAGTGTCCTACCAGCACTTGTTGTGCAGACACAAGGGAAACAGCAAGAGAGAAAACAGCTCCAGTGATACATGCGGTGGCTCTGCAGAAAGCATCACCACCTGCCCCCTCTTAACCAGCCTGGGACAGTTCCTGTCCTGTTCATCCCCCAAAACAATGGCTAGGGGTGAAGAGTGTTTTTGGCAGGATGGCCTACCTGTGCTCTACAGAGGCCTGGCTTGAGCAACAAGGACACGGGCTTCCCAGCTCACCAATCACCCGGTCCTTCAGCCACGCACAGGGAAAGGCCAGGCCAAGTTTCTGGGTTGCTTTCCCCCCACACACACACTGTAAATCTTCCCTTCTCCGTGAGCAATAAGGTGATTGTCCAAGTTCTGTGAAACTGATCCTACCTTCTAAGTTACAGAAACTGAGCCCCGCCAGCCCGTAACACCGCAGAAGACTTGGAGAATCCCGTCATTTCCATTTACTGGCAGCTTTATGCGGGATCCCTACTCTCAGCTTAAGAAAAACACAACAAAAATCCAGTCCTGCCGATGCAGCTGTCAGCATCTTAATAAATGGGGGGGTGTTTTTGAAGCCAGGCCAGAGAATGTTTTACTTCTGCTCCCTGACAGCAGCAATCCAAGACACACTCAGCCCGAGGAGGGAGTGAATCCCAGGAGCTGCTCTATTGGCTTGTACCTCCACTCATCTGCCTCCAGCTCTTCCACCAAACCGGCTAGTTTTTCCATCCGTGCGACTTGTTGATCTGCAAGAAGTTCAAAGGTAACTGTGGTTTGCAATGACAGTGCAATTAAACCTTTCAATTAGATGCAAATTCCCAGCTGCCAGTGGGGAGCAGAGCAGAATAAAACCCACCGAGCCAATCTGAATACAAACCCACTCTACACAACGCCCTGTGCAAACGGTGAGACCTCAGGAGAAAGCAGGGACAGGCTTTTCTGCCTTGTCCGGTGCTCAGTGTGTATTTACCCATCCCTGCCCGTGCCATCTGAATTCAAGTCCTAACAGGGAAACACGAGGTCGATTAGCGTATGGGGGTGAGAACAGGATGAAGCTCATTTCTTTAGCATAAATATTTATAGTGCAAAAGAACAGAGAAGTTCAGAGAGAGCTTGGTCAGCCCACGGTAGAGCTGGGTGCAGCACAAGGAACTCCTCATTTTAATGAAGGTCCTTTGAGGAGGGCCTGGATGACTCTAGCAGAAAGGCTCTGCAATCAAAGCATGCTAATGACATAAAGGTCCCTATGGAGAGACAGGATGCCTCCCTGGGGATCCCCAAGACATCTTCTTCCTCTTAGCTTTATTTAAAACCAGTTGTGTGTTGGGTATGCAGGCTCAATTTTCAGTCAAATTGCCTGCCATGGTAGGGAGATGAGAACAGCCCCTTCTTCTTTTGGCTCTGCTCAAAGTTTAACACCACAGCAGTCTCTTGGAAGAATGGCCCAGCACAGCTGACTTGCTAGCAAGAGGCGTAACTTGAAATGTGCATGATTTATGCTGACTGCAGCAGTGGGTGCTTTTAAGTGGGACTGTTCTCACTCCACCTCCTGCAGCCAAGTGCTTCTGGGAACTGTCAAACAAACAAGCCAAAAAATGATGACCTTAATCTTTTTTTAAGCCTTTCCCCTTTCTTATGGGGAGGGGACTGGTGCTCCATAAATGAATTTCAAAGGCTGGTGATTATCAGGGTGCCAGTCTGTGCAGCAGCCCCTGGTAGTTACAGCCGCAGTAGCACCAGGGCTGTGGAAACAATAGCTTTGAAGCTTGGCTTTGCTTTATGGTTCAGAAATACAGGAGCACAGACTTGCAGGCTGCTGCACATTCCCAGACCTCCTCCTGACAACCCTTGCTGGTGGAGGACAGGAAACCTCGCTGGTCTGAGACAACACATGGAAGTACCCATTCTAGCTGAAAAGAGGTGGGGACCAGAAAGGATGTGACCCTCTAGCAGCAGACACAAGCTGGTGCTGAGCTCTGCTCAGTAACTTGAGAATGAAAGTTGTTGTGCAGTCAAGCTCATCATTCAGTTACAGGCAGCTAGGCAAAAGCCCCAGGAGGGAAGCAGTTCAAACAAGATGTAAGGCTCCTCCTTGGGGAGTTAGGGAGTGGAGTCAGCCCCATCACGCCACACCAGGCATCTGCGTGTCCATCTCCTGAGCACCTTTGGAAACCTGGCTTGACCCTGCTGGTGTCACAAGGGCTCAGGCTGGGCAGAGAACCAAAGGTGGAATCAAGTGTCTGTGTGCCTGGGGCCATAGAGACAGTCAGTGCTGGGCCAAGATCAGAGTGTGGGTGTTTCCTGCCCATAACCTCCCCTGCTGGCCTCACCTCTCGCGAAGGCAGCGCGGCACAGAGAGATGGAAAAACAACCTTCGAAAGGCACGGCCTGTTCCCACCCAGGCTGTGTGGGTTCTCCTTGCTTTGCATAGGGCTTGCAAAAGGACTTGATGATGGCCTGACTTCGCCTTAATTTGCCAACTTAAAAGGCTATTCTGCTTTTTTGTGGTCAGCACCTGAGAACATGTCAGCCTTTTCTCTGTGTTCCCCTGCCATCTTTCCTGGTCAACATGCAGTTAAAATAGACGGCGCTGCAGTGCTTACCGTGTTTCACTTGCTTTAATGTAGATGCAACCTGATAGCTGAAGACAGATTCACAGAGGAATCTTTCGGAGCCATCTGTAAACAGAAAAAGGGAGGTGGTTTAATCTGAGAGTTTTAAGACTGAGCAGCCTTAACTGAGTGCCACCAACCTTCTATTTTTATGTCAGAGCTGTGGGTTTCCCTACTTGCCTCGTTCCAACACTTTGCCCTCCACTAAGCACGCATTGCTTTGGTTTCAAGCCCTTGTGACCCTGTGCTAAAATCTTGTGCACGGCTTTGGCCGGCTCCCAGTGTGGCTGGGGAATGGCTGTGACACCTGGGAGACATCCCAGCTGATATTCTGTCAAGCAATTTTAGCCCATTTTAAATAGAAGGTAAGCTAAGGAGAAGCCAGCTAATACTATGGCAGTCTCTGGTTCCCTCAGGGCTCAGACGCTTCTGTCCTTGTAATGCTTTATGATTTCCCACAGACTTAGACCATAACCCTGTATAAAGGATTTCAAATAATGTGTATCTCCTGCCATCTAAGTCAGTAATTGATCACACAGTTGTCCCAGAAATAAAGCAATCTGGAATACATAGCGAATTGTGTGCCAAGTACTGATAGAGTTTACACTCCTCCCTTCTAATAAACATCCTAAAATACCTGAGGGTTTACGTAAAAACAAGCAAGGTAGTTAAAGTAACAGTAAAAATCAGTCAGTGAGGATTTTGAACAAGAAACTGATATGCAGCTACCCTCTAGTACCCACCAGATGAAAGAATTGGTGCATCACCTTTTATCTCAGACATTAAAAACCCAACCTAAAGCTTCTTGTGACGGGGAGAGTGTTTAGTTGCTGGTGCCAGCCAGAGCAGACAAACTGCTGTGTTACTGGTAAAGAGGTCAACCCAAAGCAAAATCTATTAAAAGCTCCATGCCACAAAAATGAGGGGAGAAGCAATTTCAAACACTAAGGGCAGAAACAGATCTCTGTCCCTGAAAAATCTGAATCCCAGGTAGGAGGGATAAGCTGGGCTTTTGTTGTGCTCAGAGCACCCTCTCGCAAGCTGCTGAAATGCTGTGTTGGTGCTGCCCTGTGCTGTTTCCAGACATACACTTCCCTCTCCTCTGACTCCACAGCCTGGCTGTCCTGCAGAGTGGCTCTGTAGCTGCCTATTTGGTAATGTGAAGTGTTTCATTATTTTGAGGGCTCGTTAAGTTCTATGAGCAAGCCTTCAGTCATAATTACTTCAATAGACTGGCATATGTCCTCTAATGTGTAATAAAAACAGTCCTTAAATGATGTAGCGATCAGTTCCCAGCTGCCCTGGACTGCTGTGTCACTTCTGAGATGCAGGGCCACCCAAGCCCCGGTCCCAGCCACACCATGAACCTCAGGCTCACACAGTCAAGTGTGCAGCATAGTGACACAGGAAGTTCAAGGGGAGCTGGCAGACAGACAGACCCTGGCTTAACCCTGTCATCTGGAGGACCTGCCCTTCCTCCCTCACCCAGAGCAGGGGCAGGGACATGCAGCTGCATGTGTCTGGGTCCTCCTTCAGGCAGCCCTGTTGAGGAGGGTGGCAGGCTCAGGCACCCAAACGTCAGAGGCAGTGCTGGATCAGAGCCCCAGCTCTCTCCAGGCGGCCCTGCAGAAATACTCTGACAAAACTGAGCCTGAATGGGGAACGTGCTCAGCCTTGAAGGATTAAAGGAAATGTCTAGTCCTGATTTATCCTGTTGCAGACCTCTGTGGCAAGGTTTTATTTGGGTCGAGGGCAAAAGTAAGCCCTGTGTTTCCTGGCCAGAAGGGATACAAGCTGCCTTCTGTACTAGCCCAGTCAAATCCAACATGAGAACGCATTTTGCCAAGAAAAATACTCCTACTTCAGCTATTTTTATAGTAATTCCTGCCCAACATCAAAGGATTAGCTAACAATGAGCAATTAACACTGTCATGTTCCCTTTCAGGTAGATTGCTTCCTCATCTGAAGTGTCATGGAGCTAAAAAACAGGCGACTGCCAGAAAAATCACTTCCTCATGAACAACTGGTGGGAGAGCCAGGGCTGCTCAGGACCTACCCGAGCCCTGGTGCTTCCTTCCTCCCTCCCTTCAGCTTTTGCCAGCTAAAGTCTGAAAAGGCAGCAGGATGCCAAGTTCAGCAACTCCTTTGCAGGGCTGCCTGCACACCAGGAGCAGCAAGGAAGGAGAAATGCAGGAGCAATCACCTTCCAGCATCTCTCCAGCTCCTTTGGGGTAAGTGAAGAGGGCTTTTCGGGGCGGTGTCAGGTCCGAAACGCTGAATCCTGATCCTGTTACAGAGCTGCCGCTGACTCCGCCAGCTGAGGAGGATGAGGAAGAGGCTGCCATTTCACCCCGTCCCAGCCTGGAAGAACAAAAAGGGAGCAAAGCCAAGTTAGGAAGGGCGTTTCGGAGTTTCCCAGGGCACAAAGCCAGAAACCGTGCACGTATCTGACAGCAGATGAAGGCAGTGAGGTCCAGGAAGAGGCAGTAAGCACAGCTCTGGGCTGCCATCCCTCTCTGTGGCTCAGCAGCCTCAAAGCTCTGGTGGTTCCAGACTGCCCTGCATGCATAGGAGAGGCCGCCCGCGCCTGCTACATGCACACACTGCATGCACCCGCTGCAGAGACAGCTGCAGTTAGCTGTCACACCACGCGGTGGCACCCAGAAACTGAAGGTAACCCAGGCTCTGACCCCATCGGCAAGGGGACCTGGGAACTCAGCAGGGTGACCAGAGCATGCATAAAAATAACCTGGTACAGGTCGCTGGCCTGAATTCACTGCTTCGTGCTCTTCCTGCTCCCCAGGGGCCATAAAAAGACTTTTTATTTTCCTTTTTTGCCTTGTTTCCAGGAGCACAAACAGAAAAAGTGCTGCTTCTTCATAAAGCCTGGAAGCTGGTGGGACTGCCAGTTCCAGGGCTGCATCCTGCACAAAGCCACACTACACCTGATTCACAGCAACTGCTCTCTGAATCACTCCAGATGTGCTTTTACTTTAGGAATGCTGCATCTGACCTAAACTGGCAATGGCTGAGCATCCGCCTGCCTGTACAGCATAAGCCTGGTCGCCTCTCAAATACCCTTTTCCTAGCCTTACTTTTAAAAGGAATTGGCTGTAGAGTTTGCCATGATGGGGTACTTCAAACTTGTCACATACCTCTCCAACAGTAAAAAAGCTGTCACTTGGCACTTGTAAGAAACAGCACTTGCTACTCTGCCAAACCACTTGCAAGCACTTTCCAATTATCCTGCCCATTTAATACATTTGTTATCCTCCTTACTTAATACACTTCTGCAGACTCTTTAGGCTATGGAGATGGTGCCTTTGGAAAGCACTTAAGGATTTAGTGGACAAAATGTCATAACTAGGGATTGTGTGTTCATTCACATAGCTCAAGCTTGTTTACGGTGTGTGATACAAACCAGCGCAGCAGCTGGCAGGAGGCTGGAGGCTTACCGGTTGTGAAGAATAATGCCTGAATAGAAGAAACCTTTAATATGGTTACGATACGTCCAGAAACACCTTCCTCAGCAACCCTGAGCAGGCCCTGCTCCCGCTCGTGAAGGAAGCAAGGTTATGATTTGTGCTGAAACGATACTTGCAAACGCGGCGGAGTCCTCGTACAGGTTCAGGATTTTATATTAAATACGCTGAGGCGAATGCAGAGGAAGAGGACGGCAGAACATGTCGACGACAGCACCTTCGCCATCAACGCCACAGCCTCAGGCCCCGGCCACCTTGGACGGGGACAGCGGCCGCAGGCTAAGCGGCGAGGGGAGGAACTGCCGGTATTGCGCATGCGCAACGACAACTCCCGTCCACACGGCCGCCGAGAAGTTAACTGCCTCTGTAGCGCCATAGCGCATGCGCCGCCCGCCCCGGGCTCCACCCCCCACCCTCTGCCAGGATGGCCCCTCCCCGGCTTCCGTAGCGAGCAGCTTCCCGGTGAGTGCGGCCTCCGCCGCTAGCTTCTTTCCCAGCTCCGGCTAAGCCGAGCGCTCATCTCCTCCCGGGCCGCCCTCCGCCTGCTCCCGGGGTGCATCGGTCCCTCCGAACCTCACCTGGGCGCCCGGACGGCTTGGCGCAGGCGGCGCGCGTGATCGCGCTCGCGGTGCATGCTGGGGCGGGCGGGCGCGCTGTGCGCGCGGCCCCTGCCTACTTCCGTCGGGAATGGGGGAGGTGGGTGGTGCTAGCTGTAACCGCTGGCAACGGCCGCCGTTACCCGCGGCGGCTGAGGCGAGGCGTTGACGGTGCTCACCCCCGGGTCTCCTTCCGGGCCTCAGGGCCTGGAGCACCCCGTCCTCAGCGTCCCGCAGCGTTCCTCTGCCTGCGTGGGAGCGAGGCGCCCGGCAGAGCCGGGGCAGTGGGGTGTGGCCGCTCCTGAGGTCTTGCGTTGAGGATTTCTGATACCGGCGCTGCCGTTAAAGCAACACAAAGCCCAAAACCTGAGTGAAACCAAAACAGTCACAACCATAACTTTTTTTTTCATGGCTTATTCCGTCTTTCTCTGTGCAGAGTTTACATAGAATGATAGAATCGACTCGGTTGGAAAAGACATTTAAGGTTATCAAGTCCAACTATTACCTCAGCTCTGCCAAGTCCACCATTAAACCGTGTCACCGAGGACCTCATCCACACGGTTTTTGAACACTTCCAGGGATGGTGATTCCATCACTGCCCTGGACAGCCTGTTCCAATGCCCGATCAACCTCTCTGAAGAAATCGTTCCTAATATCCAATGTAAACGTCCCCTGGTGCAGATTGAGGTTGTTACCTCTGCACTTCTTTCACTGACCTGCAGGAATGCCTTTTTATTTAAATGTAACATCAGGTGATGAAGGCAATTTTTTTGGTGGAGACTGTTTTCTGAGTAACAACATTTCTGTTTTAAAAGCAAGGCCAACTGAGATAGACAGTGTTAACAGTTTCAGTGAACACAGACATTTATGTACCGAGAGAGTGAAGTCTGCCAATGACTGGCAGTGCTTTGCTTTTGCACCATTCAGTGGTCTCCACCACAAGAAGTTTAACTCTGCCCTGTGTTTCTGGTGTTGTTTGGAGTAATGCAGGGCAGGGTAAGACTTCTATGCCTATGCCTCAAGCTTACTGCAGTGCTCTGCGCTGGAGGCAGGAGGTGTAACCACTTACAGCAGCTCTGTAAGCTCCTCAGTGTGCTTTGTGTCCCTTCCCCAGCTGCCTCTAGAGCACATCCAGGGAACTGGGTTTGCTTTTGAAAAGCTCCTTGGGAGAGAGAAACAAATGGAGGATGTCAGGTGTTTTGAGAGAGGTCGATGTTGTACGGGAATCTTTGCAAGAGGTTAGGGTCTCTGCTCTGTAGCTGTGGAAGATTACGAGGCAGAACTGTTCATAGTCCTGAGCAGTGCTGAAAAGGCACATTGAGGCTGCAGAGAGTTTTAACTAAAACCTGTGAGTTTCAGGTAGAGTAGTGATCTGGTGCTGACCTTGCAGGGGCAAAAAAAATTGATGTTTCATTATGTATTTCACATTACTTAAATTTTCCCTTTTTACTTGATTGTGCTTCATGAGCTGACAAAGAGTATACTTATAAGTCCTCTGAACGAGTAAGGCAAGGTTTGAGAAGGTATTGCCTTTCTGAAGTCTCTCATACGTGTGCATAGAAGGAGGTATTGCTCTTCTGGAGGTACAGACCTTGCTCTTTACTGCTGAGCCCCTCAGAGCTCCCCTGATGCCTCTTACAAATTATGCTTGAGGAAACAGTGAAATTTACCTTTTGTTGGCATAGGTTAGCAAAGCTGTCTATGTTTCTGCATTAGGAGGAGGAGCAGGATGGACGTTCTGCGGCCCACCCTGATAAGGATTGAGGGGCGGGTGTATAGGAAGAATGCCATTCAAGAGCAGGCCTACCAGCATGAAGAGGAGGATGATTTCTGTGCAGGTAAAGAATGGGGCTTGAACGGTGACTGTGGTGCTGTCAGGACATGTTACAGGTGAAAGCATTGACACTGGGGATCTAGGGAGCTCTTGGCGTCATCTCTGATGTCTTTACGTGCACAAGGACCTGCCCATGTGATGAAGCAAAGTGTTTGAGAGGGAGAAAAATGCTTTGTGTTGGTCCCTGATGATCCTGTTGACCAAAATGGACATAATCCCAGTTACTTAATGCGGATTGGGTGACTTGCTGCTGACTGTCAGGTTTCTTGCTGGCTGTGAAAGATTTCTAGTAAAAGAGGAAAACAGATTGGCTGTGTGGATCTTCCATGCCGAAGGTATGAGAACTGATTTCCAAAACACTATACCTGTACCCTTGAACCAAAACTATCCTCACCTTCTATTTGTATTCTTCTGTGACTTTAAATTCCTGTTCAGGTCTCTGAATGGGCTGGCAGCTTCCACCCTGCCAGCAGAGACCATTTTCACTGGGTAGTTGCACAACTTCCACCTGAGAGAAAACCTGGGCTGTAACTATCACTTTCCTACACCTCCCAGTGCGGTGGATTTAGAAGTAGTCATTATGTTTTCTGGAGCTGGTAGTAAGGTGAAATAAAAAGCAGTTAGCCGCAATAGAGAGGAGTCCATTTCTTCCTTTAGTTAACCTTGGAAAAAGAAGCCTGTGAGACTACTGTCCTACATAAAGTGCTGCCAAACTTCACAAAGGTTGTACTAGGTCTGTTGTTTTTTTCTGTTAGGCCCTGGTGACTGTGCAGATGAGCCCTGTGATGCCTTTGTGGTGGAAGAGACTGAGAAAGGCTTCCAGTGCAGACTGGAGGTTCCCAGCCTGTTATACAAGTGAGCCTGTGTGTTTCTGGTTTATTTGCGTTTCCGCCAGCTGAGGAAGTGGTTGAGTGCAGAATAATTTTTTTTTGAGGTTGGTGTAAGGACCGGATCTCTGAAGCGTATTACGTTATGTGGATGTGGATTTTAGCTTTTGGGAAGGGAAAATTGGCAGTGCCTTTCTAGTACAGTTGTGCCATGCTTGAGTCCTAGCCTTTCCTGTGACAGAGACAGCAGGTGGTGCTTTCTTGCTGGCAGAAGGGTTTTTGAGCTTCTCTTCCCTTGAACATAAAAGCATCAGGGAGGATGGGAGAAGCAGAGGAAGAACTGGGGCCAGCAGCCAGGCAGGGGGAATTTGTGAAAGCTTTGAGAGAAAGCACACACGACTGGAGTTGACTGTTCACTCCAATCTGATGTTTCCTGGGACGCCTGTAGTGTTCAAAGCTTTATCTAGTTATTTTGACAGTTTTATTGGTTGAATAGTTTTACTGCAATATAGGAAAGCAAAAATATTCTGTTGTGTGTCTGGATACTTGAGCAAAGCAAAAAGCAGAAAAAGAGCCCTTAGTTCTTCATCAGCTGGGGTAATGGGAAAAAGGGATAACCCAGCAGACAAGCTGTGGCAGGATGTGCTGGGAAGAGCTGTCATGGACAGCTGACTTATTTTAGTTTAAGCTAGTTGTGAGCCACAGCTCCACATTGTCCCTTGGTTCTAGGCTGGTCACATGCAGCATCTTGGGAGCAGCCTTTATACCTGTACCGAGTCCTGCTCATGGAGCTGTGTGCATTCATCCCTCCAGCATGGAGAATCCTAGTGTAGGGGAACCCAGTTGCCTGGAGCCAGCTTCAAAGCGAGGTTCATCTGTGGCATGGCTGGACACACTTGATGGAGAGTGGCCCAGCGACACTGTATGAGTGACTCTCTTGCACTTTTATGCCTCAGGTACATCATCGGGAAGAAAGGGGAAACCAAGAAAAGACTAGAAGCAGAGACTCGAACCTCCATCAGCATTCCCAAGCTTGGAGTGGAAGGAGAAATTGGTGAGTTTAACATGCACAAAATGGGGTTCTCTCATCAGCTCTTGCGCATATGCAATTTTAGCAGGGAGGAGGCACAAGAGATGTTTTTCATTTAATTCCTGCTTGTGACATGGCACTGACTCACTTTATGGCCATGGGAAAATCACTTCACTTTTCTCCTGAGTTTATTTTTTTCTTGTCTGTAAATCCTTATAAAGCAGTGTAAGGGTTTTTTTTTGGAAAAAAAAGATCTATTTTAAACCTATGAATAGTCTCATTGAAGTAAATTCTGGGCCTCAGATGACTGGCTTGAGAACTTTGGGCCTGAATGTGTTGGATTTTTTGTTTTGTTTTGAAAATAGCATTTCCATTAATAAGAAACTGTAATACCCATCCAGAAAAAGTTACCATGTTGTATACTTATGCACAAAATAAACTTCAGCATCTGCTTTAATATGAGAAGTGTTCAATGACGTTGCTGCCTTTCTGGTGTAGTCACTTGATCCTGATAGTGAGAGCAGGCTTTCTGGTACCATATGTTCCTTCTCATCACTTCCAGTGACTTAAAAAGAAAGAAGGCATTGCTCTTCAGGGCTGGCCCGTGCGGGTTTCTGCCTGAGTGGCTCTCTGGAAGGGCCATTACGCACACCCTGGTGATAAATGGCATGCTGTAGAGTTACGTTCATGACAGAGCTGTGAGGAAAAAGTGACCGAGGGGGATCCAACTGTGGTGCTGCACAGGAACGTGGCAATACTTCTTAACAAGTGTATCTTGAATTCTTCCTGAGAACTGTGAAGGACTATTAGGAAGGTTGAGAGACGTTGAAAACATGTAATAACAGGAAGCCAAGAAAATTTTGCTCCTTGCAGTTTTTTCCTTTCAAGCTCAAGTGTTCTCTGTTTGGTGCCTTGAAGTGCATGCACAGACGATAGAGGCCATCTTGATCTTTAATAGATTTTCTTTTTCACTTTGACTGCCTTTCTGAAAACTTGAAATAATGCCCTAGAAATCTGAAGAGATGCTGAAATGATAGACTCCTAGTTATTGTTTTTTTAGGCACTCAGAGCTGACTTTCTTGAGAGCAGAGGGATACTTTTGATGGCATCTTCCTGTCTGTACAGAGGAAAGCATAGCCATGTCAGGCATTTTAAGTCAAGCAGGCAGTCTGGCAAGATTTCTCTGTGCATGGTTTGGGGGTTTAATTCCTAACGCTTCTTCAGTGAGCCTGGGGCTAACACTGGGGAGCTGCTGCTGTGCAGGCTTTTCTGATTCCTTCCTGGCATCGCCTGGGTGAAATGTTCCTACCTTCACAATATCCTCCAATATTGATATTTTAAAGTGCATGGATAAGTATAATGTAAAATCACAGTCCATTTAATTACTCTCTATCTTGCATGGGCATTGGTATCAGGAGTTTCACTGTAGCTTCACAGAAATGAGACGGGTGCTGCTTTGTTTCCTTGTAGTGATTACTGGGCAGCATCGCAGTGGTGTCATCTCTGCCCGAACGCGGATTGATGTTCTCCTGGACAGCTTCCGTAAGAAGCAGCCCTTCACACACTTCCTGTCTTTGGCTCTCAACCAGCCCACCATCCAGGAGAAGTTCCTGCAGTTCAAGGAAGAGGTGTTGGAGAAATGCTCAAAGGTAAGGATCCACAAAATCAAGTGGGAGCCCTTCAGCAGACTGCCATTTAATTTATTGAGATAGCTTTTTAGCATTTACCTTGAAGGCCTTATTCTGCTCTGTTTCCTGAATGTATTTTTAACAGGCCTTTTATTTAAGTTGGTGGATCTGCTGTGAATTAGATCAGTGCTGTTGCGAAATCTTATGGAAAGTGGAATGGCTTACTTAGCAAATTGTTAGTAAAATACTTTGCTCTCCTTAGAGATTTTCCTAGGTGAGAAGATATCTAAGATTCAAAAGAGGGTTGGGTTTTTTTTGGTTTTAATAGGAAAGCTACTAAATAATGTAGTGGACCTCTCTATGTTTTATATGATTTCTACGTAACCATGAAACCAGGTAGGAATTCACAAGTTTGCTGCTGCTTCTATTTCACTTTTCTTCTGGTCACTGACAGTAAGGGAAGATGAGTGTCATTACCAGAGCTGAGCAAGAAATTACTTGGTAGCACATGCCATCCTGCAAATCTAATTGCTTCCCTTCTTCCCCAAGAGACTTCGTGCTGACAGTCCCTCCTACTTACCTTCAGATCACTGAGGGCAGCAGGAAATACTTAAGCATAGAGAAAAGAGGAACAGAATGAAGTGAAAGCTGTGTATTCCCTGGTTTATTTTAGCATGCTTCTAGTTTGGCAGAAGTGGTATGTCAATGCACAGGCCCAGGCTGAGGGGAGGTAGTGGTATTAAATTACTGTATCCTCTGAGTCTGCTGGGAGGACATCTCTAAGCTAAAGAAAAGAGTTCCTCTTTGTGGCGACCATAGGTTAGATTGTTTACAAGCAGCAGGATTTTGGGGGCTGATATTCTTACATTCATGTCTGTCACTTCTGCTTATGCCCTTCAAAAGGGAAAATACAGTCTTGCAGCTGTCACAGCTTAAGTTTAGTTTCCTGTGCATGCTGTGGGTGTGAATTATCTGGTATCTGGAGAGATACAAGTTCTTGCTCAAGTTTTCGTGGTCACTTGCATGTCAATTTTCTCATCTCCAAGAGCAGAACTGAGCTGTCTTCACAGTCTTGTCTTTCCTGGCAGTTCTAAGTCCCTCTCTGCCCAGCTGCCTGTTTCCATGACATTTTATGAGCTTTCTATCACTCAGGTTTCCACCTGATGTTAGATACAGCTGAAATTGGCCAATATATCCAGGGATTACCAAACAGTGTAGTGCCACAAGCACTCTTTCCTTGGGCTAGGCTTGATCATCTGTCCCAATTAGCCAGTGGCACCTACATTTATTAAAGCTTACTTTATCAAACGAAAGCCTTGAAGATAAGGGGATGGAAACATTAGCCTGAGAAAATGTTGGCTGGACAGAGTGCCTGACCTTGGGCTGGCATCAGTGGTGGCCTGGCTCCCTCTGTTGGTTCCTAGTGTGGGACACATCAAAGTTATGCAGAGAGAAATGGCTCTTTGCAGGCTGGTAACTTCAGCACAGGGCTCTAGTCACGGCTGTTCATGCTGTTGGCCGTGGGCTGAGACCATTGCTTTCAGTCTGGTGTTTCTCTTGTCCTTTATCCCCTTCTGCTTAGGCTTATGGCTGTTAAAGTCCTATCACTTGATCTCCCTTGAGATCTGGCCCTGCTCTGCTTGAAGCCTTGGTGTTCAGGACTCTGCTTATCTGATCCTCCTCTAGCTTTCTGCCATCAGGTCTTGTGGGTCTCTCCCTTCCACGGCAAACCCAGACCTGCCTGCTGTTCAGGGCGGTAACCACAGTGTTATCCCCTATGCTTTGCTGGGTTCTGGCTTCCAGGCTGCCTTGGTTGTCAAACAAATCCTTCCAGTGTCACATCTTAGATGTCACATTTTAGATGTGGCCTCTTTTATTCATCTTTTCAGCTAATGCTGTTGTTTGTGCTCTCATCCTGTTTCTTTAATCCTACAACACACTGGCCTCACACAGGACTAGCTCTTCTCCTTGAAGAGCACTCATCTTTCAGGCTTGTTCATTTGGTTGCATCTCTGCAGACCTCCATTGGCCCAGACTTAGTTGGTCACTTTACTTGTTCTTCCAACCCCTCCTGATCTGTCTCTGTCACATTGTTTGCCTCTTGCTCATTCTTTGGTATCAGTTTGCATCCCTGAGTAGGCATGGAGTTTGCCATCCACTTTGAAACATTTATCTTGGTGCTTTCCCCAGTGTTGTCAGTTTCATTCAGAAGAAGCTGCCTGGGAGCATCTGCAAACCTTCACATGTTCCTGGTCTTAGAAAGCTACAGAAACCAAGACGTGGTCAGAGGAGTGCTGAGACCACTGCTAACCAGGCTAGTCATGTTAAGTTTTCCTCCTCTTGCCTGACCTTCTCACGGGGTTCTATAAGGCTCTGCTTCATGGTCAGGGATCCTGCAGCATGGATGTGCCCATGGAAACACAATTCAACTTAACAGTTACTTCTGCCTTTCAGACCTCAGGCTTGAACTGTACTTAGAACCAGCACCCAGGTGTGACTCTTCCTAATACCAGTAACATCAGTATTTCTGAGAGAGTGTGGCACTTAAGACATGGCATGCCTTTTGCACCAGCCGAGTCATCAAGGTGCTTTTGGGAATCTTCCAGAATTGTGGCAGCTGAAGCTGCCCTATAGCAGGACACATCTACATGGGTGGAGGCAGAAGGTCTGGGAATGTTGTTCCTCCTCTCCACACTGCATGGATGCTAGGTTCCCTGACCTGGAAGGTATGTGGTTGTGTTAACCTCTCAGGAGGGCCTGAAATGTTCCTGGTACAGCTTACATCAGATCTAGAGTTTTCATTTTTAGTTTGAAATGTAGGATTCAAACAGTAACAGGTATTTGGTTGTTTGCATATTTACAGCCTAGCAATATATGGTGCTTTCTTTTTCTGCTCTTCCTTCTCCTGGTATTAGCAAAAGGGTTTGTAGATCTATTGCCGTCTGTTAGTTCAAGGAGTATCTTGCAGCCCCCTATGTCTCTCAATCACTCCACCAGCCGGTAATGCCACTCTAATACCACTTTATCTCACAGCAGGGTCTGCTGGAAAGCACATCAGTAATGAAAAACAGTAATTCACAATGGTGCCTCACAGAGCAATAAGAGAGCTTATAGATTTGTGCAAAGCAATGGGATTTTTCAGGATACTTGGTGAAATCTGAATAGGTTTCAGTGACAGAAGTGGTGTGCTTCTCTTGCAATTTACTGGTGTGAAACATTGCAGAATTAGGTAAACTTCAGCCTTTGAAGCTTGGTAATAAGGGTAAGGAAGGGAAAGGACCAGATGTGCATGTATGAGGATTTCTTCCGGCCTTTGAGCATTTGTGAGGGGCTCTGTTTCTCTCTGAAGCAGTTACCATGACAACCATTCATTTATATTTTAAATCATAGGGTTATGTTGGTGGGCATATGCTTTCTAGTTTTTTTTTCATGTGTGTCTTCAAGACCTTTTATAAGATAAGCCTTGGTTTAAATATGGAAAACTTCAGGTGTCATTCACGTTACTGTATGATCAGGGCTGCCAGGTGAGGCAATGAAGCAGGGCTGAGGAGAGGCTCTTTTGAGGCTAATTTAATACAGATATGGAGAGGTGGCTCACCTGGGCAGGCTCATTACTTGATGTGGTGCAGTGGGAAGTCCAGACGACTGGGTGACCTTGGAAGTCTCCTCTTACAGTCATGTAGGTGTCAGAGTGAAGAAAACTGAAATGTCTGAGTATGCAAGTGGAAAAGGGAAAATACTTTGCAGTAATATTGTTGTGAAAAATCACAGTTGGATCTTTCAGAGCTGTGCAAATGCAGCATTTACAGTTTCAACAGGCTCAACAATGTAGCATGGAGAAGAAATATGATTGCTGTAATATATGGCAACCTGTAAATATCAAACATTGCTAATGAGATAATATATCTCAGAGTGGAAGGGACTGAAAATGGGAGGGTTTTCTCAGCCTACAGCTCTTCATTCAGTTCTTAGGAAATGCTGTTTATCTGGCTTCCTCTTTTGCTTGTGGGTCAGGGTGGGAGAGGGCATATAGCTGGCATGCAGTATCCTGCTACTAAGAAAAAAAAGCCTCAAAAACATAAAGCTGTCTGCAAACACTGTGTCATGGTTTAAGCCCAGCTGGTAACTCAGAACCACGCAGCCGCTGGCTCACTCCCCCACTTTTTCCTCGCCCTGCTCCCGGAGGGATGGGGAGGAGAATGGAAAGAATGTAACTCCCACAGGTTGAGATCAGAACAGTCCAGTAACTAAGGTATAACACAAACCACTACTGCTACCACCACCAATAATAATGATAAGGGGAATAACAAGGGGAGAGAATACAACCACTCACCACCTACTGACCAATACCCAGCCCGACCTGAGCAGTGATCTGGGCCTTTTGGGTAACTCACCCCAGTTTATATACTGGGCATGACGTGCTGTGGTATGGAATACCCCTTTGGCTAGTTTGGGTCAGGTGTCCTGTCTCTGCTTCCTCCTGTCTTCCCCTCCTCCCTGGCAGAGCATGAGACTCAGAAAGTCCTTGGTCAGAGTAAACATTACTTAGCAACAACTAAAAGCATCGGTGTTATCAGTGTTGTTCCCAGGTGGAAAGGCAAAAGCACAGCACTGCACCAGCTACTAAGAAGGAGAAAAATGACTGCTACTGCTGAACCCAGGACACACTGGAAGCTCTTAAGACAGTAGACAAGACACAACCAGGAAGGAAAAGCTAAGATTAATTCTTTGCCTTGTCTTGTAGAACCACTGAAGTGTGTTTTGGTCTATGGTTTCCCTACTATAGGGCTTTAGATTTGGAGGAACAATGTGCTTGGGCTTTGCAAAGAAAGGTGAAGACTCCAGATAAAATGCTTCCTATGTTTCTTCTAAAGGAGGAGAGCAAAAGTAGAAGTCAAAGTAGCAGGAGGAAGTAAAAAAATTGATTTCTAAGGCTGAGTGGAAATGAGTTGTAACTTTTTGCCCATGACCAGGCAATGTCAGAGAAGAGGAATAAGGTAAAATTGACAGTCATCGTATACAGATAGTATGTAAAGTGGGTATTCTCCTTGTCTCTCAATACACCCTTAGAGAACCTAAGTTTGAACAGCAAACATTTAGAGAGATGATAGAGTCTGGTTTATGTGTTTGTATCTGCCAGCCTGTACCCTCAAATATGCTGCTTTCAGGTTCCCCTGTAGAATACAGGGATTCTCTGCTGTGACACCTCCCCTCCCCTGATCTTGTGCTCTGCTTTCATTAAGGCAGGAAGCCACTGCTTGTCACAAGCCACTGACTTGTGCTATGAGGAGTGCCCACCTTCCATTGTATGGGGGCGGAAACTGGTGAAAGAGGAACTTGTCACCTAGAGGCACTTGGAGAGCATGTCTTAGATGCCAGCGGATCTCTGTCCATCTCTGATGGTGAATCTCACTCCTCACTCCTGCTTTTGTGGTTGTAGGTTACCTTGAAAGGGTTCCTTAAGTATTTGGAAGATGTCCATAAATCACAACATTGACAGGATCACATCTCTTGGTCTTGTTCTTCCTGGGGGAGGATGTGATTTTCCTTAACAGGAGTTATGAAAATATATTTCTAGGCTCTGCATTGCTGTTGTCTGGCGCTGTTGGTCAGGTTGCAGAGGACTGATACCACTGGACAGGACAGCTTCCCATAAGGCAACGCAGTGGTTGCTGATAGCATATCATCATCTGGGATTTGAATAAGTGGGTTCAAGCTTTCTTGCATCTTGCTGAGCAGCATCCAGCCGTGAAGGGCTTCTCAGATGCCTGCAGAAACATTGCCTGTTCCATGGAGAGCTACATCTGACGTAGCATCTATTTTATGTGTGGGAGAAGTGGGATCTGCTGGCCTGTGAAAGAGTAGGGCTGTAAGCAGGTTTTTAGGAGCTGTCTGAAATATTAGGGGGTAAACCAATATTATCTAGATCTTGGTCTGCTCACTGTGTACTGCTTTTCCCTGCTGATCTTCCTAGCAGTGGTAGCGTGGCATGTGGAGATGACATGCCATCAATTTGTCAGCTATCAGCCCACACTCAGGTGCTGGAAAGCTCAGGGGAAAATGCTGCTTTTGGGACAGGTTGATATTTGCAGTACAGATCATGCTGGGGCAGAAAATGAGGGTAGGACTTTTGCTTTCTGACCTGTGGACTACTTTCTCATTACTGTACATCATCTGTGCACACTGTGGGAGTGACACTGTCTGATTATCCTTGGCAAGGATAAATCGAACTTTCTCCCAGTTTCTGTTACCCAAGCTATTGTTTTGAGATGGGCCAAATACTCTCTGGCTATGGATACCACTGGAGAAAAAAAGGCTGATGGAGAGGAATCATGTCCTGTCATGCATGTTAACTAACAGCAGGATGAATTAAAGGAAGCCGCAAGGCTTTTACCACAGAGAGGGGAAGGTGGGGAGAAGTGAGAAGGAGCTGTCCCTCCTTCTTCTGCTCCTAATGTGCCTGACATAGTCTCTGCTTGTGTCATGCTGCTGCACAGTGCTGAGGTTTGCAACATCCTTTGCCACTACTAGCATGGTATGATTTGGGGTTTCAGTCAGCAGTAATTAGCAGCTGTGGAAGGCATGTACATGCTCTCCCTCTTCTGGGGACCACCATAGTTTGCCAGTCTGTGACGGCTGGGGCAAGACCCAGACCTCTCTCTTGCAGGCTGGCTTGTTTCTAGTTCAGCCCATAAGCACAGCTGTAAAGAAGGATATAGATGTTGTCATTAAACATGAAAAATACCAAGCGACATGTGGGGCATTAAACTCTGATGGGCTGAGATACGGCAGTATTTAAACATCTGAAAGGTTTTATTTCAAACTGAAGCACAACTAGAAACTTCAAAGCTGTCCTTCTCAGTCAGTGGACTTTTATCAGACAAAGAAGGGCTTCAGTGGCCTGGCAAGTTAGCTTCACCTGGAGTTAAAAGTGGAGTTTATTTAATGCACTGATGGGAAATGGCCACTAAGTGGAAATAATTGTTTTAATATGGGTGTGTTAACCATCCTCGAGGTATTTTTATAAACATCCTAGAACAAAAGAGCATGTCTCTTAAAGCTGAATGTAACCACTGCTCCACCTGGGAACAGTTCTTCCCCAGCAACAACACGTAGCACTTCTTATAAAGGGAATTTAAATTTAATTCATCTCAGCAAACTATAGGGCACATGGGAACAAGAAAAATGTAATTATCAGAGCTGGTATTAGCTGTGCTTGTGTTGTGAGGTGCAACCTGTGTTTAGACAGGATTTAGAGACCATTTAGAGCTTGTCACTACAGCTGATTCCAGCTTTATTGCACAAAAAATGAGCTTAACTCAAGTTTTAAATCTGTGCTGACTTGTGTTGAGTTCACTGCTGATGGCAGCTGCCACTTTGACAGCTGTGGAAGTCTCCTCTCGAAACCCCATATGAGCGAGTGCTGCTGTTCTGGGCCCTGAGTTAGAGCCTGTCATAACGAGCTTCCAGGCTGCTGTTCAGCAGCTCTGATGAAAAGGCAGGCAGGGAGAGTGTGTGTGGTGGGGGGCTGCACTTGCCTGCCAGCCTGAGCTTACTTGCTCACAAAGCCTGTGAAATTTTGTTTCTCATTTCAACTTTGAGCCACTACCAACCCGACCAGTGATGCAGAGATAAAAGGTTTGGTGCTAATGGCTTGGTATCTGTTGTCTGTAGTATTTTTCCCTCTGATGGAGGTGTGTGCGTGTATGATAAGACACCTATATATGGACTGATTTGTAGGATCACGGGGTCAGCAGCAGCCTGTTCCAGAACCCTTCTAAGCTTCACCTGACTCTTGGGACGCTGGTACTTCTGAATGAACAAGAGATCCAGAAAGCATGTGACCTCCTACAGCAATGCAAAGAGGACTTTGTGGAGTAAGTGATAAAAAAGGCTTGTCATCACCAAGTACTTGAGTGGGGGGAAAGCAGTAGGCTGTCTTTGACAAGGGACAGCAAAGAGATAAGCTGCTCAATAGCCTATCTCAACTCTAGAAGTCTAGAAAAAGGCTAAAACATTTCAAATGGGAGCAGTAGAAATCACCAAGCAGTCACAAAGAGTTTAATAGCACCTTGCAGCTTAGCTCAGGCTCTCAGCATAAGACCTTCTCTTCGCATTTCTTTTTCTCACATGCTTCCCTGTTAATTTTTTCTGAGCAATTTTTGCTGTTGTCCTTTACCTGCTGCAGAGGGAGAGATGAGCTGCATTACCTTTGCATCTTGCCTGCAGTGAGCTCTGGCATGATGCTTCCCTCCTGCCTAAGAGCAGATGCTGAGGTGTCCTTGACATGCATTTCTTGATACAGGGAGCTGTGTGCAGGGAAGCCAGCATAAGCCATGCAAGTAATCAGTCTGAAGCATTCAGTGCTGCTCCAGGACTGAGGCTTTCTCAAAGCCTGTTAACACTGAGCTGCCAGTGTTAGGGCTTTAACTGTAAACGTGGTTGAATGACACTGTAATTAGCTTATCTCTGTTTAGCTTAGAAATTGGAGATGGCCTGAGGGATTCTGCAACACCTTTGCACATAGAGCACAGATCCTTGCTATTTATTTATTTATTGCCTTGGTGTGTGAAGAGTTAGCCATGCTGTGCCAGCTAATACCTGTGTGAATTAATGCATGGCCAAAATTCATACCTCTGCCTTTAAAACGACAGCTCCAGTTCAGGTATTGAACAGAAATGCAAGTGTGTTTCCAGGGGAAGGCTCTGCCCACAGTACTTGGAAGACACCAGCTTCCTTGTAAGTGGGTTGAACTGAGGCAGAGAAAATCTTTATTCTCCGTTCTCTTTAGTGGAGGGAAATCAACACTCGAATGTAACCCTTAGGTTATTTCCACTGCCACACCCAAAGAAATATGTTTTGAAAATTAACTTAGGCTCTCTTCCTCCCTTATAAACCTTTATTAGCATTTATTTACTTTTCTAAATGCAGGCAGCACTATGTGAACATGGGTGTGCACTCTTTGACTCTTTGTATAATATGTGGCCTTTAGTGCTCTGGTTTTGATGTGCAGGACAATACGCTTATGCTCTTTTCCTCCCAGTACACATACTGGAAGGGGAAATCACAATCTTCTTATTGCACCAGGGAAGCTTTTCAGAAAATCTCAAAGGCAGTCTCTTGGGCAAGCTGAATAGAAATGAGCAAGGTTAGAGCAAAGTCATGCTCACGTTGTTAACTCCTGTTTATTGCTTCTGCCTGTCCATACACTCCCTGTACTGAGACCTCAGCATTAGAGACGTCGACACTTACTTACAAGGAGCTGGTTCTGGTGGTTACCACAAGTTCTGGTGGTAAAGGCAGGGACGCAGCATGTTTGGAAGCAAGATAGACTTCACAGTGTGTTTGCAGGTGTGGGAGTGTGTATTGCATGTGCATGCATTTTCAGTTTAGCTTTTCTGCAAGAGTAGCTGGAGCTCTATTTACTTCCGGCATTTGTAAGTGGATGTTGAGATGTACTTAAAACTGCATTCTGTATTGAGTACATTTTCCAGTGAAAATCAACAAGCTGGAGACTTTGTGTCACTATCACAATCACTCTCTTCATGGGGAAGGCAGGAGGTTCTCTGGAATGAGAACTTGTACCATTTAACTGCTGATGGGTTTTCTGAAATGTAAATGGAGATCTCTGCACTGAGATGGCCTGTGAATACTGACAAGTTGACTTAATGTGTGTCTAAAACACTGAATGTATGAATTCAAGTGTTTCTACAGTATTTCTTGTGATGGTGAGACAATAGCACCTGTAGCCTTTCAAGCTTTAGAAGTTAGGGAGCCTTTTTTGTGTGTGTTGGGTTTGTGTTTTTTTTTTCAGTGATTTGGAAAAGAGAAGAACACGTTGCTGGAGCTCACTGCCGTATGGGGTCTGTATAACATTTAAGTCCCACTTAACCTCAAATTTGTTTAACTATAGCAAAAAATATATTTTGTATCATTCTCCTAGTAAAACCAAATACTTGGTGTGTGCATCATATTTCAAAAGCATGTGTGATGTTTTGGTTTTTAACATCAGGGATTTGTCGCATTTTAGCCAAATTGCTGGAGGCAAGCCCTTGACTGTGGAAGTGGTAGGAGTGGAGTACATGAACGATGACCCTGCCATGACAGACGTCCTTTATGCCAAAGTCCACATGAAGGATGGCTCGGACAGGTGAGTTCCTCATGCTTCTTTCTTTCTTTCCTCCTTCTTGGGCTGGTAGTCAGGAAGATGAAGTCATTCTTGCTTCCTAAACCGGTTAAGGCAGTGATGTGTTTGCTCTTTAAATCAGTCACTGGTGGTGAAGCTGAAAGATGTCATTTGTTTCTGTAGCAGTCTGACAGATTGAATGATGGTGTCATGGCTCATGAGGTGATAAGATGGCCAAGGAGATACTCCTGAGATGACTTAGAAGGCAGGACAACTTGATGTCTGCTGTTCCCAAACTGCAGTCCAGATTAATCTGGACAGCCTGGTGTATTCTGCAACACTTAATTATTCTTAAAACCCAGTTATATCAGAAGGTCCTCAGTGAAGCACGACTTGGTTACAGAGTTGATTTTTGTATCTGTAAGTAGCCTGGAATCTGTCTTCTGAGCTACTGATGTAAAATCTTTATGCCTGATTGGTGTCAGTCATGTGTTTGTGTTGTTTGCCACTGTGGCTGATGGTTTTAGCTTTACAAACAGCAGCGCCTGGGATGTGGCGGTATCTAAACGACCTTCCTCAATCTCATTTTTTACAAGTATGTCACCAGTGGCAGCACCATCTTTTCTGCTAGTGTTCTCTGGAAGACTGGGGAAACACGAGCTGTTGTATTCTGTGCTGCCAGCTGTGAGGTAGATGAGAAAGAGGGTAGGGAAATAGCCAAAAGAGCTTTAGCCTTCTCTCTCTGAGCCTTAGCCTTCTCTTTTTTCTGGCAGTGCTGCCCTTTTGTTCTTGTTGCTAGAAGACAGCAGGAGCTAGCAGAGGAGTACGGAGCAGTGCAGCTGGAGGAGGGAGGCTGTGAGAAAGCACTGGCTCAGGGGAAAAGGGACATGTTCTAGCATCTCCTTTCCCCGAGGGCTAAGGAGACAAGAGGGGGCCCCTGCTTAAAACTGCACTTTGGAGTCTGTGTTGAAGTAAGAGATCGGAAGTGGGATAAGGAAATGGGTGGGAAAATGAAAATGTAAGAATTGGTGGGAGGCAGTAGAAATTGAAATCTTTTCCTCTTCTTGGCTCTTCCACTTCGAAGTCTGTCCTGCCCTGAAAGAGGTGAGGTAAAACAAATGGGGCAGGTGGAGAACCAGGACAAGCTATACAGCAGCCAGGAGACAGAAGTGCAGGGAGAAAGCAGAAGCACTCAGAAAGATGAGACAGAGGCATTGACTGAATGACCAACGTGCCCTTCAGTGGATATGTTATAGAAAGTATGCTAAGTGTCAGCTCTGAGAGCTGAGGTATGGGCCTCTTTTCTCATGAGTCACCATGCTCCAGGTAGTCTGAGGTGCAGTGTTTGTGAGTCTGCTTGCATGTGAAAATAGGTCTATGACCTGAGGAGCTGCTAGAGAAATCCTGTAGAGCATAAATTGGGCCTAAAGTGGACAGTGATGTCTACTGGTGTCTGGAGACAGCTTGGATTGTTGGCAGTAGCACTGTGGTCTTGTCTGCTTCAGATGCCAGCCGTATCTGTTTTGCTGAGACTCCATGTAGCCCATAATGAATAATTAGCATCCCATAATGCTAAGAGAATGCTATGACGTGCATTAGGGGTTGCAGAGGTGCTTTTGGCAGAGGAGAGAAATAACCTATTTCAATTTCAAGGTGAGATGGATTGAAAGCTACCCCCCTGCCCCCAGCCCCAGGAAAGGGCTGATGTCTCCTCTATCTTTCACAAAGATCTATTAGCTGAGGTTTTGACCAAATCCACATCTGGTTTGCATGGCACCTGCAAGCTGCTAGACTTCTCTTCCACAACACCAATTTTGCTTTTTGCATAGCAGTGTGCTCAGAGAGGCCAAGTGATTTTAAGTTTTTATCTTTGGCCCAGGCCTGTCCCACCCTCATCTGCAAGCTAATTAATCTGGCACTTCTCCCCTAGTGTATTCCCTTAACTGTTATCAAGCATCCAGTAAGCATTTAGCTTTGCAGAGGGAAAAGAAGATATTTTCTGTTGTTGGAGAGCAGTGTAAGGTTCTTCTGCTTCCTTTGGGATTCCAGCAAACCGTATTAGGCAAACGACTATAAAGAGGGGACAAATGATGATCCCTCAAGAAAACTGCTTTGTTTTCTGGCCTGCTAGATGGATCCTTGCTGAGCAGCTCCATGCACCTCTTGCCTGCTAAAACCTGCTATGCTTTACCTAGGGAAATGGGGAAATTAGGTAGAAAGCAGAGATTCTCAGCTGCAAGACCAATACTAAGGAGAATAGCAGCCACGTGACTTGCTGTGCTGGCTCAGACTGCTGTGGTCTGCATTTAAGAGAGGTGTGTGCCTTCCTGTCTCATGCAAGGCGTCTTGCTAGCTCTGTGTAGTTCCTGGCATGGCTAAGGGGTGGAGTTCCTTCCTGATCTTTGAATGATCTTGATCAGCTTAAGCTATAAAGCAGGAGATTTGATTTACCCTGACTTAGCTTGCATAACTGCAGACAGAATTACGGGTTGGCAAGCCCTTATAATGGCTTAGACTGAGAGAGGGATCATGCTCTGATGCCTCTCACATGGCAAATAATTTCCATTATAATTCATTCTAATTTGTTTTATTTCTTTGATTAACTGTATAACATAATAAAGCACCATTTCCACTTGAGCTATTCTCTGTTAATTTGTTTTAGTATTGTCTGTAATTATATTCATTTAATCTTTGTCATTGCTAATTTTAAAAATCACTGAAGGAAAGTCAGAAAATGGTAGAAAACCATGACAATTGGTAGTTTGAGAGTCTTGAAATTGTCACATGGGGGCTGGCCTCTGAGGAGCAGTCCAAAACCAGTGGTGGAGTAGGACTGGCTTCCAGAGCATGGCAGCCCAGGCTCTGGGGGCCAGCTTCAAAGAGGCCACACTCTGACTCTCATGCTACTGCTGAGATGCCAATGTGATGAGACCTGGTGGAGCAGAAAGCTGTCTAGTTCCTTGGACATGGTGAGAGAAGCCCAAATTCTTCTGCATAGAGTAATACCTTCTTCCCCTGTTTTGGGGGCTGCTCTTGTTCTGCCACATCCTTGCTGCTTTTGGAAAGGCTGAAGCACTGCAGAAATTTTGTTGGGGACAGCAGCAGCCTGGAAATTCCTTCAGCTCTTTAGACGTAGGACATGAGAGCACATTGCTCTGATCACTTGCCTGTTCCTGGTGGCTATCTTAGGACAGGTTTGCTTGCAGATCCCTGCGGCCACGGCCACTTCATCCCTAACCAAGGCCAGACAAGTAGGTGGCAATAAATCCTTTGATTCTGCTTGCTCAGTAGCTCCAAAGCTGGAGCATTCACCATGATGTGCTGTCTGGGTTTGTGCCTTCTGTCATCACATTCTGGACTCTCCCAGAAATTAAGCCCAGTGACTGGGTTGCTTATGTGGGCCAGAGAATGTCTGAGCTCCAGCCCAATGCACTGGACAGATCACAGTCCTTGGGCAGAGCATATCCTCCAAGAGTCAAGGTGCCCAAACCCCTCCCGGGGGTCTGCAGATTTTAGCATTTGCAAGGGTAGGTACATTGTGTTTCTTGGCGGTGGGAAGATGCTCCTTTCAAGTCCAAATAACATCTGTCACAGAGAACAAGCTCTCTGCTGTGCTGAATCTTCCCTTCTTCCTGAAATATGTGTAGCAGAAGTAATCACTGAGGAAGCTTTGCAAAGCAGCCAGAACTTTCTGCATTAGAACTGAATCCTTGATGGCTCTGTTCGCTTTCCATCAGAGACTAGCTCCCTTTCCCCGTGTGTGTGTGCAGACTTCATTTCACACATGCTGTCCTCCCTGTCTGAAAAGTGGAAAGCTGATGACTCAAGGGTTTCTCCTTGGTTTATGTGGCTTTGTTCTTCCTTTTTTTGCATTCCCAGATTGCAGGTGATTGCTGATCAACTGGTGGAGCGGTTTGTGGCCTCCGGCTTGATGCTTAAAGAGTGGGATAGGGTGAAACTGCATGCTACAGTCATGAACACTCTCTTCAGGAAAGATCCAAGTGGTGGGTATCCCTCATCCTTACTGATAAGTGCATTTAAAGTAGTCCCACTGGTCAGGAAATGCTTTTGTTGGCTTTTATGTTTGCTCTTTTAATTTTGTGATTTTTCTTAATCTCAAGAATACGTACAAGGCTGTGGGGGGATGTCAGTAGATAAAACCCAGAGGAAAATCAAAAAGCAATCTGTAGAGCTGGAGAAGGCAGGCATGCTTTGAGCATTTTCTGGGTCTTCGTCATAGCTTTGAAAAACCTGTTGCCAAGTAGCCCTCATAAGATCTGGGCTAGGGAGGAATGCACTCAAGTAAAATGTGAGGTTTTGAGCTCTCTGTGTCCTAATGTTAAACTGACATTCAGTAACAAATCGATGTGCTATGCTGACTTTTAAACAAGAAAAAAATGTGATCCTCATTGGTCAAGTTAGATTGCCCATTGGTTTAGGAATGTGATTCCAGTGTCCTTCTCATTAAATCAGATTCAAATGGTTATGAGGCTGAATATAAGCTATTATTGAGTGTGTAGTGTCTGCTGTCTCTGCCAAAAGATTGTCTGCTCTAGCAGTCTGTAGCATCTTTCTTACTGCATTGCTTGATACAGCAGCCTCAGATGCATTGCTTTTGGGGAGGGGCAGTATATTACAGCCCTGTTCTCCATTTGCAAACATGCATGTGCTCTGGCACTGGTGTGCTGTTTGCAAGCCTTAACAGCATTTCACTAAAGCTTTTTATAGCTTTCTCTGGTGCAGTGGTCTCTGCAATGTCACTAGGCTATGTCAGGTATTCTTTAGTTACTGACTCTCTGAGCCTCTGAATGGACAGCGATAAGAGCAGATGGTTTATTAAACCAGTTGTGGTTTTCTGGACATCCAGCAGCTGACTTTGGGGATGACTGCTACTGAAGTCAGGTAAGCATATTCAGGTAGTAGAAACCCTGAAAGATGAGATGGGGCTTAGCTCTCAAATTGAGCCCTGAAAACTGATGATGAGCCCAAAGTGCTTTTGTGTCTGTCTGTTCGGGGAAGCACATGGGCAGCTGCATCTGGCATTATGAGTCTATATTCTGAACAACCCCATGAGGCATGTGAAGCATTCAGACACAATGGTGAGAGCATTACACAGAAGTTGTTTTATATTCAATACAGGATTTGAGTAGCATGCTAGATGTGAGTGGACTTCATAGTTAATGCTGGAGATGAAAAAGAAATACTGCATATATTCACTGACTGAGGCAGAGGTCCTGTTGAAAGAAAAAATCATATTCTTAGGGATTATATAAAAATCCAGACATGCTCTGGGGAAATGGATCTAAGACGTAGGCATTTGGCAGTTGCTATAGGCCTAGGTTGCTATTCTTAATGTCTGTGTGTGGCTGCGTGCCCACCCTGCAGAAGCACACACACCACATGTATGTGCTTCCCAGAGCAAGCAGGCAGCAGAGATTTGTAGAGGTGCTGTCCGGGTTGCGCCTGACATTCTGCTTGCATGCTCAGTCTGGTATTTGGTGCTGTTCCAGGTGATGCAAGCACTCATCATGCTGACTCTCACCCTGGCAGGATGTGGGATTAAAATCAGCCAGAGAGAAGCAGATGTGTTGCACTGAGCCATCAGCCCTACAGAATCGCCCTAGCAGTAGCTGTGATTTAGGGTCTTTCCTCCAGGTAATATAGGTGATCCCTACAAAGGTACCAATTCTTGTGTATTCAGCCTTGTTCTCTTTAAAATCAAAGTGGAAGTGTTTTTTTTTTTCACTAAGAACTGGGCAAAGATGGTCTATTAGCTGGCAGCTGACTTTGGGGAGGGAGAGAGTGGGGATTGAAGTACAGCACACACAATTTTCCCATCTGAAGCTCATTCTGGTGGTTGCTTTTCTCTTTACAGCTGAAGAGCGAAACAATACAATGACTGGTAAATCATCTTTCAAGGAGCGAGAGTCATTTAATGGCCGAAATATCCTCAAGGTCAGTATGAAACAATTAGGGAATTCAAGCCAGCTGTGGATATTGTGTAGCCAAAAGAGGTTGAAACACCTCTTCAAGACTGCTTTTGTCTTAGGTTTATGAGATCTCACTGCTGGGAGAAATCTGTTTTGAAAATAAACAATCCAGATCACTCCTAATTGGGAGCATTACAGTATTTAACAGGAGTGTTCTTAAAGCTGGTGAGGCTCAGATCAGGTGTAGGTAACACAAATGCTAACTGGGTGTTCGTGTTGTCATTTACTTCACTCATGTTTTAGCCTGGAGACTCAGGCTCATGTCAATTCTCACCCCACCAGAAAGGAGAACTTTGTTACTCTTGTTCTACTCATATATTTATGAAACTAAAACCGACTGTCATTTCACTTACTCTGTTTTGTTTTGTTTTGTTTTCTTTGATTTGCACTATGGATTTGCATGGTTTTGCTCCAGAAAAATAGCAGATAGCAGTAGGGAGTCCCACCAGCTTTGCCAGTGGTCAGAGGCGGGTCAGGCTCAAAGGGGAGCATCCTGCAGCCTCCCAGGCTTTGCTAGCCATGGTTGAGACTTCAGGCAGCCTCTGCTGCCCATCCAGATGGCAGTGGCAGACTGATGCTGTGCTGCTTGGCCCCTGCAAGAGTCCAGAGAGAAGAGAAGTACAGTGGAGTAGAAAATGGAAAACAGTGCTGGGCTGTAAGCAGATTTGCAGTCCTCACTGTGTGAGGGGGTTTGTTGCAGGCAGCTATGATAAGAGGGAGACTGGACAATGCATGAATACATTTGGGAACCAATATTCTGGCAACAGAGATATGAGAGAGGATGCAGCCTGAGTGGGAGTTGGACAACCCAGAAGGACTTTAGGGCACCAGAGGAGGAAAAGAGTGCACTTTATTTGGTTTACAGTTTTGCTGTATAATGTATTAGGCACTGAATGCATGGGGATGTGAAGGCAGGGAGTGGAACTGATTGATCTCCTCCGTGCAGAGGACAAACAAAGGGACAAAATTAGGTTAAGCTCTCATTGTCCTCAAACAGTTTGTGCAAGCAGTGTCATGACTCAGCGTCACCACATGTTGAGTGTTCAGTGTAAGACTGCAGTATTGCAAACTGAAGCAGGAAAGCCACAGAGGTGGTCCCTTTCTTAATGTATTCTATGAGTTTTGATTAGCTCCTGGTGGCAGAAAGCTGGCTCCAGAAGGGGAGGGTGTATGTCAGAAGCCCAGAGTGCCTGCAGGGACTCAGCTTTCAAGGCTTACACTCACATTTAGCTTGGCCCTTTAGTTCTTTCTCTTCCTTTTGTTAAACCTGTCCTCAGACTTAGAGACACATAAGATCAAACTGTCGGACTTTCTTAATGCTTGTCATATCCATTTATGATTGGGAAGGCATTAATGATACTCCCTCTACTGGTCACACCATTTGTGGGCTGCACTGCGGGGTCTGAGGATCCGTGGGTCTTGTAGTATGTGGTGCTTAGAAATGCAGCTGCCCTGCCTCAGATGGCTACTTCTTATTCTCAATGCTCCCTGAAATATGAGCCAATGCATTTTTAAAGCTCCTAATTGATTTTGTACTGATGTTGCCAAAAGAGCTGCTGGCTGTTTAGACTGTTGATAATTACTTCAAAGCATGTCTTGCCACAAGAAATGTCATCCTTCTCCCCCACCTCCATTACATTTCCTAACCTGCTCCCTTCATATTTCCCTTTGGTCTCCCACGTGCCTGCAGCAGAACGCCCGTTGGCATTAATTAATTACATGAGTCATAAATAGCTCCAGGCTTCTTACCGGAGGAGTCCAGCCTCAGCCAGCCACTGATGCATTCTAGCATGACCTTGCAAGGATGTGCCAGTTCCCTCCCAGCCCCCTTTTATATACATTATTTATCTTCATCTCAGGGAGGCTGCCCTCTCGTAAAGTGTCTTCATTAACTTTTGCAATAGGATCTAAACGATAGGCTGTTAATGAATATGGCTGCAGTTAGGCAGGGTGGCTTGTGGGCACCATCCCCTTATAGGTAGAGCCATGTGCCATGCCTGTGTTTCCAGGCAGAGTGACTCTGTGATAACTGTTGAGTGGCTGTGTTCCCAATTGGAAAGCCCACAAAACGTGGCTACTGATAGGAGGGCATGAAGTTGGAAAACTTGGATTTTGTCGCTCTCTTTCCCATTATGCAGCACTATGACTAGCACTGCTGTGCCAAAGGCTTTGCCTAGAGGAGAACAGGACCTGAGCTATCAGAGCATGGACCATGATGGAGAAGCCTTGGTTCTGCTGTTCCCGTCTGAGGCTCCCCAGTCTGGTGTGTGTGTGCAGATGCACTGGTGGCACATGTTTGCTGATAGCATGCCTGCCTTACCCCAGGCTCCAGCTGGTATTTTGCTTTCAGCTGAACTAATCAGAATTTCATTTAATAATCCTTTGTTCTACCCATTCTGCAGAGTTAAACGTACACTCCTCTTTGAGCTAATAAATGGCTGTGCAGGCCAGTATTTTCCCACACTGCTCAGAAAATAGATCCTGTAGGTTGAGTTGCGTTCGGGCATTTTAATTACTTCTGTCTTGAAGAATATCCATGAGAAAGGCTCCCTGGCCTAGCTGGTGCTGAAAGCCCAAGGGATTGTGACCCAACAGCTGAGTGATTTGTGTCTTAAAGTGCTAGACACTTTAGCTTTGTGCTTGTCTAATCTAGTCCCAAGAAGCTGGTTATGTTTTATGCACCACATCATATGGAGCACTATGTATTTCTTTTAGGGTGGCCAGTTGGCTAGCTGATCGACTGCTTTGGACATGAGTCACGTACCAAAATCTAGCTCTGGTCAAAAGAAAGTGGCTCATCTCTTGGAGAGTGGAGGGAAGGGGCAGCAATTCACAGTTGAAAGACAGCAGCAGCTCCATCCCATGAGAGCAGGGTGAGGCTGGGCAGGCAGCTGGGCCTCAGAGGGATGCTGATTTGGCAGCCCTTCTGCCTTGCCTCCTCCTATGTCCCAGACAGTGGCTGTGTGCCCTGTGCTGCAGCTGGCCAAGTGGCACAGTGCCGGCACAGAGGTGGCTGGGGCAGCTGCCTGCATCTCCGGAGATGAGACTTGGCTGCCTCTGGGCTTTTATTTATTTTGCTTAGTGAAAAAAACTAAGGCTGCAGTGAATAAATAAAAATGCAAACATTGTGAAGGTACCGCCTGTCCCACATTTTCTGTTGTACTTTAAAAAGCAAGGAGGGCTTACAGTACGGAGAAAACCACCTGGACTCTCATTGGGTTAAAATTGAATGATTTTTGACTAGAGGTCTGAGGAATAAGAGCGGCCTTTGCCACATTCAAACAAGAAGGAAACAGATTTTGAGTACAGAAGATGAACCCTGCAACTTAGCACAGATCTGTGCATTAGCAGCTTACAAGATTAAATATTGAAGGAACAGCTACTGAGGCACAACAGCAGAAAGCTGCACATCTTATGTCTTAGGGCATTAGGGGAGACTTTAAGCTAGGATGCAAGACTGGGAACTGGATCAGTCAAGGCAATGACACCAATGCTGCAATACCCTGTTCCAGCAGCAGGAGCAGAGCAGCTGAACTCTTGAGTACTTCTTGGGAGTACCTCTCAGTACTGCTTGGGAGGGCTTCTAGGTCAGGCAAGCCATAATTCGATGAGGTTTCTTCTCTTTTGAGACTGCATATGGGGTATTAAGTTATGGGATTGTATGTGCTTTCACTTGGAGCAGGGGGATAGTGCATTTACTGACTGGGGCTGCTGAAGAGCCGATCATAGCAGGGAAATCTGGTAGTGTTCTGTGTTATCATTTCTGTCTTGCTGGGTAAGAATAGTGAAGTGCCTATGGTATGCAGTAGTTCATCTTGTCATGGATAAACCCCCTAATCCCTCAAAATGCTCCAAACCCGCCAAGCACTAAAGAAATTAACATCTCCCCTTTGTAGAGCCACCATTACCAACATCACTTGCAGTTGAGGAGTGCTTCTGGTGCTCTGTAGCCATTGGTACCCAGGCCTTTTCTGTGTAACTTTCATTAGTGAATTTAAGGAGACAGTGTCTTTTTCTGGTGTACTTTTAAGCTCAGGTGAAATCAAAGGGACAGAGAACTGGCATTAGGAGACAATCAAGACTGCTCAGTGTTTGGAAAGGGTAAGAACATTCTATTATCCTTAGCAAGGTGATAAAGGTATATATCCGAAGTATGACTGGCAGCTGGAACAAGTACCTAACAGGAGGTGGCTGCTTGGAAAGTTTAGAGTTAAAAATACTGAACAAAAATCCACTGGGGTGAGAACAGACTGAATAAGAGATTGTAGTGCAACATCACTATATCAGAAATAAGCCAGTGCTTTCCTTGCCTCGTTATACAGAAGAATCAAAAGCAGAAATGAAAGTCTGTAATGCTGCTTTGCAGATGAGAGGATTTTTGCCTTCAGTTCTGATCCTGCCATTATCGAGGGATGTTGAAACAAATGAAGGGGCTCAGCAGTGTGCAATTAGAGCAACAGTAGGATGGGAGGATGTGACAATTGAGCAGATGAGACTGGAGATTGACATTTGTATGGTCTTGGGGGGGAAAAAGATTGAACTGGGGTTGCTGTGAAAATGCTTTCCTATAAATGATACTCCTTAGGAAAAAGAAAAAAAAAAAAAGCAGGCATGTTCACATTATTTGCATTTGGTGAAACAGGAATCTGAAGTGGCATTTGAAAAATCAGACTAGACAATAGAGAGAAAATATCTTTGTTGGAGTGTTTGGGCCTTGGAGCAGAGTGATGAGGCAGTGTTGGAGGTATTGAAAGGCTGAGATGCCGTGCTGAGAAGTACGTAGCGCAGGAAGTGCAGAAGGTTTATGCTAACTTGCCCGGCTGTGAGAGAGATCCATTTGGTGACCTTGCCATAAAGGAGAGAAGCCTCTTTTTCTTCAGAGGTATTCAACACCCGTCTTGACTAATTTTAACAGGAACTGTGAGTGCTGGAAGAGGGGGTATTTGCTGCAAGGTTTATAATGTTTCTGAATCCTCTTGCCCCTTCCATGCAGGGCTGCCTGCACCACTGCAGTCCCCTCCAGCCCAGCAGCTCAACCATTTTGGAGGTGCTTTGGAGATCATGCTCTGAGTGCTTCTGCTTCCCACCCAGTGGGCATCCTGCTTCTTCATTTCCTTGAGATCACTATTCTGCCACCAGCATCACCTCTTTGGTCTTAAGAGGACAGTTTTTCTTGGTGGAGCTAGCAGGGGCTGAATTACAGCGGCGCCTTAACAGAAGACAGGGATCCAGCACATTAAGGGAAAAAAAAAATAATCAAACCAGATCAACACAGTGATTAGCAAAAGTAGGCAGTTCATCCCAAAGGTGCCGTGACCCTTCTGCCAGGTAATTTCCTGGGTCTGTCCAAATTAATTTACTGGCCTCTATAGGTGAGCTTTTCCTCTTGGTGGTTTGGTGAGATTAGTGAGTAAGTCACATTGATGGGACCTCCTTATCCTAGTATTCCCAGATGTGTCTCGAGCCTCCTGACATCTCTGCAGCTCTTCAAAACGGTTCCTGCGTTTGCTATAATAGGCAGTGCTAGGAGCCATGGGGATGATTTCTTTGGTGAATTGCAGTGCTCAATTATTAATTTCCTTAAGCAAGTACTGTAAATCCCTTATGTTTGGGGTGTAGCAGGGTCTGGGAAGTTAGCAGAGCCTTTCATATTCTGAAGGTTTTTTTTATTCTTGTCAGAAATGTGCAAAAATCCAGTAACCTCCAAATGTCCCACTTGTATTTGTTTCTTAGTTTGCGGAATGACTCTTGCCATAGCAACTAGGGTTTGATTTCCTCAAGTGCATGAATTTTCATAGATTTGTGGCAGGGGAGAGTGGACCCAAAACTGTGAGTTAAAGTGAAGGTTTTGCAGTGTGGAAGTGGCAGGAGCACCACTAGATTTGATTTATGAAGGAGGGGGACCATGGAGGGAGAGGAACTCAACTGAACAAAGGGCTGCACCTGACCCCAAATAGTTTTATTTACAAAACCCAGGCCTGATGTTAATTTAGACAGAATGTCACCCTCCCCACTGCTGCATCACCCTCTGGCAGCTGAGGTGGCTTTGCTCCAGTTTCATGAAGATACGAGGTTTTGCATGGCAACAGTCAGAAGAAGGATCGGCTGCTTCCATTTTTGTAGAGCTCAGCTGGAAACCTCGTACTCTTCCTAACCATGGAGGTCAGAAGGATGTTATGGGCAGAATGAATGAAACAGGCTTCTCGTAGGTCTGCAGAGAAAACCCAGCTAGGGAGAGGCAGGAAAATTGCACTTACTAGTAGGAGGGAACAGAGCTCCAAATAATCTTGAGAAATCAGGCAGAAACAAACAGGCTGCTGCGAACAAGTGCAGGTCCAGGAGGGAGCAGTGGCATTAGTGCAGGATGGAGAACTGCCTCAGTACCAGCCCCACAGACTGGGGTTTGGGTTATGGGGGACTGCTTCAGAGCACAAGCTAGTCAGTCTGTGGAAATAAAGAGGCAAATGTCTGTAAAGTAAACCTCTGACTACACTTAGCACTCAGCCCCTGGCTGAAGTATTTGTCCAGTTTGGGGCACCATGGATGGGCCAAAGAGCCCAGAAAGCAACAATATGATAATCAGAGGACTAGAAAATATCTAGGAGCTGAGGCTGAAAGACTTAGAATTGTTTAGAGGCTAATAAAGGGAAGGAGGAGGATAGCTCATAGGCAAAACTCTTTAAGCATGTGAAAGCTTTGGCAAGTAGTGGTTCTCTGGAGGACATAATAATGGGCTTAAATTGCAGCAAGAGATTAGGTGTTAGGAAAATCTTTGTAATGGGAAAGGTAATGAAGCATTGCTCTAAGGACCTGGAAAAATGGGGGTCCCAGTTGTTTTGAGGGAGCGGAGATGTTAGTCCGGGATCTGCCACCAATTTGCGCCACCTGCCTTGGGGAAGGAGAGGACAGTGGAGACAATGAACTCTTTTGGTCCTTTCTTCAGCTTGTCACTTTTATGATTACTACATGAAATGGATGCAAAACACCCATGAGATGACATTTGTGAACGTACAAAAAGCTTCTTGGCATTTACGTTGCATTTACTTTGGCTCAGTAAAATAAAAACATAAAAAAGAAACCTCCCATCATGCACGCCTAGGATCTTCCTCCCTGAACTACATACATGTTTCTTTCTCTTACACTGGTGGTACTTTTCCAGACAGAGATGGTTATATTGTTATTGCATTCCAAGGGATGGCACTGGTGGTTTAATCGGAAGGCTTTTTTTCTGTGTCACAGAGGAGATACCCCCAGACTTGCATCCTGTGTTGTGCTTGTACTAGCCTAAGATGCCTAACCTAACTTGTCTGTAATTTCAGGTCTTGGTGGTTTGTGGCAAAGCTTGCAGATATATATGACTCCAGAATCAGCAAGCTGAATGCAAATGATAAAGGAGTTAGTGCTTTGCTAATGATAACAGATCAGCTGCACTCCCAAAAGATAGACGGTTGGGACTTTTATGACCATATTTTCTGCCTCCTGAAGTCTGCATGTTTTATTCATCTTAAGGGTAAAAAGCTTCTTCCTTCTTCCTGAGGTGAAAGGGCCTCTGCTGCCACCTTTTAAAACCTGCCAGAGGTTGGAAGAAAACAAGAGGGGAAGGGCTGTTGTTTGCGTTGTCTGGATGGAAGGACTCGATGCTGTATTGGTGATGGAGACACTCCAGAGCCAGCTGAGCACTTGCAGAACAACACAAATCTTCTACATACACCCACCAAGCTTTGTGGCTGATGCCTGGAGGCCTTGGCACAGGCAGTGTGCCCATGATGACGGACCAGATGACAACCACCTTCTCTCTGCCCTTTCTAGCCCTCTCTTCCACCCTTGCCCTGCCACTCTGCATGACATCTTAATCCTGTAACGCCTATGCACTAGTGGAAGGTGTTGGATGCCCATCCAGTGGTCCTTTAAAAAGCCATGAAGAGGAAGCAGTTGCTTCTGGAGAGGGGGGGAACACTGGAAAGAGCCACCTTTCTGGATGAGTGCCTGTCTGCCTGCTTTTCCTACACTTCTCATGCATTACAGCTGGCAAGCTTCCAAGCACAATTAAACCTCTGACAGATAATCATTGATGGAGTGGTGTCCCTAGTGAATAATACAGGAATCAGGTATTTCTTTTTTGGCACCAAACTGCTTCAGAAAACGTATTTTGGAAGTGGAAAATAGAAGGGAAAAACCTATTAATTGAACAAACTTCCCAGATCTTGACACACTGCCCAGTTGTGTCTCATCTTCTGGGAGCCACCAGGGGATTTGGTTTGGGGATTTTCTGTCATAGTTTGGGTGTGTTTAGATAGTAAATGGAAAAGGTTTTGGTGCATTTCTCAGGATGAGGAAGAAGGAAGTCTGTTAGCATATACTGCAGCCTTGGAACTGGAACAGTTTCTGACGTTTCTTGCTATGGAGGTAACAGAATTCTCTAGACCACTGGGGTGGTCAACAGGGAGGTGTTGGGAGCGTAAATCTATAAAGCCAAAACGGGGCACAGGCAGGCTGGCCCTTGAGGTCCCTCTTGCCAACAACTTTCCATTGCTGAACTGTGTTCACAGGTCAGCCTGCCAAGGAGGAACAGAGGTGCTGCTCAGACCTGAGAGGCCCTGACAGGTCTATGTGGGAGGTCACAGGAGTGAGGCACCTTAAGCAGGCAGGTGGGATCCCAAAAGCAGGATTGGAGGCTGTGGTTCATGCAGGAAAGGAGGTTAGTCAGAATGGCTCCAATGGATAGGTTGCTGAACTTCAGCGGACTCTTCTTAGAGTCCATCAGTGTTTCTGAGTGTTACTTTCACATTTCTATATCTTTTTATTATTATTATTTTTTAATCCATCCATATTTTTTTGCCATCAGTAACCTTTTCTCTGTCAATCCTTTTTTGCTCAATGCTGGTATCAGCTTTGTAACACAGCAGTTTGTCAGTCAGTGCCTTCACTGCTGTGACTGTCATGGGTACCACAGTTGTGCTTTAGCCAGATGATTTAGAAGAGCAGTTGTTTTCTGCTCTTCTGCAATGTTTTCTATCCCAAGCTCTGGGAGTGTTATACAAGCATTAATTCAAATATGTCATTCCTTATGAGTTGAAAAAGTAGTCTGATGTTCGTTTGGAGAAGTCACAGCGCATGGTCTGATCCTGTCTGAGCCCCTCCCCTCCCATGTAGTGTAAGATAGTGCAAGAAGGGTTTGGGGTGTTGGGGTCATGCTCTGCTGTGAGTACCGTCAGGAATATCCAGGGGAAGGTGTGGAGAGTCTGAAAACAAAGGTTTCATTGCTCCATGTCGACACTCTTCAGAAATGATGCTTAATTTTTCTCCATGCTTGTCAGCGGGTACTTGGGATTTTGTTTGCTTCGCTTCTCTGAAGGGGATAACAACAGCATAGCATGCTGATTTCCCATGGAAAAGGACTGTCCATCCCTCCCAGCTTTCTGAGTTTGTTCGTTCATTCACCACTGCTCCTGATCAAGACATGCCAGGGGTAGCAGATGCTGCTGGGTGAGTTGGTGACTGTTGTAACTGTGTGCAGAGCAGGCAAAGCTGTAAAGCCTGCAGCTCCTCCGAAGCTTGAGTTTAATCTCGTTTGAGCTCTTTCGGTTCTGCTCTCTGCTGCTGGACCCTGATTCCTGGTGCGATCTTGCAGAGCCACAGTGCTGGGTTGCGTGTCAGAAGTGATCCTCCTGCACATGTTCTGCCACGGACGCAGAGACAAGTGGTGATCAGCCTGTTTGTAGGACTTCCTGGAGGGGATCTTTTGGTGGATAAACACCTTCAACCCAGGTGAAACAGAGGAGAAGGGATTGCTGGTGTCCCATGCTCAGTGTAGACTGTGCAGCAGGAATGACAGTGAGCTCGGCTGCAGCCATAGGTTCCTGGAGCTGTGAGCTTCTTCCTTTCCACATTTCAGAAGTTGTTAATTTCTGTGCTCATTCCAGATACATAAAATGGAAAACTGTCTGCTTCCAGGTCCCTGCTGAGAGCAGACAGGTTTCCTAGGCTGATTGGTCACAGGCTAATGACATTACATGCCTCTGCTCGCCTGCAGTGCTGATTCACCAGGGACAGTTTTGTACTGTTAATCTATAATACCCCTACCCTAAGGCACTGCTTTCTGTGGCTGGAGTTCACAACAAAGTGAGCTCCCCGCAGACTGGGGGTTATGTGTGTGTTTTATCCTGTGATGCATTTTATCCTGTGATAATGCTGCTCTTTGGTGGTATTTTTTAGTTGCAAGGCACTGCAGTGAATCGCTGTTCCCTCAGCATTTCTGAGCACTGAGGCTCTCAGCAGAGCTGCTTGGACTTTTTATTAATTCAGGATGGGTCCTTTTTGGCTGACTACCATAGACGATGTAAGGCTTTAAAAGCTGATCAATAATCCTGATGGTAGCAGCAAAATCCAGGCCAGGCAGTGTGACTGCAAGCCAGAGATTACGTGAAGGAAGTTTTAAATACCTCTTACTTCCTTCCCTTGTCTGGACTTATTTTGTCCTCCTGCTGCCCAGTGCCTCTCCAGGCGAATCCGTTAATATTTCTTATGCTTGTTGAGCCCATGACAGGTGATTTAAAAGCACTGGTTTGTGTTGGCATCTCCGCTGTTCATAACCGGAGCTGAAACGCGTTGCCACTGTCCTTACGCATATTAGCACTGTGAATTATTACTGTTGTTTCCAGGTTTGAACACAAAGGTGCTGTCTCATTCTGGGAGGGTTGTCCATGGGAAGCGAGCCCCCAAGGGTGGCTGCTTGACAAAATACCTGTGCTCAGGAACACAACATCATTTAGACACACATTTTAACTGCTTCATTGAGGAATCATCCTCCTTTGCTTTTGTTTCTACAGTGTTTTGGTAAAACTTAATTTACAGGCTTAAGTAAAAGCGGAAAAAATGTATGAAAGATGCATCCATTGCTCTGCCTTTGATATGGAAGTTGTGGTTTGGGGGCTGAAGTTGGTACTAGCATTTTTGGCTCAGGTTTGCAAGGAGAGAGTGGTTTGATATTTGTGATCCTTTCTATCCCAAAATAAGTCTTCAGCCTCTGTCTTCCTTCAGAAAATGATTGCTGCACCCCAAGGGAGACCTTGGTGTGTAATTTGTAGGTAATAGAGGGGAACGGATCTTAGAGGAAGAAGAGTTTCCAACATCTGAACAGAATTGCCTTAAATGAGAGAAACTGGGGTGTTAGAAATGACAGGTGTGCTGCTGGGTTTTCCAGGCTCAGAATACATTACTTTTGGGGGAGAAATAGAGAAAAGCTTGCTTTCTGGGAGCTACCACAGGGCTAGCTTGCCTTTCATGATTACCTCCACAGTTGTGTCCTTGGACCCGACCCCCAGAAGGCACAGGGAGGAGAAGCACTTGCACATGTGGGTCTGCAGTAGTTTGCAGGCTGACATATGAACTATTGGTTACCCATGCAAAAGTACACTCCCTCTCTCAGGGGTAACAGCTTTCACCTGCAACCCCTGCCATCCCCTGCATGTCCTGGGGATGCTGCTCCTGGGAGGATGCTGCGCTGCTCACTAGGCACCCAGTTCCTCCTTATGGGAGATGCTGTGTCCTTCTAGGCGTACTCACTGTGCAGTTTCTGAGCCTTCGCCTGTGGTTTGAAAAGGAGGGCACATCTCTGGCACATTTGCTTAGAGATGGTAACAACGCTCTTTCCTTATTCGGTTCTAATTTAATTTGGGAAGGCAGCTGGGAGACAGAGGGCACTTAGTCTGGTAAGTGCTATTCCCTTGATGGAAGTTTACACGCTTGCACGGCGTGTATAGTGTTGGCTTCATAAGGTGACCTTTACTTCCATCAGGTTCATTTTCATTTATAATATTAAAAAAAAAAAAATCCCCACCCCCTACCCTATTCTTTAAGCAGTGGGGACATAAATCCTTCAGTGGTTTTGGATTTATAGAATTACCGTGCTTTTGCTGAGCCTCACGTCCCACTCCAATCAAGTGATACGGCTTTCGGTAACCATGCTGGTGATTATGTTTTTCCTCCCTCCATCTCCCTCCTTGCTGCTCCTGATCTGCACCTCTTCTTGCTCCTTGCAGCCTTTCTGGAGAAAAGTGGGCCCTTGGCACCCATGGGAAAGGGCAGGAGGGAGACAAGCGTTAGGGTTGTCAGCATTTGTGCATGAAGCATAACAACCTCCAGGTATCTTCTGTCCTGGCCCAGAATAAAAAATGCTAAAATGCTTTTATTGGAGGCATTTCATCAGCAGTGCTACAGGCCTCCTCCAAAACCAGAGCGTTTCCGTGGTGGCTGGGGAAAGGGGGGAGATATAAATATCTTTCTCAGCTCTGCTTGGCTTCTCCCCAAGATAAATAGAAGTGAAAGTCGAAAGCAGAGCCTTGGTCTTCTGAAATCGTTTCCCAAGCCCCTGGGGACCCGAGCACAGCATACTTTCATGAGGGGAAGCCAGCTCCTGATGTTTTGGGGGTCTCCGAGGATGATGTTTGAGGGGTCTCCCTCCCCATTGCCTGAGGCAGATCTTGGCCATGGATCTGCCACAGCTCAGCTGTGATCCCCAAACCTGCTCAACAGTGGCTTCTGTTATGGAAAGCCTCAGGGAGCAAAGGAGCATCAGTGAGAAGCCAGCTTGAAAAGAGAGCAAAAAAAATGTCTGTGGTTGTCCTCTAAATCTTGTAGCATGTTTACTCTCAGAAAGTACAGCTACATTACCAAAAATCAATAGTTCTAGCAGCATTCTCCCTGGGAAACACATGCACACTCAGACACATGAGAGGTCGTGTGCCTTAAAAAAGCCAAGGGAATACAAAGTGCTTTGGTACAAGGGTTTTGCTTCACTTTTCAGCAGCGTACAAATGGAGTGCCCTTGACCTGGGCAGTGTCTTCTGGGACTTCCTGATTGTCTTTCTGGTCCAATGTGCCTGAGGCTGTGCGAGGCAAGAGAGGGAGGGTTTGTCTTATTAACTAATTTTTGCTTTGAAGTAGAATCATAGAAGTACACGTGTTTTGTTGAAAAACAGGTTGTGGTGTGCAAGTGATAGTATAAACAAGTATTTGAAAGACTCTTCCTATGGCTGTTTTTGTATACAGGTTTGACTTCCAGGGCTGCTGAAGGGACCGGCACATCCCAGTAGTTTGTTGTTTTCTTCATGCTTGCAAAGCCTTCATTCTGCAGAAGTAAATGTGTCTCATCCCCCTTCTCTTAAAAAAAAAAAAAATCCTTTTCAAATCCTACTATCCCCTTGCTTCCCAGCACACCTAGCGCTCCCTCTATTAGGAGTGGAGAGAAATGGCTTCCCTTCTTCCTGGATGGAGAGTGCTCTGTCAGGGAACGAGTGTAGATTTGAAAGACAGGTGTTAAGGTTTGGGGTGGGTGGGCATGCTGGGAACAAGCACTGCAGCAAGCCTTCAAGAGCTGGAAGTCATCCTTCCTTCTGAGATCAGTCAAAACAAAAAGAGAAGGCAGACCAACCCCCCGGCCTTTTTACTACCATCTCTTATTAATGAGACATTCTATCCTAAGTCATCTAACGTGAACTACGCAGGTTTTTGGGAACATAATTAATCTTTAATTGTATAAATCTTTAATTGTATCAAATGGAGTTTGCATGGCTGTAGTAATTTCTCTTCTCTCTTTTCCTCCTCTCCCTGTTTGGGATGCTCCTTTAGTACAGTTTCTTTCAATAGGGTGCCCTGCTTTAGAGCAGCGGCTGCATGGAGCTGCGCACACAGTGCTTGAAGCCCGGCTACTGCAGTGGGGCCTCTTGCTGGGACAGGGACCTGGGTGACCCCTGTGGTGGGTGCCTAGCTCCTGCCAAGTAGGAACTCAGAAGAGCTGGCAGTGAATTGCAGCTTACTATGAGTCTGAATCATTAGTGATGAATTACTTCCGGCCCTGTGCAAACTAAGTGCTAGAGTCTTAAGGGACAAGTGTAACCCCAAGGCACACCCCAAGGCAGGTTGAGCTGTGGGGAGGTGCAGGTGAGCTGGAGGCTTCCCACCACCTCTCCTCATCAGGCATACTGTGACTGAGTGGTCCAGTGCAGAGAAACCCTGTTCTTTGAGGTGTTTGTGCTAACCCAGAGGCTTTTTGCAGAAGCAGTTTGGGGTTGACTGCCTGTGCTACCACACAGGCAGATCCAGGAAGGAGAGGGTGGTCCCTGGCAGGTGGGCTGCTGGCAGTAAGTGCTCTGCAGCACGTCTGACTGCAGCTGCAGCCGTTTCAAACTGAAGCAGGGTCTTGGCAATCGCTGAGAGCTGGCTCGGCACACATAAATACCCCTTGTCTTCAGAGATGCCATTCTGACTGTGTGTTGATGAGGAATTGCTGGCCTCAGCCAAACCCTGAGTGGAGAGCAGTCTGGATAAGCTGGCAGTCTGGAGCAAGGGCTGGATTCATCATGGTGCCTGATGTCTGGTCTGTGACCCACTTACCTTGGTGGTGCTCCCTGGCCAAAGCCCTGCTTCCTCTGTCCTGAAGATGGGCAAGGAATCACTTTCCCTAGGGCACTTTTCCTTTGTGGACCAGTGACAATGAAACCAGGAATTGCCCTGAAAGAAGTCTAGCTGGTTCCCCTGTGGAAAAAAGAGGTATTTGCAAAATACAGTACCCTTGGGAGAGCCAACAAAAGAGCAGTTGTGCCCAAATCAGCCCAGGCAAGTCAAATGCCTTTTTGGAGGAAGTGAAGTACAGCCTTTCAGATGCTAACTAGGTATTTGGGGTTTCAGTCATTTGCTGTATGGAGGAATTGATGCACCACTGGCTCTCGGAGGATGCCTTGTAATTAATGCATTGGCTTTTGCTGGCCGTTAGCCTTAGCATTTGTGCCTTCTGTAATGGCAGGAAGGGGTGTGAGACTGTCTTGGGATAACGCCTGCAGGGACAGATAGAAAATTCAATAGGAGACAGATGGAATGGACATTTCAAAGATCTCAGCAGTGAGGAGATGTCACTGCTCAGGCCCTCGGCAACTCACAGTGCTCCTGTTAAGTGAAGTTTTGAAATTAGCATCTTCACTGAAAAGCTTTTCCTAAGGCACGACTGATGTTTCCAGGTAGAGCAATTTCCTGCATCTTAATGGAATGGGAGGAGCACTTTATTCTTGGACACGGTACCTTTCTAGCAGTATTGATGAACTTCCCTGTAAGAAATTCTGATGTCATTTTTTTGATCTACTTCATAGACTGGATTAATCAGCAGAGACATGCCTCCAGGTCCCTGAGTTGGCTTGCTTTCATTAATTTGCACTCAGGTCTTTGCTGAACAAAGAAGGATTTGTTGAACAAAGTGGGGTCAGTACTGGGATGAAGAACCTTGCACCTCTAGCCTGCTAGCTTGAGTTAGAACTGAGCCATAACTGTTAAGTCGTACGTCCTGTGGCTTTGTAAAAACACCCTGGCCTCAATCCCTGCTCCTGTGGAGCCTACAACCTGAAGAGACACCTGGGAGTGATGGCCTTCAGGCTGGTCAGTAGCTTCCCCAAGCTCCCTAAATGAGGCACAGTCAGAAAGCAAGGTAGGGAAGGTGTGAGCAACTGCTGCTGTAGAAAAGAGGTGTTCATTTCCTACCCTGATTCCTTTAAAGGCTAAATGCAGTCTTCAGAGGGGGCAATAATTTAAAGAATAGTTTAATTAAAGGCAAAACAGGTCTATGAGTAGAGGGGTTTTGCAGGGTCAGCTCTTGTGAGCAGTCCCTGGGCCAGGTGCAGGTTGCATTTCTGTAGGTGTCACTCAGACATTTTTTTCTCCTCTCTTTCAGCTCTTCGAGAACTTCTACTTTGGAGAGGTGCAGCTGGACTCAGTGCGACTTTCCCAGAGGTTCTCCTCAGATGCCTCTGGCTACTATGCAACATCTGGGCAGCTGATGTTCTGAAGCGGCAATGTGGTTACTGCAGCAGGTTCACTCTGTGCAGAGGCACATGTTCTTCAGTGAAATGTTTTTATGGGACACAAATTTTGGATAGGAACCTGGGAACTCCGTTAGGAATGCCTCGTCACTCCTTGAAAGCACACTGCAGCTGGGGACCATGGCATTCCCCCGGAGCTTTTCCTACACATACTGCTTGCGCTCCCTTGCAGGGGAACAGGGATCCTTCCACCTCCTTTCCCCATTGGTAGTGGAAATGTTGCAAAGGTGCCCATGTGATGTCTGTGGCCTGTTCGTTTTCCAAGAAAACAACTAGAAAAACTGGTGCAGGTGGCTTTTGGGGCATCACTGGTGTTTAAGCATAGCTTTCTTTCAGAAGAAGGGAGTTTGTTCTTGAAATAAGTATTTAAAATCCAAGATTGATCCCTGGAGCATGATTTAAGGATATTGAGGTCAAGCATTGCTTGGATCTCCAGCAGTGTGCCTGTGTGATGTAGATCTCCAAATAAAGTAATTCCCTTCAAAAGCAAAGTGTTTATCTCCTGTTGCATTGATAGTTTCTGTAATTAAACTTCCAGCAGACAACTATGTTAATAAGAAAGCATTTATGGTAGGAGCTTTTTCCAGTGACCATTTTGGAGCATGACAAAAAATATATGCCTTGTAGGTGGTTTCTCTGTTAAAAGGAGCGCAAAACTCTTTGATACCATTGTGATTGTTTCAGAGATCTGAAGACAACTGTTTGCTCTTGTAAATCAACATGTTCAGTAAGAACAGCAACACAAGCTTTCAACTTGCCTGAGGATGAACGGTTTGAAAAATAGAAGATGCTGGTGTTTAGTTGTTCTGCAACAGCCTGGCAGTGACGGCGGCTGCTACTGCCCCTTCCTAGTTGCTGCCATGAATGTGTAATTACGCTGTCATTGGAGTGGAGAGTGTGTTAGCTAGGGATGGGGCTGCTCCCTCAGCACCCACTTTTAGTAGTGATTGTTTATAAGAGGTTTTAATCCCATCTCCTTCCTCCCAGAATGAGCTGGTGTGGCTGTGCTCTGACTGCATGCCTGAGCAGCAGTTGGAGATGGTCAGGACTTGGAGTGGCTTTCTTTTTTTCCCCAAAACGCATTGCCAGTTGTGCTTCCAAGACCAAATTGACTATCTCTGCCTTCAAGCCTGCTTGCCAGGAAATCAAGTCATATGTGGTTGTGCTGGTGGCCTTTTACTGTGGCATCCGTGTTTGCACCCGGTTACAGCCATGGGGCTTTTTGTCTCTGCTTTTTCTTGCAGCCAAATTAAATGCCTTTGTGCTCTCGAAGTGAAGGAAGACAGGTCACTCGAAACTGTTTCCTCAGCAAGCAGAGCACTGGCATGCTCGCTAGCAGCCCGATGCAAGGAGGTGCTGAGAGCACTTGACACCAGTTTCCGTCATCTTTCCGCCAGCCTGAAGAGGTACTCGGCAAATGTCGTCAGCCACCCAAAGAACAGGCCTGGGAGCTACTTGCACAGCCACCAGCCCTGCTGCCTGTGCAGGAAGAGAGATGTACCTCAGAGAGCTTCTGGGTGATTTCAAGTTGTTCTTCACTGAGGTGGGCTCACAGTGCAGCTGGCCTTGGGAGTGAGCCCTCTCACCTCCCTAATGTGGGACTAGCTTTGACCTGAACAGCATCTTGGCATGGAGGCAAACACGACTTTTCTACAAGGAAGGGGCTGACCTAAGGATACTCCTCCACTTCCCACTAGTGCAGACGTGTTTTAAGGACAATTATTTCTGTGAGCATTTGGAAGTTGGTTGAATTTCGGTGGTAAGCGGCTTATCCCGCTGCTCTAGCCTGGCACGGCTAAATTCGTTTCACACCCGTGTTCCCGGGCAGAATTAAGAGTTCTGGTCTTTTTCTCTCATCTGTGGAGTCATAGGTTAGGCTGTGATCCAGCAAACTGTTGTGTGTGTACTTAGATTCACACCTCGCTTGATCCCCTTGTATAATGTTAAGCACGCACGTGAGTCTGGTGGAGTGGCAGCTCTGCTTTGCTGGCAGTGCTTTTGAAACAAGAGCACTTACACGAATGAAGGGGACAGAGTTGAGTGTTGTATCCCCTCACCCTTACACAAGGGAGCTACTCACATAAATAAAACACAACTACTGCTTTTTGGGGGTGGGGACCAGAAGAACATATACCATGATGGATTATCATCTATCATTGTTCATAAATATAATTAAACAGTTCAATACTGAGCATGATAAAACTGTGGTTTATGCATGGTCCTGCACCAATGAATTGAAATCCCATTAAACCAGGCAGTGTTATGGCTTTGTAAGATATAATCTGATGCTTTAGAGCTTGCCTAAAGCTTGTTAAAACTGAAATCTGCTGCTCCACTTCTTTTCCCACCTAGGCTGCATTGGAGGCTAGCCACCCTGCTTGCAGATCCCTGCGTCCTTAGTGCACAGAGGAGGGAAGTTGCTGTATGCCATCATTTTGCTCAGCAGCAACTCATTGGAGCCCAGGTCAGGAGCACAGTTCATCAACCATGAAGTTGAAAATAACAATTTTCTTAAATCCAGCTTTATTTCCAGATGCAGCAGCCTCTGTGAGGGTCAGCTTTGCTGCTTCCATGGCCTCTAGCTGCTGCTTCTCCTGTGAGGAAATGCTGGAGTGAGCTGTCACCATCCTTCCTTGTGAAGCCTCAGCAGAGATGTCCCTGCAAGTGGCCCCATGCCCGCCCTGCCTGCCTGCCTTCCCTGGGCTGAGAGAAGGGAAACCCCAAAAGCAGTGGTGCGAAACTAACCTGCCTTGCTTTGCTAGGTGGCCTTCCTCTGGGCTGGGGTGGACATCCTTCCTGGAGCCCCAAAATGCAGTGCTGGGGTGGCCAAGGGATCACAGGGTGGCATGGCAGTGATAGGGTAAAAGATGGGGGATGCAGGGTGGGGACATGGCGGGGACAGAGGATAAAGGGTGAGAACAGGAGTTGGAATAGAGAGTAGGGTTTTGGTGGGGATGGAGGGCACGGCAGGGTCAGGAGATGCAAGTTGGGGATTGCAGGATAGGGACATGGCAGGCCCCGGGGGTGTGGGATGGGGACGTAGTAGGGACTGGGAATGCAGAATGTGGGTTACGCGACGGAAATGTGGAAGGGATGGGGGGTGCGCTGTGGGGACGTGGTAGAAACCAGGGATGCAGGATGAGGGATAAAGAAGGGAGATAGGGCAGGGACCGGGATGCAGCCGTGCCTTGCCTTGCCGTGCGATACCGCCGGCTCCCCCGCCCCGGTGCCGGCGCGCAGGTGCGGCGGGCGCGGCGGACGCCCCGCCCCGGCCCTCCCGCCGGTGCCGCCCGGTGCCGCCCCGCGGCCGCACTCGCCGCCGGCGCCTCCCCGTGCGCACCGCACCGCACCGCTCCCGCCGCGCAGCCCGCTGCCCCCGGCGCTGCGGCAGCATGCGGGGCTGCGGCGGGCTCCGCGCCCTGATGGCCTTGCTGGCCCTGCTCCTGCCCGCTGCTGCTGCCGCCGCCGCCGGCCCCGCGGCCGGCCCCGGGCCCGCCGCGGCGGGAGAGAGCCCCGGCAATTTCATGGAGGATGAGCAATGGCTCTCCTCCATCTCCCAGTACGGCGGTAGGATCAAGCACTGGAACCGCTTCCGAGACGTGAGTCCGCGCCGGCAGCGGGGCGGGGGTGGGGGGAACGGGACGCGCCGCCGGGCACCGGGAGCCCTCTCCCCGCCCCGCCGCTGCGGTTGCCGCAGCACGACCCTCCCCCCGGCGCCAGCTCCGTCGCAGGCGGCCGGGGGTGCTCGGCGCTGCCCGCATCCCGCTGCCTCCCGCGGCGGCCGTGGGCGGCTACCGGCCCCGGTACCCGGGGGATGCTCGCGGCTCGGCAGCGCCGATTCCACAGTGCCCGACGCCACGCCACCGTGCCCATCGCCAAACCTGGCGCGGCTAATGCCAAGGCCACCGTGGCCAGGGCTTGACACTAAAGCCAGTCTCGCCAGGGACCTGAGTGTGCTGTCCACTGCACCGCATCAGGGCACAGGCAGGCCCTGCCTACCCTTCGCGGGGGCTGCGCCCTAGCCTCAGCCCCTCGGTAGCAGCGCAGCGGGGGTCAGGCCACCTCTGCTCCGCGCTCCCCGGAGCCCTGCGGGGAGCCGAAGCCGGCTGTGTCCCGGCGGTTGGCGGTGCTGGGGATGGAGGAAGCGAGTCAGGGGCCAGGAGGATGCAGGCGACGGGCACATTCGGTTCTGGATCCCCTAACCCCGAGCTTTCACGCAGCCCCTCGGTGGCATCTATTTCCAGCCCTTAATTTTCTGGGGCACTTGGGATCTTTCCTGGGATTATTTTACACCTTTGCCCCCATATCACACCCAGTTTGTGTCCGGGGGGCGACGTCGTTGCAGTCTCAGCCAAGGGGGGTCGTCCAGGGGGCCTGCGGCAGCCGAGGGAGCGGGGAGGGGGCACACATCCGGCCCCTCCAGTCTTTGTTCAAATTCGTGTCCAGGTTCACCTTGGAGCAAGGATGCGCTGCCGGCAGATGTGCCCCACGCCCCCCCCCCCCCCTCCCATATAAACCAGCTAGGGGGACAAAGCACGGGTGAGGGTGCCTGGGATGGGCTAATGCCTCCCCGGGGACCTCCACCAGCAATGCATCCAGCTGGGCAGCGCAGCACTGGGTACCCGGGACCTCAGCCGCCTGCAAAATGCTCGAGGGGGGAGCACGTGTGGATGTACCCCCATGGCATTGGGCATTTCCGCGGGATCTGGGGCTGAGAGACCCCCATCCCCAGGTGCTAGCAGCACACATGGGGCCTGCCTAGCTGTGCCAGATCCTCTCGGGTCCAGGGGTCTGTGACATTGGCGATGGATAGCGTGGATTAATAAGCAAATCCCGTGGATTTATGTGGGTTTTGGCCAAGCAGTACTGGGGGGGGGGGGGGGGCGCGCGACCCGCGGTGCAGCGGGGAGGAGGCCAGCGGTTGTGTTGAGAGCTGCGCTGCAGGGAGCTGCTGAGCACCGCAGTGTTACTAATCACGGCACGGGAACGCGGCTATCGATTGCAGTGCAAACGCTGCTGCGCTGAAGCTAGAGACATCCCCTCCGGAGCTGCCGCTGATTCAGGCTGCCATCCAAACCCCTGCCTGCCCTCCCCAGGGCTGCAGGGATGCTCCTGCCTTATCACGAAACCCACCACAGAGCATCCTGTGGGGTGAGCAATGCTGCCTGCCAGGAGGGTTTGAGTCCCCCACTGCTCCTCCTGGCTCCTGGGATGCTTTCAGGACCCCGGGGGAGCAGCCCTGCCTCCCCAGGCAGCAGCATCCGTCTAAGCCTGCTCCTGGGCTTGCTATGGAAAAAAACGGGCAGCAGCACAAGGACTGCCACCCCACAGGGATCCTGTGGGGCCTTGCTGGGCCCCAGGAGGCTTCCTCCACCTAATACCTCTTCCGTCCCTGTTCCCTGCATTTCCTGGCTGGCCAAGGGATGGTGGGGAAGGTTTTATCCTCTATAACGGCTCTCCAGGATTACAGGTCTTGAGCCAGAATGGGGGTGGGTGAGTGTGACATCTGGGGGGTGAAAAGACCTTTGGGCACCAGCGAAGGTCAGGGTGGTGAACTGGCACAGGGTGCCCATCACCCTGGGCTGGGGCCAGGAGCAGAGGTTTTAGGCTGTCCCGGGGCTGACTGGGCACTCTTGCTCTCTCTTTCTCTCTCTTTTCCGGTGTCGGCTGGGCCATCTCGCTGCCGTGCTGCCAGGAGGTGGAGGTGAGCGTCCAGGGGCCGCTTTGCCCTGATGCAGCCTGCTTTTGGGGGGGAGGCTGCTCCCCACCCCTGCTTGCTCCCCTCCTGGTGGGGGGGGGGGTGGGGTGTGTGCAATGTAGGAGAAGCCTTGCCGGGCCGGTGGGCCAAGTTGGGTGGTGGCACACCTGGCCCGGTGTCACCTCTCCCGCCACCTGCATTCATCCAGGCTCTGCCCCCTTTGCAGGATGATTACATCAAGAGCTGGGAGGACAACCAGCCTGGGGATGAAGGTACCACTGGGATGGAGCTGGGACAGGTTTGGGATGGGGCACATGGGGCTTGGTGCCAGCCACCATGGCTGGGGGAACACTTTCTGCTCACATCCCCCAGGCTTTTCCCTTCCAGCTGGGAGCATCACTGGGGCTGGTGCATGCCGGGAAGCGGCAGCTGGTGCTGGGGTGCTGCCCAGCTGCAGCCTGAATGGCACTTTGTGCCAGGCTGGCTGGTGGCCACTGCTGCTAGGATCCCCTGAGGGGTCCCCACCTGCACCTGCCCCTCTCTGCCCCCCCCCCCAGCCCTGGACACCACCAAGGACCCCTGCCAGAAGGTGAAATGCAGCCGGCACAAGGTGTGCGTGGCGCAGGGCTACCAGCGTGCCATGTGCATCAGCCGCAAGAAGCTGGAGCACAGGTAGGAGGGCTGTGGGGCTGAGCTGGCTGGGAGAGGTGAAGGTGCGGGCCCAGCACTGACCCCTGCCTTTCACCCCACGCAGGATCAAGCTGCCGAGTACCAAGGGGCATGGGGGCTGCAAGCCCTGCCACGCCGCGCCACTCATTGCTGTCTGCGGCTCCGACGGCCACACCTACAGCTCGGCGGTAAGGATGGCGGCACCTCACCGCAGGGAGGGGGGCACTGCTGTGTCCCCTCCGCCGATGTCCCGCTGCCGCCCCGCAGTGCAAGCTGGAGCAGCAGGCGTGCCTGGCCAGCAAGCAGCTGACGGTGCGGTGCGAGGGGCAGTGCCCCTGCCCAACCCCACACAGCCCTGCCATGGACAGCAAGCAAGGTGAGTGGCATGGGGAGCACCGGGGGGTGTCCCCGAGCCCTGCCTGGCCTGACACCGCCCCCGGGCCATTCCCAGAGCCATGCACAGGGCAGGACCTGGCCGACCTGGGTGACCGCCTGCGTGACTGGTTCCAGCTCCTGCGGGAGAATGCCAAGCAGAATGGCTCCGGCGGCCTCCCGGCCAGCCCGACCACTGGTACGTGTTCCCATTGCAGGGGAGGGGATGTGGGGCACTCTCAATAGGGGGATCCTGGCAGCCATGGGCCGCATCCTGCCCCACAGCGCTGGAGAGGAGCGTAGCAGCCAGCTGCAAGGAGGCAGTGGGGTGGATGTTTGCCCGGCTGGACACGAGCGGGGATCTCTTCCTGGAGGCGGCTGAGCTGGCTGCCATCAACCTGGACAAGTACGAGGTGTGCATCCGCGCCTTCTTCAACTCCTGCGACACCTCCAAGGACGGCCGTGTCTCTGCTCCCGAGTGGTGCTTTTGCTTCTGGAGGGAAAGTGCGTTGTGTCCTGCTGGGGCAGGGGGTGCATGTCTGGGGGTGGTCCTGTGGGGTCAGGAGGAGGCATGCCAAGGGGTCAGGGTAATGCACATTGTGGGGTCATAGGGAATCCATGCTGTGGGGTTAGGGTGGGGGGGATGCTTGCCATGGCAGGAAGTGCACTGGGGGGATACACACCATGGCGGGGGATGCATGCCATGGGATTTAGAGGGATGCACACTGTGTGGTCATGGGAAATGTATGCTATGGAGTTGGGGGGGGGGGGGCAGCACACTGGTGGGGAGGTAGGGGATGTGCATGCTGTAGGGTCAAGAGGAAGTACACCATGGGTCAGGGGGGGATGCAAACCATGGGGGGCTGCATGCTGCAGGTCTCAGCAGGCTGTATGCCATGTGGTTGAGGGGGAATGCATACCATGGGGATGCACGCTGTGGGGTCAGAGGGCTGCCATCATAGGGCTGGGGGATGCCCACCCTGTGGGCTGCACGCCCACCCTAAGAGGGCATATGGGGGTGCTGCAGAGCCGCCCTGTCTGAGGGAGCTGGAGAAGATTCAGATCCAAGAAGCAGCTAAAAAAAAGCCGGGTGAGTGAGGGGTCCCAGGACCTTTGTCCCCTGGCAGGGCCCTGCACAGCCAGGCTGGGGAGAGATGGGGACCTCTGTGGGGGGCCCTGCACTGCATGTGTTTGGGTGGCCGTGGGGTGTCATTGCTTCCCTGCAGGCACCTTCATCCCCAGCTGTGATGAGGACGGGTACTACCAGCGGGCGCAGTGTGAGCCGGGCGGCGGTGAATGCTGGTGTGTGGACCAGCACGGTGTCGAGCTGACGGGAACCCGCAGCCATGGCAGCCCCGACTGCGGTGAGCACACAGAGAGGAATCGGGGGGTGACCCCCCTGCCCGGGAAGGGGGCCACAGCCCCAGGACCCGGCTGTGAATCTCTGCCCCTTGCCCCGGCAGAGGAGGCAGCAGGATTTTCAGGTGACTTCGGAAGCAGCGTGGGCTGGGAGGACGAGGAGGAGAAGGAGCCGGAGGAGGCGGGTGAGGAAGGCGAGGAAGAGGAGGGCGAAGCAGGCGAGGGCGATGATGGTGGCTACATCTGGTAGAGAAGCAGCAGAGCCTGGCAGGCAGCACAGCCGGGTGGCAGCCCCCCAGCTGGGGGTCCCCGTGAACCCCCACCACTGGTGTGGCGTGGGGCAGGGGTACCCCCGCGGCCCTGTGTGGGATGGGGCATTGGGGTGCTCGTCCAGGGAGGGGGCGAGCGGGGCGGGGAGCTGCACTTGTGCGAACCTGAGCTTTTTGTCTTTGGGTAAAGCCGAGCAGGCCTAGTGTGCGGCTGCGTGCCCTGTGACCAGGCCAGCAGCGCTAATAAACGTGGGGAGAAAAGGAACAAAACCAAACACCCCCTCCGTAGATAACCTGTCCCCCCGCCCCGCATCCCCCTTGTGCTGTGCTTGCGTGGCCACCCCGGCCCCCGGCGTTGTGTAGCGGCTGTGAAATAAATACCCCGTGCTGTGTCAAGCGCTCTCCCACCCGCGCCTGCCCTGAAGCCCTCTGTGCTCCTGTAAGGGGAGCCAGGGCTGGTGGTGGGCCCCTGTCCCTCAGGTAGGGTGGGGTGCCCCTGGTCTGGTCCCTGCATTCAGCTGACATAAGGATGGAACTGACCTTTCTCCAAATATACTTACTCCTGACCCCAGCCCTAGCACAGGACCCCAGCCCAGCCCCAAATTAGCCCCATCTTCCCCCTCCACAGGGCCCTGAGCAGTATCAGCACCCAGAACTACTATCTTTTCCTGATCCTGGACCCCAACCTATAGCCCTTCCCAGCCATGACCCCTACTCAGTCTCACTCCTGACCCAGAACCTCCCTTACAAGACCACCCCAATCCAGCCCACATCCATCCAGGACCTGCACTCCCCCACCCCAGCTGCTCAGCACCACAGCACACTAGGGCCTCAACTCGCAGCATTTATGGCTCCAGAGAGAAAATGAAACAACCCCCAAGCTCTCCCCCAGTTTGGGGTCACCAGCAGCTGGCAAAGGTGCTGCCTTTGTCCCCCACCCCAGGACGCCCACCCTCCGCTGGGGTCCAGGCACTCAGTCCTGACAGCATCGGGCAGCACTGTCCCTGTCACAAATCCCCCACAGGGGGGTCACAGCTTGCTGGGAGGCCTCGGCGGCTGCTGCTGGAGCCGCCAGGCCGCCCGCACCCCCTCACCTGCCCTGTTGAGCCCAGTAAAGGCAGCAGGGTCTCCGGTGTGGCGGTAGTGCGCGATGGGGGGCTGCAGGATGGTGATGGGGATACAGAAGTTGAGGTGGGGGTAAGTGGATCCCGCACCAGTGTCTCGGGTATTGCTGGCCACGATCCCTGGTGGGGAGAGGAGTGATGCCTGTGTCACCAGGTCCCGCTCAGGGACACACATGGGCCCCCCTCACCCATGGGAGACTCCAGCTTACCCAAGAGGCGTCCGCTACGGGAGGAGACAAGGGGGCCGCCGCTGGAGCCCCCATGGACAGCGCAGGTGGTCTGCAGCATGACAGGGTGCCCGGCCACCGCCACCACGGCCGACAGGATTCCCGTTGTCACCGAGGGGCCGCATGCCCGCCCCAGCGCCCCGAACCCCACCACGCTCACCTCCTCCCCTGGGATGATAAGGCAGAAGGTGGGTGCAAGGGGGTGATTTCCCTCCCCCTCCGGCACCCCATGTGTCCCCTGGCCGCTTACCTGGGAGAAAGGTGTCTGCTGGGCACGGAGGGATGAAGCTGGGCACGCTCTCCTCCAGCTCCACCACCGCCACGTCGAAGGGGGACGACTCCTCGGTGGTGAATACCACGCGTCCATTGAGGGTGGCGGCAGGCCTAAGGACGGGACGTGAGATGTCACGGCAGGGGCACACAGCGGGGGGGGGGACACAAGGTGGGGACACGCAGTTGCACTCACCGGCCGGGGCCCGGTGCCGGCGTCACTCGGAGCGGGGTACCCGCCTCTACCACGTGCCGGCAGGTGAGGAGCAGCCGCGGCGCCAGCAGCACCCCCGAGCCCCACGCTGCTCCGCACTCCACCAGCGCCACCCAGCCCAGCGGGTCCTGCCCGCCGCCTGCCGGCACCGCGGCCACCCGTCCCGGCACCGGCGGTACCACGACCCCGGCTTCGCCCAGGACGCTGGCGCTGCTGCGCAGGATGGCGGCGACGGAGCAGAGCAGCGTGAGCCCGACCCACTCTGCACCCTTCCAGCAGAAGGAAGCGGCGATGACGGCCACTAAGCGAGACCCGTCCGGGGAGGGCAAGAAGGCCCCGCCGCCCTCAGTGCCGGGCAGGCACCGCGCGTCCGTCAGGATGAGGGCGTTCTCCTCGCCGGCCAGGTTGCTCACCACCCCTCTGCTCAGGGTGTTGAGGAACAGGTCGGGGCAGAGAGCGCCGAACGGGGACCCGCAGGCCAGCAGCCCCTCGCCCTTGCGCAGGCAGCTGGCGCTCGCCCGGGCTGTCCAGCCCTCCCCGGGGGTGTCGAGGCCAGGCACCCGCAGCCAGGCGAACCAGTGCAGGGCCCGCGGGTCGTCTCCCGCCGCCTCCCCGCCGAACCGCCACTGCTCGGCCGGCCCGAAGGCTCGCCCCAGCGCCTGCTGGAAGGCGCCACAGGGCACCAGGGCCAGGAGCCTGGCCTCATGCTGCTGCAGGCCGCCGGCCGGGGCGTCGAGGCCGAGGGCCGGCGAGCTGGTCCCCGCCAGGGGCTGTAGGACGAGGATGTGCGGGCAGGGCCGGAGGGCGGCAGGCAGCAGGGCGCGGGGCTGCGCCCAGGCGGCAGGGCCGTCCCGCAGAAACGGGGCGAAGACGGCGCCTTGGCACAGCACCATCGCGGGGCCGCGGCTCAGGACCACACCGCTGCAGCTCCAGGGGCCGTCGGTCGGGCCGGAAACGCTGACCGCGCAGCAGACCCGCTCCTCCGCCATGGCTGCGGCCGCGGGGCGGGCTGCATGCGGGGCAGCCCGCGGGCAGCGCTGCCGGCGGGGCGGGGAGGGGCGGTGCCAAGCAGCGCAACGCGGAACGAGTCAGACCCGGCCGCGGCGACACCGCCCCCCCGCGGCCCGCAGCTACGGGGAGGGCTGGGCCGGGCCTCGGTACCACCTCCCTGGCAGGGGCCGGTCCCTCTCGGCCCTGGGCCACGCCTCTGCCCGCCCGCCCCCTGACCGGAGCCCGCTTACCCGTCCCTGCGCGACCGGTCGGTCCCTGGCGGCGTGCCGGCGTCCGTCCCTCTGTTCCCCGGCATGTTGCCGGGTCCAGCCCCGCTTGCGTCACGGAAGCTTTCGCTCCCTGCTCTCCCGAGGAGCGGGAAATGTTGTCTCAACGCCCCCACTCGTCCATAGGCACTGGCACTCCTTTCGGGGTGACGAAGCTTCTGAGCTGTGGGCTTGCTCGTCCACAACACGAGGGAGACCAAAACTTCGCCTTCTCTGCCAACAGAGGTACCAGTACCTGCAGAATTCCTTCAAAGAGCTAGAAACTCCGAGAACCCTGGGAGTAAATGGCACTGCAGCCCTCAGTGCGGGGCTATTACACCAAGAAGAAAGCCCCTGCTTGCTCCTGTAACCCACCAGCTTTGACAGTTACCAGCCCCGAGGCTGGCAAGCCCTCTGCTCTGCCGCAGTTCCCCGCACCAGCAGCTCTCCTGCCTCCACATTTCCCCAAAGCAGCACCTTGTCAGGTCCATGCACACTCAATTCTTGTATGGGCTCTGCTCCGCCATGGTGTGGGACTGTCCTGAAGCTGCTTCGCCTGCTAGGGCAGCACTTCAGGCACTCGCTGCTGCTCGCAGGAGAAGGGTGGCTTCAAGCCTGGGCTGAGTGTACGGATCGATGCCAAGCACTCGTTGCTTGCCTTAAGAGGAGGGCTTGGTGACAGCGAGTTTGTTCCGTCCGTTTGCATTTTGTCTTCCCCTCACTGACAGCAGCATCAGGTATGCATGCGCAGCCAATGCCAGGTTAGACTGAGGATCACTACCCCTTTGGAAGAGAAAGACGTCTTTATTTAACTGAAAATGAGCGCTAGACAGTAATGAAACTTGAGACAAAACGTCTGTTGAGTATAAAAGAAACCACTTTAGTCTACATTAATAACCTCATGATATGCAAATGTCAAACACTTCCAAGCTACAACCACCAAAACAACTTCAAGGTTCTTCCTGTGATGCCGCAGTGAGGATTCGACACCCTGGGCAAGTGGAGCCCAGCCTAGCTGCGGGGGGAGCCAGCAGCACGCTGGGGTTAAGCCCAGCATCCCACCGGGAGCAAGTGCCAGTGGCCACCTGCACACACTAAACCAGGTGTGCTTGCAGGGGCTCCCCTTCACCTAAAACATATCCCTGTAAAGTAAAGAAGCTCGGATTGCACACGTCAGCCTCAACGGCAGCCTTGCTGTCGTCAGTCAGCGTGTCACAGCACAGCCACCCTACAGCTCGGTTAAGCCCAAATGCTATGTTTATTGATGACTTCTAATATCGTGATACCTTGGTTCAGTAATTTGTGAAATACCTAAATATCGTTAAATATGTTTTTAAAAAAACCTAACCAGACTCTGGACTAAACAAGATGAACGGTCAACTAAAAAGTTAGAAGGGACGCTGTTTACATGAACACTTTCTTTAAAAAATATAATTGCATTTTCTTCCTTTTTCTTAAGTCAATTAACCACAGTGGTGAGACGTGCTCTCTTTCTCAGCTGTTACTGTGCAGCGTGCAGAGTTTGACTTCCCACATCACACCAGCCCTGCTGTAACCAAACTTAAAGGGACGACGTGCACCCACGTGCAGAATGGTGCTGCCTCCCCATCACGTGGAAAAGAGTTGTGTCACCACTGTGCGACTGGGCAGCCGAAAACCAGGAGTCTCTTGGTCAATGCCAGTATGCGGTTGGAAAGTCTTCCGTGTTCTAAATAGAAAAGTTCATAGGAAGCTGTGAACAAGATCAGTCCAGAGGAGTAAAACTCTTGTGTCCGTCCAAGTATCAGTCAATGTACTGTGATAGCCAGCGGAAGCCCTCGCCGTAGCCTTGCCTCTTCAGCACGCTGCACATAAACACCTCCATGGGGCGCGCATTCAGGTCTTTCAGTGGCACGTTTCCCTAAGGAAATCCAAAGGCAAATCAGAACGCGTCCTTGCTGTCCTCAGGGAAGAGTCACTGCCCTCTATGGAAACCTCTGTCTAGGGAAACCAATTTCTGCCCAGGGAATTTCCCCTCTCTGCTGCATCACAGCCCCTTTGCAAGAGGGACCCACCAGACTTTCAAAGCCAGAAGTGTGGGAGCATAGGTGTTAGAAACACTGAAGCAAATGGGTTTTGAGGCACAGTGTGATATACCTGCGATGCCTGGCAATGTGATATAAGAAGCAATTGTCACTGCATGCACAAGCTAGCACCAAGAGTACTACTAGCGGTTTAGTTGCAGTGTTTTACTGCCACCACTACCAGTATTCCTAATTAATTCTAACTGTACTGTTTGTAAACACTGAAAAAGTGATCAGATGGG